GAGGGCGTTGCTGTAGTATCCGCCCTGCGCGTTGACGTCGGCCCCGTTGTCGAGGAGAAGCTGTACGATCTCCTGGTGCCCTCTCTCTGAAGCGGCCTGGAGGGCGTTGCCGTAGCGTCCGCCCTGGGCATTAATATTTGCGCTATTGTGAATAAGCTCCTTTGCGGAATACACGAGTCCAGTAAGTGACGCATAATATAAGGAGTCGAGAGCTCTTATTTGTTCGTGTCTGCCAGCTCCTTGAGGCTCATCATGATTGTATATTAGACAACAGAAGTTCCTAGTCGGCATTGATGAGAAGTACTTTCGAATTATAGGTAGAGTGCTATTTGTTGACTGCTCGGTAATCGCAGCATGCGTTGGCCAGTACTGCGCAGAGTACTCCGCTAGTGGATAGTTCTTCTCAGCCTCCTCGGGTCGGTACGAATAATCCAGGCTTAGTAGATAAGAGAGACAAACTGTTGTGAGGGCAATGCTCGCACTTGAATGACTGAGCCTAGGGGCTACACTTTTCTCCAATCGCTCGGACGTAAGGTACTCCTGGACGGAGAAGTGTGCAAGCTGTATTTCCACGATGTCTGTTCTGTATCTTTGATCTTTTCTCTTAACCAAGACGGTAAGGCTGGAACAATATCCGACAATCTCCTCTGGGCATGGCATTCGATATTCTGGATCGAACATAGGCTCCTTCGAGATATTCACTGCAACTGCATCCACAGCTTCTTCAAGCCTTAGAGGCCGATTCGAGTAGGCCAAGAATTGCAACAGGCGTATTGCAGAATTCAGACGATTTGGTTCTATGGTTTTCAATATCCGTTCGTATGTCTCATCCAAGGTCCGTGGAAGGCTTGCCAATTCTCGCTGTACGGACTCTGGATCGAGACATCCTGATAAGACATCGAATTGGCATGAGACCCAGCGAAACCTTCAATCGAATTAGCGCCGAAATCTAGAGAGATATAAAGTCCGTTCAAAAAAGAAAAAAAAGAAAAAAGAAAACATACATTCCATTTGCTTTGTTTGATAGGACAGTTTTGATCTCTTTTTGTATACGTGGTCGCTCTCGCCACCTGCTCAATTGTCCCACCCTGACCTCGATATATAAATTGATATCGTCCTTGACTCGGATGCTTTCAAGAGGCAGGATCTCGCTGTCCCGTGCCCAATTGCGGATGGCTGACTGGATGTCATGTTCGGGCCGGCTTGTAACCAGAAGATGAAGATTTGTGGTTGAGTCTCGAAGGCCTTTTATATAGGACATTAAGCCGGAAACTGCACGTTCGTTCCGTGTATGACATTCGTCAAGGGCGTCGAGCACAATCCATACTTCGCCAGCCCGCCGAATCATACTCTTGAAGAGCTCGAGCAGTGCTGATCGGAGTGGTTGGCGATCTCCATTGTCACAGGACGAATAAAAATCATCCACCTCCTGTCGCAGATCCGCTTGTTTGTGATAGAGCTGATAGATAAGCGACCGGACCGCCTGTTCAAGGGTCTGCTTCGCGACATCGCTGAAATCAAAGTAGAAGTATACCAGGCTTCTAGACGGTCCATCTTGCAGATCAGCTACGACGGACGAGCTGAGGATCGTCTTGCCGCAACCCGGGATACCTTGAAGCCATAGGAATGAATTGCGCTCCGTCTTCCACTTGATATACACCTCGCTGTCGAGAAACCACTGGCCTGTTTTTTCATAGTGCTGCTCGCGCGCTTTGTTGAAGTTAGTGGACGGATCAGGTGGTGAGAGCCATTTTCGGATCTTGTCAAAATGAGCGATGGCGTGTATCTCTTTCGCTGTCACCCGGGTCTCCTGGACTGTGCGTTGGATTTCATCGACTATAATACTCTTCCAGTAAGTAAAATGGTTGATATGGCTCGGCGGGCAACAACGCAAATCGTATTTACTAACCCTTCTTCACCACTTCCCTCATGCGCGGCGTTTCCGTCACCTCTTCGACAGGCACCTTAGAAAGAATAGCCTTACAGTACGCTGCTGCTGCCGCCGCCGCGTAGTAGTGCCAATCATCGTGCTTGTGGGTATCGGCATAGTCGCTAATGCCTCGAATCACAAGGCATGGAAGCTCGTCCATGATTCCCGCCGCCTCCATCTCGAAGCATATCGCACTCTCGTACCCTCGACGGAATTGTTCGCGGTCCGCGGGATTTTTTATTACGCCACCGCCTGATAGAATGAGTCCTCGGTGCGTGACAGGCTCATTCGGGAGTTGGCGCGGTATGCGGGACACCACTCTCTTGTCATCTGAAGCCCAACACGCGCTGCAGTCGGAGCCTTTCTGCACGTGGGGAAACGTGTTGTGGAATAGGATGTCCTCGCTATCAGGCCGCCGAAATTTGTCATTTTGCCTAACAATTCTTTTCAAGATCCTTCGGATGGGAAACTTGTTCCGGAGCTCGTCCCCCTCCAGCGCGCGAATAGCACTGGTTAAGATCCGTGGCGGCTTGTTCAACGCGCCTTTCCGTTTGAACGCGCCGGCCTCGTACTTTCCAAGGTCGTACTGGACCACCCCGGGGTGGTCGTCGCGGGGCACGCTGATGGCAATGTCACCCAGGCGAATGTCGAGGTTGTTGCTAGGGATCCCTGCGCCGATGCCGACCATCAGGGCAAGGCGCACATTGGGAAATTGCTGACTGACATGTGCGGCGCAATGGGCAGCATTGACAGGGCCCATCTCCGCCGGTTCGGCGATGACCACATTGTGGGCACCGATGCTCCCGACGGTGTAGACATAGCTTTGCTTGCCATAGGCTTTGCAGGCGAACTCCCTGTCTAGCGTGTACCGGACGGCGGTGGACTCTTCGACCAGAGCGCAGAAAATGGCGACGTTAATATCGTCTGGGGAAATCTCTTGAAGTACTTCTTCTTCGGACTCGTCTGACTCCTCGTGCGGGGCGTGCTTGCTGGGCGAACCCATGGTGCGTGGTTATGCGAGAACGAGTCGATGTCTGTATGATTAAACTCAATACGGAAGAGTTACTCCAAGGAGGGGAGAATATGGTAAGACAGCAAGATCAAAAAGATATAGTTAAATAATATACCGGAGGTAACAGGGTATCGTAGGAAGCCTGAACTAGGCTGGGCTGCTGACCTAATGGTAAGTAAGATCGTGACGTGTCAACCGGACGCAAATTCTGTCCGGTCGCGTCAAAGAGAGACTGCAGACCTCCAATGTCGCCATCGCCTGGATCGCGGACTAGAAGGGTGAAACAATCGGAGGATGCCTTGACGCCCGAGGCATTCCGGAGCCTCGCCGGGATGTATGCCCAAGTGGCAACACTGCAGCTAGAGAGACTAATAGAGCCATGCATGCAGTAAAGTGAAGACGCGCTGAGCTGAAATATCGACGAATCAAATGCGGTTCCAGCCCACCATCTCTGGAACACTGCCATGATAATCCCAGAAATTGGTGCATCTTATCACTCTCGTGTTATTGAAATATGATTGATTACTTTGTTGCGACCAGAAAACACTACAGCGGGTGGTCGCATGCACGAAAGCTCTGCTCGGGCGCGTCCTAGAGATTGCAAGTAAAAGATATGCGTGGCGATGGATAGCGAATCTTATATGTCTGCTGCGCCGCAAAGCGGGTGCGATTCGATTCGTCTCGGTGTCAAACCCTGCTTTCTCTGCCAAATCATTTGGCCCAAATGAATGAATGGCCGCATCAAGAACAGCCAAGGCTATATCTACATGTATATATGTTAGCTTCGGCTGCTCCCGCTCCAACTCCGCTTTTTACGTTTGAAATTCATTCCTACCCATAAACATCCACCAGATATCTTCCAAGTCATTAATCGTCACCGACTCGACTTTAAATCGAGCATGAAATAACATGTCTACCGTCACCAGTATATCTAAGGCAGAGCGGACGGGATGAATCATTTGTTCAGCAGAGTATCGAGACCCTTGTGCCGTCGCTTTCAGTATTGCTGCGATCGTGTTTTTTCCGGTGTCTTCTTTCTGAAAGCCTTCCTTAATGGTTTCGAAAAGCTCTGCGAACTGTGTCCTTAGATCCTGGATCTCACCTGCACGATGAGCTTCGAGGAGACGGTCATTTAATTCCAGATCGTCAAGTTTTCTAAGGATTCGTCTTGAGTCGTAGGATGCCAAATGCCTTTGAATATTGTCCCCGATTCTATCCAATCCTCCCTGTAAGGCGTTGATCAGCCTGTATAAGCTGCAAAGCTGCGGCTCAATAACGTGCACGACACGGCATGGAGATGTGGGTTTTTAGCTTCACGTTGCTGCACCTTGCATTGCTTTCGGATCAAATATCTTCTACGTGTTACTTGTGAAAAGATATGATAGGTATGGATAATAGTTGTTATATTAGTTGAGTTGTTCACATCCAACAGAGGTTGGATGGTCAAAGATATATATATATATATATGTGTGTGTGTGTGGAGAAACGCTCCACTTATTCCTAGTACAAAAGCTTTGAGAGTACTATGAGGGGCCGAGGGGGTTTATTTGGAAGCCGTTCAAATGGAACATGAGCGCCTGCGACCTCATTTGCATCATGCAATCATCATATTGATCATGATAATCGGACGAATCACGTTAGTGATTTGCTTGTTGGATATCTTGGAAATGCTCTTGAGGGATCACAACCGCACGCTTGATGGCAATTGATTGCACTAGACCTGACCGAACGCCTATGGCACAGTTCCTCTGAATGAAGCAGACCTGGCCTTGCCACATCGCCCGGCCGGCGGTACAGGACTTTCCCTTAGAGTCCATGAGTACACAGACAGATGCACATTAATTGCTTTAATTGGCGGGCATATTGAGAGTTTCCCTCTCAACTTCTTTTCAATTCTCTAACTGCTTATTGCGAAGAATCTGTTCCATCGTAAAGATTATAAAAATTTCTTCAATTCTCTTCCATAGGGACTGCTGTTTGAGCTTTCTCACCTATGAGGGAATACTCACACCTCTCGGAAATTATTAGTAACATTATGTTGTTCTCTGGGCAATCGGCTCTTGACCAGCTTGCAGGCCTTCACTTGTGTGATATTCCGGCTGGCACAAATCCGAATGGTCAACCTTCGAATCTTCACCCCCCGCCATCCTTGTAGCCAACTCTAATTGCCATATCTGCTATCATAATGACGCTTACGGGAATAATCACATTAGGGCAAGTACACTACTATTATAGGCGTAGGTAGCACCTGGGACTATGTCCACTCCAGGTTGGACCCGCAAAATCTAAGCGTGGCAGGAGGACGAACGGCTGGGGTCAGAGTAAGGGCCTTAGTCTAGGAGGAGGCATTTCCTGATTTGGCCCGCGATACGGTCGAACTTCAGACACGATCAAGAACTTCAAGATTGTGCTCGCAGACGCATCCATGGTCAATGCCAACGCTGAGAATGATTCAGATTTGTACTGGGCTTTGAAGGGCGGCGGAAACAACGTCGCTATCGTGACCAGTATCGAAATGGAGATATTTGATCAAAGTCCTTTCTAGGGTGGATCTATGTACTTCTCCGAGCGTGTGTGGGCAGATACAGCACGGGAATCTGCCTGGTTCAACTCCGCGGATACATACGATGAATACGCTTCACTGACTCTCACTGGGGCTGCTCACCCACGGTGGGATAGGTCGTTAGCAGCAACATGGAGTATACCGGAAACGAAGAGAGCCCGCCCATAATTAAAGGTCTCAACCAGTATTCCATCACTCTATGGCAGCCTTCAGATCTCCAACATGACACAGCTAGCCATCGACCTCCGAAACCAGCAAGTCTCTAGTGAACGGTCAGGTTTGAGCGACATTGTTTCCCCCACCCCTAACACGCTTTTGCTGACAAATTGAAAGACAATTCTGGGCCACCAATACTTTCATTTTTACTGAAGCCACCGTCAATATGACTTATTTATGCTTGAACAAGACATTGTTAGCATTTCGGTCCGTCCTAAATATAACAGTTGGCTATACACTCGAGCCTCTTCCACCAGCTCTTTACGCTAAATATGCGCACCCAAATCCGTATGGCCTTAATGGAAGAAATGAATCTTTAGTGATCGGCCTTTTCACCGCCAGTTGGAAAAATGCAGCAGATGACGAGCAGGTCGAAAATGCCAGCCTTGCACTCGTGGAAGCCATAGAAATAGGCGCACGGGAGCAAGAAGCCAATGTTTCCTTTGTGTGCCTCAACTACGCCGTGCCATGGCAAGACCCTATTGCTAGTTATGGGGATGACAACCTGGAGAAGAATGCGCGAGATTGCAAATGAAGTAGATTCACATGGAGTCTTCATCCATCAAGTACCCGGAGGTTTCAAGATCGGAGAACAACGTTGATAAATCAAGTTTATCATAGCTCGAAGCATCAGCTTTATCTTGGTATTCGGCGGGACATCTAAACAACCTTAGTTCTTCTCAATCTCACACTTACATGCTTAACAGAACTTTTCAAAGGGATATGCGGGATTAGGTTTCGGGGACCGGTATGGTAGAAAATAGTGACATTTAGAATTGAAAGATGAGATGCAACCTCTTGAACATTGAGTGACTAGCATATTATTTATAGTCCCCGACTCTTTGGAAGTCTCAAGCATAAGTATTAACCGACGGAACTGTTAGGTGGTGGTGGTGTTACTTGATCACAAATAGTGGGGAAAAGTACCTACCCAACATCATTACGAGGGGAACTCCTAAAGTCACTGTTATGTTGGCTAAAGTCACTGTATCTAACCCATTTCGACAAGCTCTCCCCACACCCCCATTTTGCAGTACATTTAGCAAAAAAAAGAGTACATCTGAAATTGTTAGCATATAATAACGATTAACTCACCACATTACACTACACTACGCAATATAGCCGAAAACTGCAATTGACGGCATTTAACGACTTTAATTGATTTTTATGTTTCAGGAATCTGAACTGGCCAATCGCAAAAGCCCGTTTTTTGCGACTATATCCGTAATTTAACGAATATGATCGAAATGGTGATGGCTTCTGCTATGGATGGCCAGCAGCGACGGTGACCCTGGCCAATAGCCCGCTATGGCTATGGCGCGGGTTCTATAGGCCGTGCTGGATGTACCATCTTTTGGTGCAGATGTACCGCAAATTAGGTGCTCCACGCATGAGTTCCAGAATGGGTTAGATACAGTGACTTTAGCCAACATAACAGTGACTTTAGGAGTTCCCATTACGAGCTACCAGAGCCAGTATAATTTTTCAGAACCCACAAAATTTAAAGATGTCTCGTGGATGGTAATACGTAGGATTGGAGCGGATTGAGGACGAAGAAAATGGGATAGCGGCGGGAGCAGCCGAAGCTAGCCTTTCTAAGCATGGCCTTGGCCGTTTTGAATGCAGCCTCTTTTTGCAGAGAAAGCGGGGTTTGGCACCGAGGAGAAGAATCGACTTTGAGGCGCAAGCACAGCCGTTGCGACTAATGATCATATCTGGTACTTGACCAGCGGTATTTCATTTACAAGCCCGCCCGCAGCCATTATATTCTACGGCGCAACAGCTCGAAAGTCGTCGAATTCATATACCCTCCAATAGATCACCCACTGAAGTGGTACAGTAAAAAACACATGTCACTGGGATCCATGGCAAGATTCTAAAGAGATGAAGGACGGAACCAGATCTGGTGCGCTGACAGTACTGGCTGACACTAAGGCATTTTTCTCAAATTCTGCTGTTGCTTTCCGTATACAGCCATAGGTACTCGACAGTCCTGCATATCCTATTAACGAGCTCCGATGCGTCTTTCATAGCTAGCTGAACGCGCATATATCGCTTTGATAATCTTATGGTAGCTCGCATTAGTGCTGAGAGATCATCGTTATTATAACCCGTTTTAATAATCTTATGAAAATACTAAAAAACGCGTTATAATAACAATGACCTCTCAGCACTAATGCGAGTCATCATAAGATTACTAAAGCGATATATGCGCGTTCAGCTAGCCACAAAAAACGAATTGGAAACTTCGGCTCGGCATATTAAACTTAGGCCCCTGCTTGTTATAGCATGAAATAAGCGGAACTTCCAGTGACGCAGGTGCTGTGCGGCACGAACAAAATCAGGGTGGATTAACAGTGATCAGCCAGCCATATCCAAGCGCAGCTAATGTCAGATTTCCGTTGACATCGATCCTGCCTGAGTGATGTAACCAAGTTTCCTATAGAATGCGAGCTTGGGCAATGTTGTCACTAATGACTCCAACTATTCGAATTCCAATGCATTTCTCACACCGGTTGTAGAGTGCGGACCACTCTACATCGTATTGCTCCAAAGAAATCTCGTGGATAACCCAGATAAGTGCTCGAGGGCTTGGGGCCTGCAAATTCTCAGCTGATATCGGAGCTGGATATCGAATTAGCTAAATGCATGTTTAGTCCGGAATATAGTGACACACTTTTTGGCGACTTGATCCCGTTACGTTAATGGTAAAAGATCTGCACTGGTTCTATTGCGGTACATCGCCCGATATAGTTAAATTATGATATGATTATATGTAGTCTCGTATTTGCTTCACAAGCCAAATCTTGGTAGGATTGTCTTAGTCAACGACACTACAGTACCGTTTAATATATGGAAACTTTACACGGGCCATTCTAAATCTTCACCAGTTATTAAGAAAGGATTATGGGATCTAATCTAATTCTCATCTTTAGTAGAAAATGCGTAACGCTGTTGTTATGCTTTACTTAGTGTTAGAATGGCCACTAAAATGCTTTGGAGTAAGGTAGCAGCATGTCATTAATGATCATAATTTTAAGCGCGATTCGCAAATAGCCGTTTTGTAGTCCTTTTTGTGTAGTCCTGAGGTCGTTCCGAAATTAACAGTGATACAGGAGCCTCGCAACAACTTACAAGAGGCTAGAAGAGGCGAATGACTTTAATAAATAAGCACATGCTTGTTTAGGATCATTCTCCGACACAGGAGAGAGCTGAAGTCACTCTCGATAATGCGGCAAACTTTCAGCTGAATCCAATTTACTTTCAGGGTTTCATTTTCAATCAATGAGAGGGTAGTATCATGTTGGATCCTCTTGTTCTGCAGAAAGGACATATGTTATGGCAGGGTTTCGACAGAACCAGCTGGCCTCAAATTTCTATATAAATCATGGGAAGGTCGCTCTTCTCCCATCACTTCTGAACTCGAACAACCATCATCACTTCAGACCAAGCAAAGCAAGCTAAAAGCCTTCAAAATGTCGACTACCTACACCATCATGATCCAAAATGCCCATGGTCAGAATGGTGACTACGCAATCTTCAACAGCCCCCCCGCAGTTACGACTGACACCGGGTCCCCTGACGTTTATACCAACATCTGGGCGAGCAGCTTTATTCCTAATGGGGGAAACACCACTTTGAGCACTACAGAAGACTTTTATGCTTGTAAGAATATTAATGCTTATCCGAAATTACACGGTCAGGAGCTAACATAGATAGGGGCTGGCACCACACCAGCCACGCCGACCCCTGGTGTTACGGTTCAGACTGGAAGCTCGCAAGTTGCACAGATTGGAATTCATGGTAATCCTGGATGTAAGTGGCTTACAACTCGATGATGTTTCTATACTTCACTCAGGAGACTTAAAAGCGTGTAGCCACCTTTCCCATGACTGTTACTTCCGGAGTGCCGGTGCTTGGAGCTCCAACTCTCACGGCCCGCCAGGGAGCTTTTGAAATCGACACCGACATGAGCTTCGTCACCCCCAACTCCACATACTTGGTCGGTTTAGGAAAGATCAACCCTGGTCTTGGTGCTGTCGGTCCTGTCGCAAGTGTAAGTTTCTGTGTATGCGGATTTTGGAGGCAGACTGCATATAATCATGATTATTAACGAATGCTATCCTGTAGATACTCGCCGACAACAACTCACGGATTACCGTTCAGCCCATTATGAAGTTCTTTGTGGCAACCTCTTCCTACAGGGCTGGGCAGATTGTGAACTTTGCGACGGCTACCATGGACGCGGGAGTGGTGGACTTTAGTACCGGGCTCGGCATAGGCAAGAACACGGCAGTTATCACACACGATAATACCGGCGCGTTCACCACCAGATACTTGACCCAGTCACAGACGGTTCTGGCCTTGGATGCCGCCAAGAACAAGTCACTGCCCAGCTTTCTTAAGCAGCTGGCCGGCAATGACAAAAAGTTCCAGCTGAATCAAGTCATGTAAGTCTTTATGGTAATGATCCACAAGATCCCCAAACAGAAACCCCAGTGTGTTCAGAGCTCTTGTAGACCATCGCCAGCTAATCAAACGAATTATCATTCACTCATACAGAGAGACGCTCAGAACCATTCTGAGTAGCTTTGACGATGACACAACCTCAAATTCTGATTTGATACCCGACAGCCCTCTACACTGGATCGGTAGAGTCAAGTGGCCAGCCGCCGTAGCCTTTTCCGTCGCCGCTGCAGGCGCGACCGCCATCTCCACGGCCCTCGTCAACAAAGGCTACAAGCTCGAGGTGTCATCCACCAGTGACGCACAGAAAAATACCCTGTGGACGTGGAGCATTACGCCACCTGCTAGTAACGGTGCCTCAGCCCTGGGTAGTGTGAACGTGGTCGCGGACTGGAACGCCTCTGTCGCGGCCGATATGCAGAATGACCAGCACAAAAATGAGGGCGTCAATCCAGCAACTCTGTCCAACGCCAGACTCAATGTTCATCTCAATGAACAGACGCCTCACGGTGCGGGAAATCATGGCAGCGCATTGAATGGTGGCAGCGACGATGCTAATGACAACATTGGCAACCACTTTTCGAAGCTTCATCTCAGGGCGATTGATGCTTGATGATATGCTTACGAGCTTTGGAGCCGAAGAAGGAATCAATTGCCAACGCAAAAATCTTCGAGTCGGATCTTTTTCTTCTTTCATCTCTTTGTGGACATTCGATCAAATTTTATTTCCTTATGCTTATGTCAAACTCACACTCTCACTATGCGGCTGCTGGCGCGGAAACAAGTAGGGAAAGAAGAAAGGGGGAAAAAAAAAACACATACGACGAAGACGCAGTGGAAGTCTTGCGCATATAATGATTTCTGGGCTTTCATTTTTTTGGCTGTCATGACTGGTCCTAGTTTGTGCCCAGCATTAAATAGCACCACACTCTTTTCAGTCTAGAAATCCCTATTTGACTCCACTCTTCAACTTGCCAAGTCGTAATAAATGAAACGCTGTGTCACCTAGGAGGAGGACTAATTCGAAGACGTTCTTGTTCCACTATCGGACCGTTAACGCTATGTTCGACGATAAATCAATGCCTTTTGCTCAATATGTGCAAACACGCAGCTATATCCGCCGTCACCACTTTATTTAGGGCAGAGCGGACGGGATGCCGAGTATTCTAACTTAGTGCGTATGGTCGTATGTGATGGTGCGTTCAATACTGGAATGGATTAATGTCACGTTGAAAAAAGCCGATGCATGCCCGCAACATGACTCAACAACTTTCAAAGGCTGTCACAATTATCATTAATGGATAATTGCAACGACTTGAAGAGACTAACATGTCACTAATAAGAAGGTATATATTTATTTAATTTATATTTGTGATTGAGAGAACCTAAGGCTGGAGTTCGCTGTTAAATATAATTAAGGTATCTGTCATGACAGATACTGTATGGCACCGGTACCGTCCCGTGGGCATATGGGTCCCAGTTCGCGATCGTTTCCCAACGATTGCGAGCATGCTCTTTGCCCATATCGTACAGTGATATTGGATGCCGTGACAGTATCCCAGCTACAATCTAGCATTAGTCGGTAGCTGCCTGCTCTGGGCTGGCTTAGGGGTACTTTGTTAAATTTAAATTGAAAAGCGCTATTTTAATTAGCAAGAAATTGCTTTACACTCGCCCATGCAAATTTAAATAAGAAATTACGCCTATTTTAAATGCTTTGCAATTCCTGTCATGCATTCTACCTACCGAGCTTATTCGCCGGAGGCACCACTTTTCAAAGACAAAATTAAAGGTACTTCAGATTACTGCAGCTTGAAACCTGTGAATTACCTTTCGTATCACAAAGCCTAAACCGGAGCCTTTATCAGCGCAGGATTTATTGTCTCGTATTAAGCAGCCCAGGATCGTAGGAAGTTCTGTACAGCGAGACAATACAATGATAGCGAGTTTGCGTTCGAATTGCCGTGAATCAAAGCAAGGCTAGTTGGACCGAATTTCCAAAGCAATGCATAATCACCAGACGGTCAAAACATCTATCGTAATGCTGCTGGTCACGTTGTTCGGCCTAGCTTTACACATTATCTGCATTGTAGAATACCTGTACTGAAGATGCAAGTAAGCACAAGTCCACATTTACCGATGGATGCTGAGTCTTACGAGTGATGTGATTTTGGGGTTGGAAGTTACAGTTTAGCCTTTTTTTAACCTGCCTGCAAATGACAGTGTCTGGAGTAGTCCATGCATTCTTTCAAATGGCGTTCGAGGATAATAGAGCAGTACAAAGACTATCTAGGTTCTTGTGATTGGAGTCTGTTAAGCAGTACTTGAGTTCTTACAAAGCTCTGTGACCTCGTCTTTATCAAACTTGAAATTAGGTCATACCGATGCCTTGCATCATGCCAGCTACAGTCTTGTGAATTCAAGTGTGTTCATCCAAGCCTGTCAAAGGCTGACGTACTGCTGATTTTTACTATGTTTTGACTCTTGCTTCGTTCGTATTATTACAGTCATGTCCAAATTTTGCATTGACAGACTGGCAGAAAAAGTTTCGTGTGTATTACGGTGTCTTGGAACAGTGAGAGCGGCGTACAAAATGATATCGCGATTTGATCAAGCTTGTGGAGTATAAAAGCATTTCCCATGCCCACTAAAGGACCCGGAAAACGAGAAATAATCATTCTGGATAAGAATATCTTGACGCTCCCCTGGTTGGAAACAATACCCTTCTCACCATTTGAATTTACAGGCTTCTCTATACCTTCACGCCCTTCCTACAGACAAAATGGCTTCAAACTGGATGTCGTCCAACTTGAACGTGCTCGGAAAGCAGAAGATCGAACATATCATGTTTCCAGGCTCCCATGATTCTGGCATGTCTCGTCATGGCAAACATACGACATTCGGCACTCCGTCAGTAACCCTCACGCAAACCAAAACCATCAAGGAACAATTGCGACTTGGAATCAGATACTTTGACGTTCGTCTTGACATCAGTCAGGGCAAGTACTTTTGCGGCCACTACACAAAGATCGATGGAGTGCCCACTAGTGCTTTGATCGGCATGGGGGTGCTCGGCCCGCCGCCTGTGAAGGCCCTCGCGTTGGCCTTGAAGGCTGCATTTCCAAGATGGGAAGGTGCCTGTGGCGAGTCCCTCCAAGAAATCATCCAGGGCATCAATGAATTCCTCAAGGAGAACAAAGAACTTGTCGTCTTGGACATCTCTGGCTATGGCGGGTTTGCCGTGGATGAGCAATGCCGGGACTTTACGCAGATGGAATGGACCAACTTGTTCAAAGAGCTACAAGGCATCGAAAAACTTTATCGACCCAAGGACGCCGATAGGAACAAGAAGCTGAAAGACCTTCAACTCGATGAACTGATTTCTTCGAGCTCCGGTGCCTGTGTTGTGATCAATCACTGGCGTGGCGAAAAATATGTTGGTGGTTATGACTTGAAGGGCATCTTCCCGCGATCTTCCTGGGGTGAAAACGAACCACCGATGATCAAATGGTCCAAGGAATTGACAGATGGTGCGGTCTTTCTTGCGCTCGCAAAGGAGGCGATAGGCGGTTCTGGGTACAATATCATTATGCAGTTTTGGAATGCTTGGCCCGGATTTATGAAGACTGCCTCCCTCAAATCTTTCTTTGACCCTATGGCGAAAGCTGATGGCGAAGAGTGGTACAAAGTATCCATTATCGACGGCGCCAAATCGAGGAACAAAAGCCTACCTCAGTATCTGAAGGACTTTGCCAAGACTACAGCTGCTTTGAGAGATAGTGGAACCAAGTTCCCTACGGTGTTTATGACCGCTCCGGATGATTATCGGGCGATCGTGATAGACGCCGTGGAAGACACAAACTTGGCCGATGGGTGTCTCGCCATCAACATGGAGCGGGCAAAAAAGAAGGTTGCACGCCAAGATGACGAGATATCTACTGGTGCTGATGCATTGACGTGGGATACGCCTATCGAAAGCCGCCCGAGCTCCTCCCAGGCGCTTGAAGCTTTCTACAAAAGGATTGCTTGTTAATCTAACAATGCTTCTTGGTCACCCTTGATGGTCACCACTGGAGATGCCTGACGCGCTGGGGATAGTATGGCTTCCTTCGAGGGACGAAATGAGGAAACAGTTGGTACATGCAGACTATCTTTAATTTCACGCTATCAAGCTCGATGATAGCTGCATTTATGCTTTACATATGAATAATATCAACCAATTGAACGATGTTTAGATTCTGATCATGTAAGTTTCGTAACCCAGGATTCCCATATAATGCCACCTGAGGTATTTCTAGCTATGATCCTAAATCCTCCACTCCACATAGATAAAAAAATACTACTAGCTCCATTTGAGTTCTCGCCCATTCAAAGAAAACGAACTAAATAATCAAAATATTTGACTCGGAGATGATCAAGACCTGAAGACATTGTGAAACAAACTGTGATCTAAGTCTTGTGCTATATATTTCTGATCTGTGTTATTTTCAAAATTGTTCACCACCCAGCATCTCGTCCGACATCAGCGCATCGCAGTTCTGGCCTCTAAAATGAACTGTAGCCTACTCCTGCCCCAGAACGCTGTGGCCATACGATGAATGTGTTGATGATACGTACATACCTACTTGACTGCTCGCGCTATCAAGCGGGGAGCTGCCATGATTTACTACAGTAACACTCTTGGTGGAAATCTGCTGTATCTGGATTTCAGGGCAGCAGGATTCAATTTTGAAAAGAGCCTGGATAAGACAGGAGCAGTGCAGTATGCGTTTCTCACAGAGCAATGTTCAATTACATTAAGTGAATAGTGCTCAGTACATCACGGATACATTCACTATACTATGCAAACTAGCATCATCGGCTCATTCCAAAACAACAAAAGTGAACGGTACCTCTCACAAAACACTAGCCCGGAACCGATCAAAACGGTATAAATACATGTCCTGCGACTACTCTAGACTCAAGAGACTGTTTTCCTCATCATAGCTCTTTAAGAATATCTCCGACTTTAGCAAACGATAATTCGGCTATGATTTCGTCCCACAGTGTCTTGGCCACACGCTCGCCGTCCTTAGAGTAGACAAAAGGTGCCTTTCTATTAGTAACAATATTAGCAAACGGTATGTGAGAGAAAAAGAAAGCAGTTGCAAAGTGATTATTGCTAGATGCAACAAAACCAGAAAAGTTGTGTTAGGGATCTGGATACCGAAATCCCGGGATTGTACATACGGTTGCATTTTGCCACTTTCTATGTATTGCCCATGTGCCTCGGCGCCAAAGGCAACGGTGCCAATGGTGACGAGTCGAGCGGCTACGCTGGGCGGCCGTCCAAGGATTCTCCGCGGCACGGCGATGATGGTGTCACCAATAGTCCAACCCTCGGTCTTTCCCAGCCCGGTACCGTATGCCCATCCCGGATTGGGCATTGTTATGATGGCGAGCGACGGAGAGACCCTCTTTGACAGTTCCGACACAAAGAGTTGGCCGAGGAGCTTCGAGGTAGCATATCGACCGAGATCCATGTTCTTCGGGTCGTCTAGCGCTGGTAGAAGAGGTACCACGTCCTTTTCTTTGAGCGTGGCCCATGATGCCATGTCGGACGAGACGAATACCAACCGGCCAGGGTGTCCCTGGTGCTTCTTGGCCTTGATGATGGGAAGAAGCAAAATGGCCAGTAGTGCTGTGGATAGGATATTCACCTGCATTGTCTGCTCGTGCCCCGTAGAAGCGACTTTGGAATAGAATTGGTTAGATATTCCGGCATTAAGCACAACAATATCCAGCCGATTTAGGGCCTTGGCACGCTCTGCAAAAGACATGACACTGTCATATGATGAGAGCTCTAGGTTCCAAACCTCGACATCAGGAAGGGGTTCTTGACGGCCTGATAGCAAGGTTTCACGTGCCTTTTGACCTTTGGACTCGTTGCGCACAGCTATAATCAACTTGCCCAAGCCATAGTCTAGAAGCTGTCGAGCGCACTCGAGTCCAATGCCAGTGTTAGATCCTGTCACGATGGCAGTCTGGCCCTGTAGATCGACATTTTCTGGAAGTGTAGGCTTTTCATAGACTTGTCTACGCAGGAAGCTGCGTACCCCGGCCCGCTCCTCAACGTTGTCGAAAGTTGGGGCTGGTGAACTCATCGTGTCCATTTCTGTAGTGCTGCGGCAGTGACAATGAGTTTCTCCTCCTTGAAATCGAATTGTAGTATTGTTACAAATAGAGCACGAATCGAAAGGGGTTGGGGCATAACGGGAATGGCCTCCAACAAAACGCATACAGCATCCCTGTAAGTTGTTGCGCTAACATGTCCAGTGCATTGAAGCTCATGTTAACCCCGATTCCCTAAGTCCGCTCAGTCCCTTGTAATTGGTCGCAATACCTGAGTCTCAAATTGCAACGAGGTAACCTTACAGGTATATCGAATATTTATTTCTCGAGTAATTGATCAGTATTGTACGAAATTGTTTGGACTTTCTGCTAGCTGGCATATAATACTGTTGTTAGTCGTCAAAATCTGCGCTGAAACCAGACTGATTCGCGCTTCGTAGCCTGAAGAGACTGATGTATTCTTGACGCCTCCTTCCTCCCACCCCTTTGATCGTCGAACACATCATTCTGCTCTTAAACATCAGGTTCCAAATAGGCCTCCTGTGCAGCAACAACTCGGCACTGCAGGGCAAAATGACCGATGGCACAAATCAGTTCGGCTGACAGCAAGTTGGTTGGTCATGTGACTCGATCATGATTTCAGCAAGTGGCAAACACAATGGGTTATGATAGAATCATGGTACTTATGTCGTAATCTAGAGGAGCTATGGTTCACTATCTTTTGCAAGGAAAGGTAAAGAAAGAAATGTAGAATGAAACCAAATAAAGTTTGTCTTGATCACCAATAGCCTAGTGTATGGGAATTGAAGTGCCAATCTACATGAAAGTCCGACACCAGGTGCAATGCCACAAAATAGGGTAATTAAAAACCCAACAAGGTCTGTAATACTGATGCTACTCCATCCCACATCGTGTCCGTGTCGGGGTGATCATGTTCTTTGAGGGCTTCGACGAAGCCGTGCTCAGAGAGTTTCTCTAGCATTTTCGAAATGAGTCCCATTTTCAGTCTGATTTCGGAGGGATATGAGGTGGCAAATCTTGAGATACGGATTGTTTAGCATCGGAACATGACACAAGCGCTTTAAAACCAGAGAGAGATTGTTGTTGCGGACTCGGCAAGGCGTAACTCACAAGGCTTTTATCGATAATGTCGACAGTGTGAAGAGTGTGTACCACCAATGTCGGTGATATGGGGAGTTTTCCTGGGAACCAGCTTTGTTAAAAAGCTGATACTTGAATGTAGATGGCCGAATGAATCCAAATTGCGGGAGGTAATATGGAAGCCAGCGATTGATTCTGTGCACAGAGACAATGCTAGGCCATGGTTATATACCTGTGAAATTATCAAAGACCGTAACACAAGTACTCAAAGAATGCAGGCGAACATCACTATGTGGTCAAATCGTAGAAGAAGCTTGAGCTATCGCATCTGTTTACCAGTAAGAGTCGATGAAATCTACCTATGCAGTGGCCGATGAAGACTGCTCCACGCTGGAGCCAATAATCGATTGGAAGAGTTGATAGAAAAGCTCAGCCACTTTGATGCCGCGCAACAAAGCGGGGCGGGGGACTGGTCATACAATACTAACTGGGCAGCCTTGATCATATATTGCCATCAGCGCTCCATGTTGAGCTGACAACTTCGCCCGAGTCTTCCGTGCCAAGAGAGGGAAGGGGGCACGTTGTTACCAAGAATCAGCCTGTATCAAAAGTGACAACTTCGTCAGAGAATCAACCAGCTTGCCGCAAGGTGAAAACGAATCAGCATCAAAATTTTGTTGAATATCATGTGGCGAAAGGGCAATAGGACCCCGAGGGATTCTAATGGTGTACACAGCACACGTTAAACACGTCACCTCGACATACGAAGTCAGCCTTGGCCTTGCGTGGAATCATCCAGATCATTGTACCAGGCCGGGAAAAGAACAGAAAGAAATATTAAAAAAGAAAATAAGAAAAGAATACCGAGTCCACAGCAAGACAAAGTCAGATGAGCAAGTCATCACAGTTGATGAGTCTTTCTCATCACTTTGCGAAGTAACTACGATATACATAATTGGCATCAGAAATAGGGGGGTCATTCGCAACAAGAGATGTAGTCTGATTATCTCGCGCAGCCACGTGAGGTATTCCTAAATGATTTCATACAGAAGATTCAGTATTTGAGCCCTGTGGAATTGGGTTTCTTCACGCAGCTGCCCATGCCTTATCTTTAGCTGAGGCTCTGGAGCTTCTGGACCAATACGGACATCTCTGAAAACCCGAGTTACGACTGATCCGCTCCGTGACTAGGAACTTGTACAATGCAGTATAATTTCAAGCTGTTGCCGAGGGACGCTCTCGAGGTCGGCATGCTGACGATAAGATCGCGAATACTTGCATGATCATATGTGGCGAAGCTTCTGATAATCTTTGCCACCCTATGGGTGGCCACAAACACTTGACGACAAGGACAATGACTGTAAGAGACGCCCCCGGGGGCCTTTTGGGAGATGAGCTCGACTTTTACGATCTTGGAATAATAGGCAGAGAAAGACATTCGAAATGCCCGAAAAAAAAAATTGTCTTTCCGCTGCTTACTTGGTGAACTAACACATGCACCTGGGGGCCATATAGATTGTGTTGGGTGCAGATAATAGATTCAGGGCTTGGGCCATGCCGCTTCGGAGTTTTGTGTTTGAACCACCAATGTTCTGGAGGTAAGATTCCGGTTAGTGGGCTCTTGGCGGTTCATTAGCAGATGATCTGAGGTAGCGCCAGTGCTTGGTAGTGCTATCGGAGTTTTAGGTCATCGATTGATCGAATCCATTTATCCTCGGCACATAAGGAGCCATTGCATCTATCAAAAGGGGGAAACATACATTTGAGCCGACGCACAATTTCCCGTTCTTCCGGAGATCGGTACTACTACTAAGAATCCCCGGCGATTGGAAAGAATTATTGATTCGGAGGATATTCACGAAATTCCCAAGTGATCTACAGAGTACCTACACACCATAGACACGCTACGGTACTTGTGAGTTAGTGGACGCCGGGTTGCGTGGGGCCATCCGCCAGGGCTAAATTTCGCCGAGGACGTTTTCCTGTTAGAGGTCGCCGAAGCTACCCAGAAGATTTTCCTCCGCCAATCTGGGGAATACCTGAGTTATGACAAGCATGCAGGGAGATCGTCGGCGTCGGTTTGCCAAGGTAGGAAGTCAAGTGGTAATTGTCTGTTAACGAAGTTGCTCACAATTATAGGCGTGCGATTCGTGCCGCCGAAAGAAGCTCCGCTGTGACGGTGTGCGGCCACTATGCGCTCGCTGCCAGGATGCCAACACTCCGTGCCACTACGCCGATGTTGATAAGCCCGAGACACGTCGGAGTCGTGCCCGTGATTCTACCAGGACTCCCCGGCGCCTCGACGATAATAGCGGCGTCGGGTCCGGTATGGGATCTACAACTCCAAACGTGCACTGGTCTAGTCCTGCGGTCATCGAGGCTCCATCCAGCGTAGCTAGCACTTTGCCTAGACGGAGTAACAATGTTGGACCGACAACGCCCGCCGGAGAAGATGGGGGTGCATGTAGTCTACAGTCAGCGCATCCGGCCGGGACTTCAAGAACACAGGACTCTGCTGGAGACCCTGACACAATTGTGGGCAGAAATGTAGATACACGATTCTTTGGTAGGTCTTTATCCCTAGCATTCGTCCCGGGGAAATGACCTCTGATGTTTGGTGGGTCTATAGGGCCAGCTTCTGGAATCTCGCTCGTGTCAATCAGGGAGAGCCCGCGGGAGTTCGATCCGTCAAAACGACGTACAACGAAAAGTCGATTCCAAGAGGGTTCCTGGTCTTCATGGACACACCCAACAATTCAAGGGGTGCTCGAAAAACGAGTCAACAGAACTCTACCTTCATGGACTGAAGCTTTCTCCCTCGTGAGCGAATTCTTCAGTCATGAGCATCAAGCTATTCCATGCTTCCACCCTCCCACTTTTATGACATTCCTAGGCCAGCAGTATTCTGGAGCACCTTCCGACAATCCTGCTTGGTGGGCGTCACTCAATGCCGTGCTAGCCATTTCTCAACGCCGCCGTGTTGAGAATGGCCAATGTGACCCAAATGGTGAGGAGTTGGTGTGGGAATATGCTGCAAATGCTCTTGGAAGCACGTTGGACATTCTCATGCGCAATACGCAGTTAATTTCTGTTCAAGCTCTTCTGTGCATCGCTTGGTTTTTTCTCGGAACACCTAACCCCCAACCCAGCTTTATGCTCACAGGAAGTGCCGTCCGTCTGGCTCACTCTATAGGACTTCATAAAACTGACCATGCTGCATCTATGGGTTCTATTGAGCAAGAGACGAGAAACAAGGTCTTTTGGGTTGCTCTGACCCTAGATCGGGAGCTCTGTCTCCAAACAGGGCGACCCCCTACTCATGATCTACAGCACTTTCATGTTCAATTACTAGCCGACTTGCTCCATGACGACTCGGAGATCATAACCACTGCGGATGGCTCAAAATTGAGTCTCACAAGCTCTCACGCAAAGTTGTGTCTAATTCAAGACCGCATATACAACGAGCTTTATTCTAGCCAGTCCTCAACTGACACTAGCTGCGTTGTGGAATCTGTTTCAAAACTCACAGCACAGCTGCAAGACTGGTGCGCAACGATTCCAGGACTTCGTACAGATACTCCCATGTACAATGGCGAGCATCACGGGTTGATACGACTCTATTATTCCTACTATAATTGCGTGGTGCTGATTCATCGTCCCCTTGCCCGCGAATACTGGCTATCATCTAGACCAATGATGGCTTCGGACCTGTCGGAGAACATAATGAGTTCCGTTCGAGAGTGTCTCGCAGCTGCCCGTGGTATCTTTCATCTGCTCCAAGCAATACCTCATCAACGGAAGAGCTTCTACTGGTAGGTACCTGTGGACTTGCTAGACCTTATCAACACTTGATTTCAGTCATGTGTCTTTGAACAAGACTTTTCACCCTGTTCATTTGCTGACCTGTTGCCAGGGACGTTGTTCCACCTATATTGAGCGCAACTATCATACTCGCTACCAACGCCATGCGCAACAACATATCTGATGCCACAAGGAGCGACTTGGAGGCGATATCGAAGGTGATAGAGCTCTTTGAAAACCTGGACCAAATGAAAAACGATACATATCTTTTTCAAGTACGCACGCTGTGTACAGAGCTGTATCAATCTGTGCAACATGCCTTCAAGTCTTCCGAAGGACAATCAGCATCTCAACTGCGACAGCAAGATTGGGCCGCCCAAAATGTTGTCACAGGAAATCACCACCAATCTGATATCATGCAAGTAGAACAATCATTCCAAGGACGGACAATGCCAGGCAGTAATTTCTTGCCCATGCTGCCTGGGATTGAAGGGGGCAATGCCGCTGTAGGAATAGAGCCCGAGTCGGAAAGAAATCCATCCGCTGCAAACGCTTGGCCGCCAGGTATACTTTCGTTTCCGGATCTTAGTCCTTGGGGCATGGACATACTTTCTGGCGGTTTGTTCGCACCCTTTCCCTTGGACCAGGAATAGGCAACGGTACAAACATGATCAAACGATCCAGTCATGTGTGCTCAGTCATTTTGACTGCATCAGCGTTGGACCTTTTGTCGACAATCACCATGTATACCTCGAGTAATACAATTTTTCCCCTTCAGTGATGCAGTCTAGGCACCCATGATCTGCGAGTTTTGTATGGTGTCCATGCTTTAACTGAGGCACTTCTTTTTCGGTTCAATAATTACCTTGGCTGAGGTTGTCAGCAGCCTTGATGTATACTACTCGCTTACACCGAACGTTGTCCAGCGTGACCGGATGGAATTTTTCGCAATCCGTAACCAGGCTTGAGCTCCAGGTGAATGCAAAGTTGAAAACCATGGCGATGATTGTCCTACGGGTTAGTGCCTCTTGAGCCTATAGGTTGGGTAAGACTAAGGTTGTTAGCCCGAGAGCGAGAGGTCTTCTGGCGTTAGAGGTCGCACCCCAAGAATACCGCAGCAATCTTTGGGATTTCGATGGTAGCCTATGGATTGACGAGATACTATTGTCAAGCTCCTCGCCTTTCCGAAAGATATCCAATCATTCCCAGACTGAGAAGTAGAAATCCAAGGACTATTTGTGATGCCTGGTAATATTGAAGGTTCTTTGGCTCAAGTATTTGCCCCCACCCACAGCCCCCACAAGACCGCCCAACTTTGACCACGTCAGGTCAACTCGTGTCAGCCAACTACTAGGTATGGAAGTCATGATGGCATGGCGTTTGACCGGTGTCACCTTTAAAGTAGAAAATTCATTGCCTGTGACATGAGCCTCGCGATTTTGCCACAAGGCGTTACAAGTTGGCATCACTATGACATTTGAGATGCTTGTAAATATGTTTGTTTACCAAAATAAGGATACCAAGTCCGGGCTGACCAGCGTTGCACCTACTCCACAAATCTTGGCCCCCAATAAGCCCCCGTCGGGTCAGCTCTGCAGGGGTGGGCACCGGTGAGTTAGTTGAGTTGTTCGCAGACGCGAGTTCGCAAGTGAGCAATCAGGCATCAAGAGAAGAGAGACGCTCGATCTGTATGTTTTATCTGATGCCTGCCCCTTGGTGTGGAATATATAGATGAACATGCCTTTGCACTTCTTTTAGAGGATCTCAATCATGAGACATACAACTTCACCACATTCACTCACAGCGTACTTGACTTGACTCCCGGTGCTTATCCCGGTCGGAGTTCACTCACAGTGTACTTGACTGGACACTTGCCCTGGAAACGCTGACTAGTCAGCCATTCGCTTCCATGGTTAGATTTGTGTAAGTCACATTGCCAAGAATGCCAGAACATTGAAGAATTTATTCTTTGGGGATTTCATGGACATGGCTTCAAGTTTCATTTGAGTCAAAGGGGGCACGAAAAGTCACAACTCCACGGATCGTTGGACCCAGGGCAGTTATTCTATTCATCAATGAAAATTGTTCTACAACATCCATTCTCCCCCCTTAACCCAAATTGAAATGCCCCCAGTTCCAAATCACGCCTCTCCCCAAATCCCAGTGTCGGGTTTTCACCTCCTACTTGTCCTCTCAGCATCTGCGAAAAATTGGGCAGAATTACCCAATTGACGACTTCCAATTCCTGGCGCAAAGGGGCGCAGCGTCTCCAAATTTGGGTAAAGTTGCTGCTCGAGTGATTGCAGCTTGTTTTCTGTGGATGGTGCAGCCTCGCCAACCGCCAAGCGTTTTGTGACCTGAGACTGTCCGTCTTGGTTGAGATAACGCTCCAGCAGATATGTTGGCCTTTATTTTGTCAGAATTCTTCGTTCCAATTGCGAACGAGATGATCAACCTACTTTTGTTGGGTTGAGGGCATAATGACCAGGTATTTTTTTTGATGGTGAGTCTTTGCAGCTTAATCAGGTTGCACTTGGGGGTTTGCGCAGTATAGCAGTTGCGTATAGTATAGTATCATTACTCGAGACGCAAAGGGAGCACAGAGCCCAAACTTTTTAAAAAGCCATATTCTGTGCGACTCTGTGGCATCAACTCTTGAATTGCATCGCTCAGTGACTTAGAAAATCGTCCTAGCATCTCACCGTGATGCTGAATTGAACTGAGCGTCATGTTGCGATGCTCATAGCACATTGCATCGCACTGCGACGTAAGGCGTCCAGCGCACCATCCCAACTACGCCTAGGCACTGCACAGCCGCCCTGACAGTAGATTCAACCTAAGACACTCGATTTCCTTATGAACTTTTCAAAATCCTATTGTCCTGGAAATCAATGCCCCTTGTGATTCATTATTTGTAAAACAAGATCATATCTATTGCTTTGCAAGCCCCAATGAGCTCTGGCAGGAAGCCCAGAGCGAGCAACCCTCGCAGGCCCTCAGCCAGAAAAGCCCGGGCCCGGCGTACTGCCCCTTCTCCTTCCCGCCGCCGTCAATACCGGCTACGCTGCCCATTCCATGCCAAATTTCCCGATAAGTTTAGAGGCTACAATTCTTCCTGCCAGGGAACTGGATTTGAGACAAATGCACGTGTTGTGTAAGTCGATCAGACCAGAGATCCGCATTATATAGTGTTACGCTCTCTCTAACTTGTGGCCCAAGCGAGCACCTAAAGAGAGCCCACGGGCCGGTCGAGCTAAGCGACGATGCCGTCACTGACCCGGAGGCCACCGCCTCTCCAGGCCCTCCGCAAGCCGTGGCGGCGGACCGCGACAGCGAGCGAGTAACCAACGAACAATTCGACTTGATCGCCAGCCTTCCACGAAACCCAAACATTCAGGAGAAATGGGAGAAGATCTACAATATTATTTTCCCAGGCGATGAAGCTATCAAACCTGCCTACATGGTCTCAGTGGAACGGTTGCGAGACCACGCCCGGAACCCGCCAGATTCGCTTATTCTCAAGCTGATTGGCGCGGGCATGGGGGCGTCTCATCAAGAAATACGCCTCTTCCTGCAAAATTGTCTTCTTTTCATCGACATTGTCGGCGGTAGTCCTTCGTCTTTGCCGCCATCCATTGTTACCCCCCCTCAAACCGAACTAGGACAGCTATCCCTGAGTTCTGAGAGCCTTGTGGGTACTTCTTCAGCGGGCGACATGAAAGATAATACTGGTATAGGTGAACAATTTTGTTTTCCAGAGACAGATTGTTCTCCTGGGCATGGTTTTGAGAGTACGCATGACTATACCTTTGAAATGATTGATTTTGAAGCATTGAGGGTTGGGCAAGATTACACGGACAAAGAAATGGCAGAGGCTCTTGAGTAGTCGAGTTACCAATTGATGACCAGTTTTACAAAGTATTGTGTCTCTACCTGCTGCCCCTCCCCCACTACGAAGTATACCGCCCAAACAGGTACTGCTGTACCCACCTAGGTATAGACGACGTAATCTGTAATACACATCAAGCATCATCATGTACCTCAGATGCACGAATTCATGGAATTGGTACTAGAATCAAGCCCACTGAGTCTCAATGTTTTGAACATCCGTTTTCCCGCTTTTTCCTTCACAGCGATTTTAGTTGAATAGAAATGTGCACGAATTCTACCTAGGTGGTATTTTTCCAGACCGCTTGGCCCCCAAGCCCCTTGGTACGGTAGAAATTATAATTACCACGTTACTGGTTCAGTGCGGGGCAAAGTTGTTGAAAAATGTCCCAGTACGGAAAGGGATTAGTAGAATTCTGCTATAAGCATCGCTCTGCGATGCTTCCGAACATTCTGCCTTACGGGCTGTAACCATATGCAGTCTGCCTTATGCCCTCGGCCCCTCCCTTTCGTAATGGGCCTCACATCTCTGCCGTCTCGTTGGAAAGGGCCTCAAATCTCTGCCCTATATGCAACATGGTACTTTTGGCCTCCATGTTTTTCCACTTTTGAACCACCAAAACAGGCCTCGAGATCAACAGTCTAGTCATCCATATCGAAGCCTCAATGTCTGTGCACAGTGTGCGCAACTAGCAGACCACCACATAGCGGATTTGGCATTACTTTCGGCATCGTGAGTCCACAACTGGTCCAGGATTGAAAAATGATTTGCAATTACATGGCTCACCAAGAACAGTCAATTTGAGCCTCACGATCGACTCCATCGAATAACCATCATTCCCAATGAGAAGACAACATCTAGGATAGGCAAAGAGGATTTGGAAATGAATGGAAGCGATTTCGACGACATTTCGAGCAGCACCAAAACGGCCTCATTCGGCGTCTCTGATATTGAAGACGCTCAAAGAAGAGCCAAGGCAGTTCAGACAGTCATGGATTGTTTCAATGGCTGGCTCGACTCGTCAAGATGCCATACCGATACAGTGGAAGGAGAGTGCCACAGCAAGACAAATATCAAGAGTCCATGCCATGCGTCGTGGGTGGACGCTCCAGATGGATCATGCAACAAGCGAAAGCACGACTCTGAACGGGACAGTTTGAGTCAAAGCGATCAGCAGAAAGCTCCCAAGACCAAGCATGTCAAATCTTCTGCTAATCTAAAGTTTGCATGCCCCTTCTTCAAGAAAGACCCATCCAGATTCACCCGCCGTCAGGCTTGCAGCGGTCCCGGATTCTCGAGTATTTCCAGAGTCAAGTAAGTAAATGTAGTGAATAAGTCATACTGTCTCCAAGTTCTGGCCATCTGATCAGGCATACGTAGAGAACATTTGTACCGCGCTCACAAGCAGCCCGACTACCAATGTATTCGTTGTTATTCCTCCTTTGCAACCAGAGAAATGCTCGAGGAGCATCAGAGAGCAGAAGTTCCCTGCAAGATCTGCACAAACAACTTCTCTGATGGCATCAACGAAGCGCAATACATTCGACTGCGCAGAAAGCCCAGTGGACAAAAGACAGACATTGAGCGGTGGGAAGAAATCTACCGAATCGTGTTTCCCAAAGCTTCCACCATACCATCTTGTTGTACGTTTTTTGAAAAATATCAAGATTGCCGTCTCTGTCGTTCAAGTTTTAAGATGACTTTTAGACTACGAATTGAAGGATACCACCACCTCTTCTTCAAAAGACTATTCACTGGGCCTCAAGCAGATGGAGAATGCACTGGTGGCTGGCGTGCAAAGGGACTTGGAAGATCGGTTCGAGCAAGTCGAAACCGACCTCAAAGCCAGCTTTCTTCTCATGGTTAAAGAACGAGTTGAACTTACAATTGTGAGTATTCGAGATTTGTGTTCTATATTTGTTTTGTTTTGTCCTCTTTCGTCGGATCCACAAATAAACTTCTTATTTCGACTGTCTATTTTATGGCTTCAGTCTTTTCTTTTCCTCTCTTCTTTTTCTTGTTGAAACATATCTATTCAAACCACTCGAACAAATACAACTGTTCACTCCATTGCAACAAATGCTAACATAACACGTCTACCCCTTCCCAGCAAGAGTTTCTCGACAAGAACGGAAGCTCACCTCCAACCGAGTTGCCAGCACTCACCACGCAAGCCGAATCGCCAGTCGATCTCGATTTGGAGCCACCGGCACTCGAGTTTGATACCGAGCTAGCCTTTGACTTTCAAAACTTTGGCCCGGGAATCGAGGACAGTCAATTCACCATGGATCAGTCCTTGATGACTCTTTACCATGGAAGCCCCGGCAGAGGCTTAGGTCTGCAGATTTGAGTGGTTTGCGTACGTGAAGGCTTTTGACCCTATTTCCACGAATTGGAAGATTCTTTCATATTTCTAATCCCCAAAATAGGTTTTGGACCTTTTTTGTTTGAGCAATCTAATGAGTTAAATCTAGACTTGGAGTTTCACATTTTGGTGAAACGAGAAATGATATTCTTTTATTTCTGGGTAAGATATGCCTTTTTCATCTTGTACTCGCACAGAGAATGTTAGTTCCTTGCTGATCTGTGCCCTAATAGTCGCTGTTCGGCATGGTGTGGCTACTTTGCTTTCTTTGGTGGCGTCCGTATTTCAAACATCAGTTTTTGTATTCAGGTAAGATTTTCCCACCTCTCTTTCGTTCAAAGGAATTTTCTGACTCGAGTGTCAGGATTTGTTGCTAAAGCAAATCTCTCATGTAACATATAGTTCTTCTCGAAATAGATCTCACAATTCATATCCTCCCATTTACTTGGTCATGACAACAGAATGTGATTGCTGCTGGACTGTGACATATATGTAGGAAGGTCAATATTGCGGATGGTCGATATACGAGAATAAAGTATGGGAAGTTTATAAATAATTATTACTGCTTTTCTAAAATTCCGTATTTCGAAGGGATCATTGATTGACCTGAGCTTGAGCTGTGATCGTGGTTTAATTATCAAGAAAAACATCTCTATCTTTACTCATTTTCTTTTTTATCTTCGTATTTCTGACTACTAACTCTGAGACTGCTCAACTTGTACCACCAAGGCCGTAGCTCAGCCTCTGTAACGATCACTCTGGAGAAAAGCCTTGATATTTGGCCTGGCCTCTGTAGCCTCCACAAACTTGTTGATCCGGGGATAGCCCTGAAGCTCCTTGCGACCGTCTTGGACAAGACCCTCATCGTGGAGGATTTGATACAATAGGATATCGCCGTACGTGAAATCATTGCCAAGAATATACGACCCAGTTTGTGCAGAGGCATTCTCCTGGAGATGCCGCTCAATGGCTGCAAGGTAGTGGTTGCGGTCTCCCTGCTGGTGCTTGGGCCAGTCCTCCTTGTTCTGTGAAAGGAAAGCCGTGACGAACAAGGTACGCCCTGTTGATTTAATGTCAGTAACAAGACTCAGGAAGAAGAGATATGGCCACTAGGTGATTGCAGTGAGGTTTTCAAACTTACAGTCGGTGACAATGTCGGTAATGACATCTACAAAGTACTTGTCCTCGGGCGTCTTGCCGTCATAGGCGTCGAGCAGACGAGCAAAGTAGCGCAGAATGGCATAACTCTGCACGAGAATCTTGCCATTGAGCTCCACCACGGGAATGTTTCCAGTCGGGTTCAGTTTCTTGATCAACTGCTCCTTGAACTGCGGATACTCTTCCATCGAGTACAACTAAGTGACAAAAAGGCGTGTCAGCATACATGCAGTGCGTAAATGATACAATTGTACAGAGTCTTGAAGCAAACGTACCAGATTGTCGTAGGCGATCCCGGCATCTTCGCAGAATAGGCGAACGGTTTGGCCTCGGCCACGGGACATGAAGTCAAAATAATGAACCGTGGGGACACCGCCGAGAGCCTTGTTGGCTGCGGATTCGGTACCGACACGAGTTGTTGTAGGCATCTTGAAGTATGGAATTGGGTTATAGGTGTGGGCTGTGTGGAGATGTTGAATTATAGTGCTAGTGGCTGCTCAACAGACTATGCATTGTAAAAATTGGGCATTACGCATCTTAAATAGTCGTTGAGACCACTAGGTATGCGTGCAAATCATTAAAATGGATGAGTATATTGCAGATCCCGGTGGTGACTCTCGACCGCGGAGTTGTCTGTTTGGAATTGACAGATTTGGAATTTTCGTCCAACAGGGCGCGGTGCCAAGCGTCAAGCAAAGGGCGCTGCGGGATTTGACTTGCAGGGCATCAGCCGCTAACTGGTCGTCAGCAAGCTCGACGATCTGCCTTCAAGGTACTTACTAATTTGAATGCAGATGTGTGTCCATAATGCCAATTATCTGCGGCTGTAATAACCGCCGCACTTCAAAACAAAGACACCAATCATTAAGATAAATGCACCTGGCACTCCACCGTTCGGTCGAGAGTAATATCTCGCATTATGCGACCAACGTCCTGATTACACTATCTAAGTTTCCACATTCGGAAGCTTGTCAGCTATTTATTTTAGCAGGCTGCATCTCCACCGGGTTTATTACCAAGCAGTGCGAGAGCGCCGGCAAATGCTTTGGCTAGTTGAACACCTCCCCAGATGGTATTGTGCGCACCCTGGAGCGTCACGATTTCGGCCTCCTTTTCTGCCACGTCCTTGATGACGGCATACATGGTATCAACCTGATCCCAGGGCACGAGCCCATCATCGTGACTGTGCGCCAACACGACGGCGCGCAGTTTCAATTGGGCATACAGCGATGAGGGGTACTCTGCGGGACTTGCAGAACCCAGCAGTGCCGGGTCCTTGATGGCATTGAGGGTGAGATTGGTGTACTCGGGATTTGTGCGCAAGATTTGGGGAAAATCATAGATGCCGCTGACGCCCAGCACAGCGACGGGCTTGGGGATGGTCGTGTCGTTTAGAGTCTGGATCGCTGCGAGGAACGCCATCTGTGCGCCCACCGAGTGGCCAGAAATTACATAATTGCCGTCGATGCGATGGTGCCGGTTGAGGTCTCGCAGCCCCGCGACAACGTCGTTGAGGTGATCGGGCCAGCTGACGTTCTGAATCTCGTTTGGGGGTGTCGTCGCCGGGTCTTGCACACCGGGGAAGGCGGAGAGCCTGTAGTTGAGCGATGTAATGCCCGCCACCTGGTCAATGGTGTTGGTGAGGTTTGTTGTGTTGCGGGCCTCCAGAATATCAATGGCCGGCTGGACTGACGTCGAGTTTACGGTCAAATCGCGAAAATATCCGCCGTGGATGTAGACCAGCCAAGTCTTCCCAGAGTGAATATCTTGACTCTTTCCATTGCCTTTGGGGATGTGAACATCGTAACTCTGCAAAACGTTGGGCCCATAGGAGTAGTGTTCTGTGGTGTAAGAGTTGGCCATGGCCGCTAAGAACAAGCCCGCCGAAAGACGATTCAAAACACGCATGATCAATTGCAACGCAAGACAAGACAGGATTGGAATATCAAATGAACAATCAATAGAATTAGTTTGCAGCAAAACAAGTGGGTATATGAAAGCTTATCAATGGGTTCCGTGCCGGGGCCTAAGAGGTCCACAGCTAGATGAACTCGGCACTTCGGAGCATCAGGGGTGATATCCGACCGAGTGCATGATGATGATGATGCAAGTTGGCGGGAATGGCGAATTGGCGGGGATGGTGGCAAAGAAACGACCACAGCAAGGGGCATCCGCTAGCCGCTGTTATACGAGCCGTGCAGTTTAGTGTGTCCAACATGGTACCAAAACGGACTATGCTGCCATGCCGCCGCAGGACAAGAACAATAACAACAAGATTAAAGAACAAAAGTTGAAGGGATCAAAATCAAAGGGAGGAAAAGCAAGCTCGTGAATGCTCGATGCAAGTCAAGCCAGAGGGAGATAGAGGAGAACCCGAGTCAAGGTGAAGGTGCATGTGTGTACAGCGACGACGACGAGTCTTCGAGTTTGCTGCGTTTGTCTGCCTCTAGAAAATCTCCCCACTTGTGGACTTCCCTAGACGCCGCCTCCATGCGCAAAAGTTGCGCTGCGGGAATACTAGGACGGGAGCGGAGTCTCGGTTTCAACAACATGGTTCGTCGCCTTTGGGGAGCTTCGGATGGCGGATCGGCGAGAGTGGATCTCGTCGAGGCTTCACCGGGGGCCGGCATCTCGGGGGTGTAATCCAAGTCCGGTGATAATTTGTGTGGCGCAAAGACCCGGGGAGGTGGTTCCAGGTCCCAATATTTCTTGTCCTCTAGGGTCATGGCCTGAAGCAACAAATGGAGCCTTTGGTCCTCATCGCCCGGACCGGTTTTGCGGCTGGTGCCCTTATCTGTTCCTCGATCGTTGCCAGGAACAGGGACCAATTCCCACGATTCGTCCAATTTGGCACCTTTGTTTGTCTTCTGGCGTTTTTCGCCGGCTTTTAGGTCCTCTTTCTTCTTGTAAAGCTGCGCAAAGTCTCGAGCATCGCTCACATCGATCCATTCGTCCTCGGAATCGTCCTTGATTTCGCACTGGTCCCAATCATCAAGTTCCGCGTCAGAAGAATAGAGATCTGAATCCGAGAAGTCAATCGATCGCCTGTTCTGGTGTCCCGTAGAGTCTTGAGTGGCTTTGAAGAGCAGTGTAGTTCGTGGATCGGCCATATCGGTCGTGTATTGGACCGTCATTTTGTTAATGACCGAGAGGGAAACGGTTGTGGAAGAGGACATCGGATATTTGCGAGGGGCTTGTGAGTACAAACAGTCACTTTATATAGACGGCCCTTATGCGGCGGCCATGCACAAGCACTACCCTACTTGCAGACAGCATCGGCTTCCGTTCGGTTGAGTTCAAACATTTATGCCCGTAGTATCAAGTCCGAAACGGATTGTGTCTCTGAGAGCCATCGTGTATGATGGTGCCGTACTGACTTTTTCGGCTGCTTCAAGTCGAGCCTAAGAAACAGAAATGGGAACAAAAATCAATTTTCTACGTTTAATTTTCCAACTCCGTGAATTAAGGTGTTGTATGCAGGGTATCGAGCTAGGGCAGTGGCGGCAGCGACAATCAAATCATACCCCTTTGACCAGTGCGATTTGAGCTTAATTCTTCCATCAAGGTGAAATTGTAGATTCTCCTTTATGTATCTCTGTAAGGCCAAGCAGTCTTGCAAAAGGCTATAACCTAACGGAGCCACCTCGGAGTTGCTGAAGATCTTTCCTCCGAAATGGCACGTACTCCCTTCCGTTGGGGGATAACCAATACATTGAGTCAATGGCCTCCTTCTTATCCTGGGCAGCCTTTTCTATCACGTCCAGATCGACACCTTCTGATCTCAGGCGACCCTTTTGTAGCTTCATGGTACCAGTGTACTCAAGCTCTCGACAAACCCTCAAGAAAACTGGCACAGCGTACCGCGGTAGTCGCGCCAAACAGTGTTCGGCCAAAGCCGCAAAGTCAAGCTGCTCCAGTCCTTCACGCACCACCACGGCTGCGCAGCCAGCTCGGCCGTCTGTGTTGGGCACCAGGACGCCATAGACATTAGTCTCGGCCACCTGGGGGAACTCTCCAACGACGTCACTGACTTCATTTGTCGAAACGTTTTCTGACTTCCACCGGTAAGTGTCACCAAGGCGATCCACAAAGTAGAGTCTGCCATCCACGTCGAGGCGCATCAGGTCACCAGACCGAAACCATAGATCGCCCTTTTGGAATACGTCGGCCACTCGGCGCTTTACTGAAGCACCATGGTTGCCAAAGTATGTCGGAGAACCAGCGTCGGGGTTCTGGGCATCAAGCTGATGAATCATTTCGCCCGCCTCTCCTGCCTTGGCCTCGATTGCCAATCCGTCCTTGCCGCGCAGAATCTCTTGCGTGTCGGGATCAACCAGCACTCTCTTCTCCCTGTATCCATTCCACCAGTGCCACAGCTTTCCTCGCACGCCAATGGTGCTGCGAGAAAAGTCTCCTCTATTTTGGATGTTGGAGAAGCCCATGGAATCAGTCCCGGCATAAAGCTCATTGATGCATTCGATCCCGAACCTTTCCCGGAACGTCTCCCACACGTCGGGTCTCATGCCATTGCCCCACGCTATTGTCACATTGTGGCCCTTATCCAAAGGTGTCGGAGGAGCATTGACCAGGTATCGACACAGCTCTCCAACATATTGAATGATATTCGCCTGTGAACTGTGGACTTCTGGCCAAAAGGTCCGGTGGGAGAATTTGCGCGAAAGGACGACGGTAGCACCCGCACCTATACAGGGAAGAACGCAGAGACCATGACCAGCGCCGTGAAACATGGGCAGGCATGTATACATTCTATCGCCCGGCTTCAGAGGCATGACGTGTTCTGGGCTCTGCGACGTGAGTCGGATCTCCCTGGCGCGATCCATTATTGTTCCTTTGGGCAGTCCGGTAGTGCCCGACGTGTAGATTAGGCATGAGACTGCAAGTGGACTAATCTTTTGACGCAGCTCTTTGGGAAGATTCTCGGTGTCTTTGAAAGACTGAAGAAACTCTGGTGAGTAGTAAAGAGTTTTAATTCCAGAAGCCTCCAGGCCCGCCTCAATTGGAGAAACGAGATTGGTGATGGTTGCATCCGCGAGAAGAAATCTCGGTTTCCCGAGTTCAACAGAATGTTTCAGAGATGTAGCTGTCAAGTTATGGTTGATAAAGGCAGACGTTGCTCCGATTCCTTCCACTGCGAGCCAGAGCATGAGCCACTCTGGCGAGTTTGGTCCATCAAGCGCGACCATCTCACCCTTCTTGACGCCGAGATCTTTCAAGAGCCAGTTACCGATTGGCTGAACGGCGTTGAAGAATTCAGTGTAAGTCCACTCCTTGCCCTCAAAGATGAGGAATGTATAGTCGCCCTCGGGCGTGCCCACACGGTCCTCGAAATAGCTGTAAACGGTCATCTTTTCGTTGGCGGCCTTCTCGCCAACGAACTTGATGACCCTATCCATCGCGCCGACGTTTCTACCCAGGCGAACATCATGGCGGATGTGATACTTGGCATCCAGATAAGAAGCAATTGCAGCAGCGCCTGCCACGGCTCCTGCCACGGGCACTGCATGATCTATTAGACATCTCCGGGAAGGGTTCGTGTAGAGAACATTCTGGTGTAGTTGCACTTACAAGCCATATTTGTTTTTGCAACTTGATATTAGCTTTCAAAGGAACTTGAGGTTTCGGGTGACTCTTTGACTTCACAATTGTCTTCGTAAAGAAAAGCAAAAGTCAATGTTGCGCCACCCAACAAATGCAGGACCCCGGCATAGAGAATGCTGGCCGAGGTCCAATGTATTCACAGACTACGTTTCCCCGCATATAGTCCCTACATTACAAGGATTATATGTCACATCATGGAGGCGGGGATCTAGGCTGAGAAGCATCGTAGCGAAAGCCAAAAACGCCTGTGTTAGCTTGTCTGTGATTTGGAGATGTTTGGCGCCAATGTTGATCCCTTTGGTGGGTTCGCGTATGACTGTTTGTCGCAATCGGATGCAGCATCGCGACAGCAAAATTGTGACGCTTGGATCAACTTTCTACTCATGACAAGTGTTTTGGCGAGATTGTCATTTTCAAGGAACTCGCAATTGCATTTGTGTCTCGAGAGCTCCGCAGGGGGTGATTAGTGATTGCTGTCAAAAGAAGATTCCCGACATCCTCTAAGCGAGCCCCCGATGCGATACCCAAACCGCCCGGAGTGAGCGAAACTGCAGGGGTCGTTTGGCCCCCAGAAAAGTGTGGACATGAGGACCATGATGCTGAGCAATCTCGTTGTTGACTCCAGATGGCAAGACTGTACTGAAACAGATTTACACAGTAGAATCGCCGAAAAAGAGTATTGACTCCATGTCTTTCAAGCCTTTGCTGTACTCTTGCAGTGACGTCAATCCGACGCATCCATTTCGGACTTAAAACTCCACCTTAACTCCGAAATCGATATAATATCGTGAGAATGGATTGCATGCTAATCTCTGCGTGACCAGACGTATCACCAAGCACGGAATTTGTACGGCAAAAATGTCCAAGATTTTCATCACAGGTTCAGCGGACGGGCTCGGTCTGCTGTCTGCGCAGGCCCTGGCGAGCCGCGGGCACCAGGTATACCTACACGCGCGCAACGCCAAGAGGGCCGAGGACGCGCGCCGAGCATGTCCGCAAGCGACCGACTGCCTCATCGGAGACCTGTCTTCCCCTGCAGAGACCAAATCGCTGGCTGAGCACTTGAACGAAAAGGGCCCCTTCGATGCCATTATCCATAATGCCGCAATTATGCACGGTGGCAGTCGGGGTGCTCTTTTCAACATAAATACCTTGTCCCCATATCTACTCACTTGTCTCGTTGACCCGCCACCAAAAAGATATGTGTTTCTCAGCAGGTTAGTCAATACAACAGCTACTTGTTGCGTTCCGTCGGAATACAAGTACTAATACTTTGCAGCTCAATGCATCAAGGCGGAGATGCTTCTTTGAGCAACATTGAGCAGTGCAGATACAGCGATAGCAAGCTCCATAATATCATGCTCGCCTTTTGGTTCTCGAAAAAGTTTGGTCCCGCCGTCGCTTGCAATTCAATGGACCCGGGTTGGGTACCGACCAAAATGGGTGGTTCCGGGGCCCCGGATGATATCAATGCCGCCGTTGATACGTACGTCTTGTTGGCCGAAGGAAACGGAGCCGCGGAAGGACAGTCGGGCAAGTATTGGTATCAGAAACGAGAGAAAAGTTGCAAGCCGGCTGCCTCGGATGAGCAGAAGCAAGATCAATTGATCAAGCTACTGCAAGATATCTCTGGAGTCTCTCCGCAAAAGTGAGATCACTGCTGGCAACAACACCTCAACACTACTGGGTAATTGATGACGGTAGCAATGATAAAATACAGGATAAATTTCTGAAACCACTTGATTGGCAAGTCATTATTGGTCTCTGGACGTTCTAAACACTGGTGTTTCAACTCGACTCTTCTATCATATTGTTACAGAGATTGGTGAGAATGTTCAAAGGATCAATTCGAACTGTAACAAGCTGACATGAGCTCAACCCCCTTTTTCTTCTTCTTTACATTATTGCCTGTGGTAACCGTGAATTGCGCTGTCACAAACCCCTAACGATTGTCAAAGGACGTGGCTGTGGAGCGATGTCAGCATTGTCCAAATCTGGCTCGCCGAGCTATACACAGCATTGACGCCGGTGACACATTGCCGAGACATGGTACTCCGTATATCAATGGTTCATGGGATACAAGCAACGGAGTATTATATAATTCTATCGATTCATTAGGTGGTTGGTTTTTTGACGGAAAAATACCACGACAACACCTGCAGAGATAATACCATTAGTTTGACATTTTCCCTCTTCTTTTCGTATTTGAAGCTGCATCCTTTTCACTTATGCGCCGTACATAAGGACTAGAAACTTTGGCGCATAGAGCAAATCTCACCAGCGATGCCTCAATCCCCAGCTCAAGGCGTCGTCGTGAACCTGCAAGGTGTCCAAGAGACCACTCTCTTGACACTTGCAGCGAGAGCACGAGATGCAGCTTCACCCCAGCCCCTGTTAGGTGACCAGTACTCTGCCCAAATCTTGTCGCGCATCGACGCCAACTACGACTGGCAACGCGCCATGGGTAACGAATTGATGCAAAAGGTCATGGTGTCGCGTGCGCGCCTCCTCGACGTCTGGGCAGCCGAGTTCCTCGATAGTCATCTCGAAGCAACCGTCTTGCATCTCGCGTGCGGCCTTGACAGCCGGAGCCTCCGACTGGCCCCAATCTGGAACACTGCAGAAAAGCGCATCCGCTGGATCGACGTCGATCTTCCTGATGTCGTTGAAATGAGAAGGAGCCTCGAGCTACCTGTGCCAGAGGGTGATTACGAGCTGAGGCCAGCAGATGTTCTATCGGACGACTGGCTTCAGTCAATCCCAGACGACCGGCCTACTCTTATCATTGCAGAAGGACTTGTCATGTATTTGGGTCCGGAGGATGGGCTTCGACTTTTTCAGCGAGTCACTCAACGGTTCAAGGCAGTAGGGGGACAAGTGTTGTGTGACCTGGCCGGATCTTGGACGGTCGCTAGGCAAAAGGCAAGCCCAACGATGCAAATGGCCGAAATGTATTGGGCCGTTGATGACCCTGAAACCATTGCAGACGCTGTGCGCGGACACGGGTGTGGAAAGTTTCGAGTTACCGAGGTCAAGTTTGCAGAGACGATGACGGAGAAACTTGGCTCACAGATTCCTTTGTCGACCAGGGTCATCCTATGGGTGATGTCGTGGCTTCCATGGAGGCTTATGGTGTATGTCAGGTTCTCTTTTTGATTGCACTTTCGCAAACGGGATTTACTCTTGTCCTCTGTATAGTTCTACGCGAATTTGGCACGCCACTGTCACATTGAACAGAGTGTTCGGAGGTCAAAAAATCAAACAATGTTTTAGCACTGCAGTTTATCTATTCCTTCATTGATAGATACCCCTCACGCTTTCGTTGCAATTTCACTCTCCGTCACTTTTACCCACATGTTCTCCTCGATAAATACGCTATAACTCCTGGACTTCCACGGATTCGTGGGGTTAATCAGCTGGAAATCAAATGCGCGCAGCAGCTACAAGCGGTCAGCAACATGTATTCATGACTTTTGACAAACTTGGATAGCACTGACCTCGAAGAAAACCTTGTTGAGCTCCATGTACGCCACAGGTTTACCGGCACACATGTAGCGACCATGTCCAAAGCCAAGCTCCACGAGTCGTTCCATTTCCAGTCTATCTTCTTCGTCTGCCTCGGTGAATCTTTCAGGGCGAAAGACGTCGGCGTCGACACCAAAATGTTTCTTTGATGCAAAAAGGGACGCAGTGTTCATGCCGATTGCGGTGCCTCCAGGTATGAATTTCCCGTGGATCAAGTCTCCCTCTGGCGGGACAGCTTTGGGATAGAGACCGGGCGCTGCTGGGCGCTGTCGAAGGCCTTCGTACACGACAGCCTGGGAATTTTGTTAGTATTTAGTTTTCGTCAGAGCATTGCGATAAAAACACACCTGAAGGTATGGCAGTCTCCTAGCCTGATCCTGCGATATGGGATATGAGGCCTTGCCGTCTCGAATTGCTGCTTTGATTTCGTCCTTGAGCTTCTGGTACACTTGCGGGCATGTCATGAGATACAACATGGTGATACGAATGACGGATGCCGTGGTGTCAGATCCCGCAATAATCAAGAAGAGCCCATCAACCTCGCATTCCATCTTAGTAAGGCCGTTGCGAATCCAATAACCCTAATACCAGGGTCAGTATAGCTTTTCACGGTGTCGCAGGTTCGACTTGTAAGCCTACCAAGAGATCGCGTTCATCCTTGGCGTCAACAGAAAACCGCTTCTCGACCTGTTCTTTCGCGACGCTAGGGAGCATGTCAGCAAGTCATGTTTTCATACAGGTGCTTGACATTCCGGCCTACCGCATGCATTTGCCCATCCCCTTCTCGTCAGTCTCCTTGGCACCAAAGCGGCTCAAGAATGATGGCGAAAATAACACATTGCGGATATAGGGTACGTCCAAGGCCATGGCTAAACGGGGCCAGTTTTCTCTGACCTCGCGGAGGAAGCCAAAGAGATCATCGTTAGCCTTGAGGAACCCAAACTCCTGGCCGAATGCCACCTTGGATATGGCGTCCATGGTGAAGAAGCTCGTGAGGGGGGCAAAGTCCAGCATTTTATCCTGGTCCTTGCCCGGGCTCCAGAGATAGTTGTCGCGGATCACCTTGATCAGGGCCAGCACCTGCTCGTCGACGCCAGTCTCGATCAGCGGCGCCTCGCGACCGACAAAGGCGCCGACAATCTTGGTCTTGCGCTCCCTGTGAGCTGCTTGGTCGGTGAGAGTAAAGACTGTGTCGTGATACGGATTGAAACGACCTCCCTTGTACCAGCTATCCCTACCGTACTCGCTCCGGGCCCCCGCCATCTTTCGAAGGACTTCGGGGTCATCGGTAGTCAATTCATTGGGGCCGACCCTGACCAGCGGCCCGTACTCCTTGCATAGTTCTCGGTATATCTGGTATTGCCTCTCACTACGGGCGACCTTGGCTAGCCAATGGTACGAGAATTTTGCCAGAAATGGTCCGGGGATATGTCGTAGTCGATACCAAGCAATGGTTGCCGACGCAACGTACCAGCTCACAAGTATTCCGAGGAAGACGGCGACGTAGGTGGAGGACAAATTCTCAAGTATATTCAAAGACATGGTGAACCCTTAAGATGCGATGCATTTCAAGTCACAGATTGTCCCACACAGGTTCAAAGTGCGCAAGCCAAATCTATTTAACATTAAGTCGCCTCTACAAGAGAATCGCGTTCTCCTTCTCTTCAACAAAAGATGTGGGTATGCTTTTTTTCGTACATGGGGCGTTATACGACAGCTGCAGGACATCAATGCAGTGCCGTTGTCGACCAGGGGTTCTTGTGTGACAATGGGCAGTTAATTACCGTACGGATCCACCGCCTATCGGCCGGGATATTCGTCAGTAGAGACCAATCACGCGAAGTATAACCCCAATCGTCATCGCCTATAAGACGTTGCCCAGGACCTAATTCGAAAGGTGAGTGGGCTGACTGGAGGGTGATAACAAGATTCTGCCTTCTTAGGTTGCATGTGTCCCAATACTCAATATGGAGTTTCCTGGTGTAGATCCGAAGATCCTCTATCGTGAAACGTTGTTCTCGGCTGGCTGCAGCATGGCTGCATCGACGACACAGCACCCTGACAACCTGCCTTCGTATCTGCCCACGGCGCAGGATGCACTCAACGGCCCAAGGCATGAATATATTGGCTATGTAATCAACAGGAAATTGCCGGCAGTTCGATACTAAGCCATCCAACAGCTAGTCCGCGAAGCTTGTGATCACAGGGACCTGCCAACCCCTTGAGGATCCTTGGTCATTTTTATTGAAGTCGTCTGTCCTGACCAAAGTCAAGGCCGGATTGACCGCCTTGGGTATGGAACGATTACCCCGGTCTCCCAGTCGAATACGCCTTGAAACCAATCCAACGCCTCGTCAGCATAAGTGCTATGCCCACAGGAACAGATATACAAAAGTTGAAGCAAAAACAGAACTCCGCCCACCCCTAGTAATTTCAAGCCCGAATACAAAAAATGGTATCGAGCTCATTTCCCACGCAAACCGATATAATTACAATTCTTCTTTCGCCACCTCAAAATCACAATAGCGCCAGTCCCTCACGCTTGCGCTTGCTCGCCTGGCTCAGCGGCGACGTGCCACCAGGCCACATGGCATGAGAAAACAAGAGACGGTGATCCACATTGTGGCCATGGACGAACCGCTTGGAAAAATACTCGAGAACGGGCTTCAAGTCCTCGCCGGCATCGTGCATCTTGCGCTCGACGGACGGGAAAAAGTCCCGCGCGACGCCGCAGACGGGCTGCACGCTGTCGGACCCTTCATAGGCAAACGGCGCCAGCCCGGCCATGGGGTAAAAGGCAAACCCCATCATCTTGAAGGTGCGGTATAGGTGTCGGTCCACCAGGGCGACGTAGTGCGTCATGCCCTCGAGACGCCCCCGGAGATGGGCGCCGCGGTACAGCATGGCGACAATGTGGTGCTCGCCGTGGTCGCGATAGGCCGCGGGGATGGCGAGGGTGCCGATATCCCAGACGGTATCGAGACTCTCGAGCCCATAGGCCCGCATAAAGGTATCTACGGTGAGGCCCGCGTAGGCGCCGGCGTCCCGCAGCGCCAGCAGCCCGGCTTCGGGGGAGTTGTGAATGTTGCGCATGGTGCCGGCCGGCCGGTGCAGGCCCCGGTCCATGACGAGGAAGAAGACGCTCGACGCCTCATAGGCGCCGTACACCCTCTGCATGTCGGCGTCCGTGTTGCCAAAGCGCTCCTCAAAGACCTCGCGCTCAATGTGGCGCCCCAGATTCGATAGCTCGTCGGTGCCCTCTAGCCGGTACATTACTAGCGCATCTGGAATCTGGGGTGGCCGTTCCGCGAGTAGTCGCGTCGAGAGCGCAGCGATTTCCGCGTCCGTTAGGGTGTATTTGACTGTATAGTCCAGCTTATTATCGCTAGTGGCACCATCTTGAGTCGCCAATTTAGCGTGGGAGCTGTTTCTGTTAGGTAGGGCCATGATTTGTATTCCCTTTGTGAATGGATCGTGATCTTTTTGGTGCCTTACTAAGTGCTAAAAGTTTCAAACTAGAGTAGGCGAAAAGAGTTGAAAACACGCCAAAAGAGTAATGAGAGCACGAAGATAGGGGTCTGTAGGGCTGGCTGGGCTGAATGTATTCATTCCGTCCTGGAGATGATCTAATACCGTTATGACAGGGTTCCTCTTCAGCTCGGGACGAGGACCCAGCCCCGGGAGCAGCACCCGTTCCCAACTCGCCGCCATAACGCAGGGCATAATTCGTGGGCATAACAACATCGTGGGCATAACGACAAGTTTCTTGACAGGTGTTTTCTTTCCGGCCAAGAGGCTGGAATCCGATGTTGGTGATCATGTCAGTTGTTAGCATGGTATTACCCCAGACTTTCAGTTTAGCGCAAATGTATAGCTCAGGTACGTATGTAGTCTCAGGACTATAATGGCTTTCAAACCAGTCGACATGGCGGTCAAAGAAACTACTGCTGACCTATTTTGACTCTGCCCATTTCCTGGAATAGCTCCGACCTTCCCGGTAGGCACTTTACTAAAACAGTGTATGCAGCTTGAATGTTGGGGGAAGTTGTGTAGCTCATTGGCTGTTTGAGGGGATCGTCGGCCTGCTAGTCAGCTGCGGCTGAGTGCCTTGGCGGTGTGAGCGAGTTCCGCGGAAGTCGTCAGTCAGCGCTCGGTCCAGCCCCCCCCCCCCCAAGAGACATGGAAACTCACTTGAAACTGTGAATTGAAGTAAACCTTGAATGCGTGATCATCTACTTTTCAACTCGATTTAGTCCAGTGCTTTATGCTACGGTGAAATAAAACCTGATGAAGCCAGTTTGTTAGGTTGGTCGAATGGTACCGCTGAATCATAGTTCGCCGTGAACAAACCCCTGAATGCGTGTATTTGGCCAAACCTAAAGTAAAAGTCATGAAAACAGAGAGAAAGCTCGTGTTAAACACATGAGACGGTGACATGAGGGATGCAGCAAATTTGCCTATATGATCACAGTAGAAACAAACACAGATACAACGGCAGTTTGAATATGTGCAATTCAATCATGAGGAATCAATTTGCATTATAAGATCATTCAATTCATCGCTTCGCTTTTAACCTGCAAAAACCCATGCAACCATAATACATTATACACACTGAACTCCGGTACCTTCGCCCCCTCTAAGCGCATCCAGTAACGCCTGCGCCGTTTCCTGATCCCCAGTATCCGTCCTGCCCGAGTGTAGATCATGGCCCCAAGCCTGATCGATCCAGTCCGTCATGTTGGCCTCATCATCATTACCCGTGGCATCGGTATAGCTGCTCGAGCTTTGCGGCGAGTCATTCTGCATGGTGTAGTCATTCAGAACCTCGCTAACGAGACCGCCGCCCAGCCCCAGAGCGGCATCGACAAAGCCTTGCTCGGTCATCGAAATGTCCTCGTCTCTTCCAATATGGGGCGCAAACTCGCTACTAGCGCCGGCCGCCGCCCTCGCAATCGCACTCCGCTCCATGGGGGATCGTGGCGAGTCCGTATCAGCATCGGATGAGAGTGACTGTATCGTGCCAGGTATGGCCAGCATGCTCGAAAACAACTGCTCTGCTGGTAAAGCCGTGCTCAGCGGTAGCTGTGCCTGTGTGGGCTTGCCTGCATCCATGAGTGCCTTGATGGAGCTGTAGCCTGCAGTGAACAATCCCCTCAGGCTGGCAGGGAAATCCGACTCCTCAGGAAGTCTGCCTTTGCTGAGACTCAAATCCATGGTCATGGCCAGACGGAGATAGCTTCCTGGTTGCGATGCCAATATATCCTGCCAGTCATTGATGTGGTTGGCGGCAGACGGCGTTGCAGGCGTGTCCAACTGCGCGAGGGTCACAATGTGTCGGATCGTCTCGCTGACATAGTCGACACCATCATACTGTGGTTGGTACGTCTTCATCGCCTCGATCAAAATGTTGAGGCGGTGTTGTTTTACCACCTCTTGAGGATTTGATCCGAAAGGGGCGTTATTCTTGTTGTAGGATGATAATTTGACATCAATGATGTGTAGAACCAAAGGTAGAGCAGTGCATGCAACCCTATTCACAGTGTTGTTAGTACATAGAGAAATTCCGAGATAACGAGATTGAACTTACGCGCTGATGGGAAGCCAGCGTGCAAGACGCAGTTGAATCAGCTCTTTGAGGCATTCTGTGACACCAGACGCGGCGTCTTGCAATTCATGCCGGTTTTCGTAAATGTTGGAGAACTCTTTCAGACTGGCCGTAAGATTTGGCGTTGCAGCCGTAACGGCGGTTTGTAGCAACTCATGATGACTTAGTACTGCTCTGGCCGAACTGCGAGATCGTCAGTACATGATTTGACGTTTTCTGTGCAGCATTCGACTTACTGGTAGTACATGTACATCAAGTTTGTGAATAATATCACGGAATCATGTTGACAGTCTTTACCTCCGACTACCTTTGTCCGGGGGACCGCATCACCACCAAACATGGGGAATCTAAGCGTTGCACCCTTGTACCATCTCCTGAGAGCAGTTTTGCTCTCTCTTATTTTATCATCATCGCCGGGAGCTCCTTGTTTACCCCAACCCGGAGAGTCGTCTAGGGGGAAGACCTGGGTGATGAGATCGGTGAGTATCGTGCACAGCTCGACTAGCTGCACAAAGATCTCAATGAGGCACCGCTTCGTTCCTGGGCTGTATACTCTGGATCGCTCAATTTCGTCTGCAAGATCCGTGTATCCAAGGCCAGAGTGCGTATCAAAGTCGAAATGAGCACGGGTGATCTTCAAACTTCGTCGCAGACCAAGCGGCAATATCCTGTCACGAATGATGCAACACCACCACAGCCGTTTTAACACGTTCTGTTTCTTGTTCTCTAGTGGATTGTCGATGGCTGAGTAAGTTGGCATAGCCGAGTAGTGGTGTGCTTCGGCGCTTTGTGCATTCTGGATGGCAATGCCGAGCCACATGGAATTTGCTTTGCGGAACGCGTGGGTAAAGTTTGGCGACCAATGCGAGAGTAAGAGCGCAGCTTGTGACATGTACACCATTGAAGTCTCGGTGTCGAATTCGTACAGCAATTTGCATCGTCGGTATAATGTTGCTCTGGCAGCTCGAATACTGGGGAAGCCCAAGGCTTTGATGCACGCCTTGGGGACAAAGTTTACTGAAGAAAACAGCATCGACTGAAACACGAGCAAGGACATCTTCTCTCCTGTGCCACCGTGGCCCGAGTCGCCGTACATGGCCCAGAAGTCGCCTTCGTTGAGCATTGGCAATATCGGATGGATGTGCAGGAAGTATTGTTGCACAAACTCATTGAGAATTTCGCGCGTCGGTATGCGGAAGCACCCTTGAGATTCCAAGTAGTTGACATCTTGCGGCATGATGTTTGGCAAGTTGTTTATCCGAAGGAAAGGAAAGTAAGAGTATGTGATGTCTACATTTGCCTGCACACGTTGATCCCCTACCCATAGTGGCGCATCAGCGGCAAGGAATGAAGCCATGTCGGGCGCCGTGATGATTGGAGCTGGGTCTGAATGGTCAGCTTGGACAGCAAAGCAATCATGAGCTGACTTACTGTGGACATTGGGTACGGAAAAGGGGGTTTGTGCCATATTTTGCGGTGTCCCACTGGTAGCAACGGGAGGCACAAGAGCTCGATACTGCTCTTGGTCGACTGACTCTCCCATGTCATCATGGTTATGTCCAGCACACGAATCTCTGTGGCCATCTGGCTGTGTGGTACCATCTTGGCTCGCCGGCGGTGACGCGGGCTCACCATTATTCCTCGATCTGACAAGGTCTTCTGCGGTCTTTGAGCGGTTGCTGTTGTCTGTTTCATAAGGTGGATAGGAGGCTTGCACGTTTTCTCCTGGACGTTCCGACCTCCTGCTGCGACTTTGATTAGAGATTGGTCAAAGACGAGCGTGTGTTATCATTGACGGCATCAACTTACAACCTTGAAGCTCGGCCGGTAACCACACAAGTTTCGCTGTCGAGATAGCAATTCATGCATGGTCGTCCCCTCTGGGAGACATCACACCTGACTTTCCGCGCCCGGCACGAAAGACATGCCTTTGGAGCTCTCTTGCGCACTTTACCGGCAGGTTTGGTCTTTGGCTCAACTGCTGCTTGTGGTGGTTCCGATGCGGAAGACATGGTTGGTGTTGGCGAGATTCAGGAACGGCGATAAGGTACAACACGCAGCAGCAGCACAAGCAGGGAGGGACAGAAAAGACAAGATGATTGTTTGTGAGATCTGGACAGGATTAGACAAGACGAGCAAGAAAGCAATTGGAGAAAACCGTGGGGTTTGTGGGGTATGGCTCCGCCTGCTCCGTACTCCATCGCGGAATTGTCTCCCAAGCTGGGTAGTCTGAATATGGGGACAATCTGGGGTCTGGAGATTGCGGCAGCTTGGCCTCTGAGGCTGCTCCACACGCCGTTCCTCGGTCTAGGGCGAGTAGCGCACATTGGAGCAATTGCCATTTTGCCTGAAACGGCCATGGCTCTCGCCTTATTCTGGTGACTCGATTGCTTCTCCCAGACTGGATGGAGGCCGACTTTGCCCGGTGGTGGGATCAATCTGGCATTTGACGATACACTAACGAGTAGGCTTGCCAGAGGGTTGGTGGAGTTTGACAGCGTGTACACACAGGAACATAGCGACCTACCGATAGTAGATACATGTATTCCACACGCTTTGCGGGGTACGGGGACTCGGGGGGTTCACTGACGCTGGGATCCCGGTAGTGTCCGTCCACGGCCTCGACTTGCTCAAGTGATGCGATCATGATGTGGCGACTTGAAGAGACATCTTGTTATTCTTTTTCTTGCAGAGCACAAATGAAAGCAAAGCTGCTTGTCAACAAGCAGGCAAACCGGCCATTCCGGCGTTCCGGTCATCTGTCAGCAGAAGGCAGTCCTTCGACATATCGAGGCTTGCTCGTAATCTTCCAACAACGATTGAGGCGCCCTGATGATCATCACAAAAGCCACCATTGGCTGACTCGCCGTGTGCGAGTCGCAGGCCACATGGCCAGATGGGCACTAGCTGCCAACGGTCTCGTCAGGAGAGCTTTGACACACACGGAAATGTTCCGCCATGACGACGAAAAAAATGCGTCAGACTCTTGTGTGTTGGCCACGAGAAGGATTTACCATCTGTGCATCTACGATGAAGACTGGCCAGAAGCATCAGACAGTTGCAGTGCATCTCATTGCATCTCATCGCACCCCTTGTTGCTGCATGAACAAACGGAGAATATGGCTGGCCGACAACGGTTCGATGTGCATGCATAACAGTGATACGCTTTGCATTTGCCGGAATTGGTTTACCGGTGCGCACGTATTTCCAAGCCTCGGCTGCTCAGCCGGCCGATCCCTGTCGCTCGTCCTTTTGCAGTGGTCGCATTGACGCGACAAAAGGAAGCAATCGCAGACCGACTGCTACAAGCTACTAAGGTTACTAGGTACTGTGCAGATTGATTGGGTCCTATGCACAATGCGGAATCACAGCGCCAGGCGGGTGGTCCATTAGCTTCTACATGACCAGCCACGACTCATCAATAGTCCACACAATCTCTCTTATACCTTATTCTAATCACCTATAGGAAAAGGAGAAAGCTAAACAACACTAACCTAGTACGACTCTGACTGTGAGGGTTGAATCACCAATGTCGGTCCTGCTGCTGACATCCTTCTGCGTCTCACTGCTCGCTGCGGTAACTTGAAGAGCCATTGGCCATTCTGTCTGCGAATCAACTCAATTTGTGTCCGACCGATTCGATCTGTCAATCCACCAGGCACATCCATTCCGTTGGCGACAACTTGGTGGATGCCCTTGTCAATGTGGGCAAACAACATTGGCAGAGAATCTCCTTTCCAAGCACACACGTGATCTCGAGCCGTCCTCTAGACAGTTTGAATGAGATACAGGAATGCCAGTATCATCAGTACCACTGGATAGATGACCCAGTACCAATTGACTTGCACGAATGGTGTTTGGGTATATGCTGCGCCGGCGTACTCATACATATTTCCACGATTGTTCGGATCCAATGTGCCAGACATTCTGATGTCGTTTGTCATGCTGAGAGTCAGTCTTGCCATTAATGCTGGCATGTCTGACGTTGCATTCTGCATGGCTTGGATCCAATCCGAGCTGTAGTCTGGGTGATTGTCAATGTTCGAGTAATTACCAATCATTTTGGAGGCCATGAAGCTCTCCAACACATCGATAGACTCGAGTGGGACGCTATACCGTGTCCGCGAGTTGGTTTGTATTTCTTCTGGTATGTCGATGAAGTGATACTCATCATCGTGGGCACTCGTTGCCGCAGCGAACTCGGTACGAGACCAAGTTGCGACTGTTGTGGTGTTTTGTTGTCCATTCGTAACCATCGCGTCGTAGCTATTCAAACAAAACCACATGGCACATTGCCAAGCTTCCGCTGTCATCTCTGTGCGACCTTTGGACACCGATAGAACATCAAATGCTGAGATGTATGCTTGCGATGTTGAAGCTGCTGATGTGTTCATCAACGGCGCCACTGTGAAATGGAGTCCAGTCGAGTCGCCTCCAGGAGCCGTCACAGAGGTACCTGAAGATAGTGAAAATGCACATGGCTGATCTTCTGGACAATCCTTTTGTGGTTCTACACTCGTGCAATTGCCACAAACTGCAAGAGACGGGAAGGTTGGCCAAGTACAGTTTGCAGTGCCGCAGAAGACTGGCAACTCAGATACGCTGCTGGCCATGATCCCATCGTAAAAGGAAGCCTTCGTCGAAAGACCCAGGTCAAGGTCTACCACAGGTTTAAAACCATGACATGAGTAATGGGGGCAATACTGGGTGTGCTCACCTCCTCCAACGCCCTTAAATATGACGTTATGCCACGTCTCGCTTCTTGCTGGTGGAGGTGCAAAGGAATTGGTATCATTAAGTTGTGGCGTTGGGGTTTCTTCGAAAGTGACCATTTGCTGGGAGAATGTTTCGAAGCCTTGCATCAGGATAATGATTCCTGCTCCAACGCAGGCAAGATGCCTGAGCCAAACGTCAATAACAGTGATTCGAGAAGAAATCGTTACACAACTTACGCTCCTCTTAGCCGCCAAATCAGACTCAAACATCCTATCAGCCCTCTGGAAGCTTCATCGAACATTTTGAAATCTTCCAGTCGCGCAGGTTCAGTTTTTTCTTTGCGCTCTTGTCGTGCAGCAGAAACCCAGATCCAGGCACATTGGCTGAGCGCTGTCTCGACAATAGAACCGAGTGCCACACGGTATACAGTCATGATAGCAATGACGATCGTGCTCAGCTGCAAGCCATTGTCGCTACCGAAATGAGGCTCGAGGTGACCATCGTAACGCGAGAGGATAGCTATGAGGCCGGCTGCGGCTGCAATACACACACCACAGTAGACATACTCCTCCTTCCACCAGCCGAGGGTTGAAGGTATAGTTCTTTGTAGGTCACTGATGGAAGGGATGGAGTCCGAATCATACTCTTCGATGGGAGGACGTTCTATGTTATACTGGTCATGCTTTCCTCGCTCGAGATCGCGAATGATGCTGGTTCTGCTCGAGGAGTCCATGGTGAGAAGAAGTGGTGGCTAGGATCAGAGCGAGGAAGCATAGGATAAACTGGTGTTGTATCGAAGTAGTGAATCTTGATTTTGGCGGCCTTTCTCCATGAGGATTTATTTCTCCTTCGCCCCTCTAATTCAACACATGGCAACCGCGTTCCGCTTGCTGAACCCTGTGACTGCCAATGTTTGACATGCTCCTGAGCAACAATATCGAGACTGAGAAGTCCTCACACAGCTCAGGGATTGAGCTTGCCTTGGGTGTGTGGTGATTGCAGTATGGGGTAGGAAGCCAGCTAGACAACTTGATGGGCGCCCTCTATGAGCATGAGCGGTTGAGTGTCGGAGACTAGAGCGGATATGTCAATCACATAGTTGCAGTTCAAAACAAGTGAGCTCCAGGTCGCAGCTCCCGACTGCCTCTTCCGAGACACTGAACTGATCTCATCTTGCATGTAGACTGCAAATGAATGAAAATCGAAAAGAAGATCACTGCTCTTGGACATTGGAAACAGGTTTGCGTAAATAATTTCGAAACTTCAGTTTGTATTTCATCGCTATACAGTGTTCTTTGCAATGATACCTCTCGCGAACTCGCCAAACAAAAGGTGCTGGTCCAAATCCACTTCGTCTTCTAGATTGGGCTGTGTGAATACCGCCAAAGTATTTCTGGCCACTCCTTGAGCAAAAGCACCACGAACTGAGTGCTCAACGGCCTTGAATTTCCCACGGGTAATTCTCTCAAGAGCCTCGCCTGTCTGGAAAGCAATGCAATCTCTGGGTATCTTGACTTGGACTGGCTCACCCTTTCTCGACTTGATCCACAGACCGGCCTGAGGGTCAGGCGACTGTGGCAGTTCCTGGAGAGGCGAGAGAGACTCTGGGATACTAGTGCCAAAGTCTGGAACCTTTGCATTCACCTTGTTCTCGTCAATGAACATGGCGGATGTCAAACCTGTCAGGCACCCGTGATCTTTGTGGACTGCACACCAATTATCTTCTTGGTCACCCCTGGCCATCACCTCGGCAGTCATGGGATAATAATGGAGCAGACGCGCTTTCGTGGTCGAGGACGTCTTGACAACATGCTCCAAATACGACTTGGGGTACTCGGGGATCTCCTTTTCAGCAAATCTGTCGCAGGCCTTGGCAACGAGAACCGCCGTGTCAATGATGAGGCGACATAAAGCCTCCATGGAGGGCTTGAAACCGGGCAGCATCTCCCTGGGTGGCCACGAGTTGGGCGCCAAATACTCCGGGAAGTCCTCAAGCGTGAACTTTGCAGTTGGCTTTGGGGCTTCGCTGGACGGGTCTACATAGAAGGCGCAGTTGGCGTAAAATGACCCCTTCAAGTCATCTGCACCACCGTTCTTGAGTTGCTCACGGCCTTTTGACCACCCAACTAGGTACTTGGCAGCCTCATTTGTGAATTTCTCTACGGCATTTTGTCAGCAACATTGATTCAAACGCCTAAAGAAGAATTTGCACAAACCAAAATCTTCTTCATTGAGGTTGCCCATATACGATGCATAAGACAGCAGTTTATGCCGTAGCTCTGCAAACTCTTGGGGTACATCCTTCACCACCAAGATACCCAGCGACTCGGGTCCAAATGCTTCCTGGAGCGTCTCATCAGAAACGGCACCTATGTAGATAACAATTAGCCTGGATTCGTAATCTTATCATGAAAAGAAGACCTACCATTCTGCAAGTCATGAAGGGAAACCACTACAGGCTGCGCTACAGTCATATTGTATAATGATCAAATCACTAGTTCTTGAATAAAGAAGGTTCAAGTGCAAGTATCAAATTCTGTGGTTTTGTAGTAGAGAAGCTTTGAGTTGTGCAGCCTCGTGATCGCGAGGCACTAGCCATAGGAAACCGTCGGCTTTGAGATTTTGCTCAATCTGATCCGGTCATTTCCGCCTGAAGGCCTTCTGGTGCTGTCACAAAAATACAGTGGATCCTTCGAGTATATCAAATCTCTGGATTCCCTTTGTTGAACCTCGAAAGGTGATCGCCAGACTTGGTTCTCTTTGCGAGCTACGAATGATGGAAGTACACATTGCAAAGACTGGGCAAAGAATGGAAATGCTGCAAATGTCTTACGTTATAGTTTAGCTGTAACACGATGCAACAGCACGTCTCCAGGTTTAGAAGGTATGCCGTCAAATATGGACACATCCTGCAGAGATAAAGAAATTCGCCATCTTATACCTTTATAGCTGGACATGGATTCTATTCAAAGCCAATTACCCTTGCCATGGGGTGCGTAGGAAGTGGTGGAATTCGATTTTCGTTATGGGTGGCACCAAAAGCTAAGGCTCTGGGGCGCTAGCACTAGCTACCCCCCGGCTGTGTTGTAGCTAATCGATACCTAGTACCCTGAGACTGGGAGCTTCAACATGACAGTACGAAATATTCCATTGTACTAAGTGCAACACACTACCCACAGCGCGACCATGGTCAAGCCACTCTCCTTCAAGGGAGACAAGAAGCCGAAAAAGAGAAAGAGAACCGAAGTCGAGTCGTCGGACGCCGCCCAGTCTGGTTCCGGCGAGGTCGTCAGCGCAACTGCGACACAAGAAGCCGCCGATGACGACAGCTGGGTTTCTGCTGAAGCTTTGGGCGATGTCGTCGGCCCTGTTCTGTTCGTCTTGCCCACGGAGCCTCCGACTTGCCTCGCCTGCGACGCAAACGGCAAAGTCTTTACAGACTCAATTGCAAATATCATTGACAACAATCCTGCCACGGCCGAGCCGCACGATGTCCGACAGGTCTGGATTGCGAACAAGATTGCCGGAACAGAAAACTTCAGATTCAAGGGGCGCTATGGAAAGTGAGTCAAGACTGCAGTAATTCAGAACAAAATCTTTGCGACAGATGCTAAAGCGTTGCATAGATATTTGAGCTGCGACAAGTATGGTTTTCTCAGTGCGACATCCGAAGCTGTATCCCCCCTCGAGACTTGGAATATCATTCCCACAGCAGATACGCCCGGCACCTTCCAATTACAAACACAGCGCGAAACGTTTCTTACGGTCAAGGAAGCTACAAAGGCCAACGCTGCACCCGAGGTCAGAGGTGACGCGACGGATATCAATTTCGACACCACGTTCCGACTTCGCATGCAGGCAAGGTTCAAGCCAAAGCTCAAGGCTTCAAAGGAGGAAAAGGCCAAGGAGAAGATCAGCCGGAAAGAACTCGAGGAAGCCGTCGGAAGACGTCTCGACGAGGACGAGGTCCGTACACTAAAGAGAGCTAGACGGGAGGGTGACTATCACGAACAGCTGTTGGTGCTCAAGGTCAAGGGCAAGCACGACAAATATGGTTGAGTTATGATTTATTTGATTGGGATGAACTACGAGCTCGGTTTCCAAGACTTGATGTATCCGTCCTCGCCGACACTAAACACCATCTGCGCCTCGTCATAGAAGCAGAAGCTGCGCACAATCTCGGACGAGTGTGCTCCAGGCAGTCCTACGCTATTCGCCCGGTCGAGGGTCCATTCTGCCCCCCTTGTCAAATGCACAAGCTCGAACATTTGTTGGCTAGTTGAGTCAGCAAAGTTACTCTCTTCGTTGGATCGATTCCACTCACTCGTGCGATCCGGCACCGATGACGGCTCCTGCACCATTGGCTTTGGCAGACACATTGGCAATGTATTGGCAACCTAGGACTTCCCGCATGTCACCAAAGCTGTTGAGCGCAGATCCCTTCTCCTGATCCTCGGCCATGCTGTATACTGCGAACCTTTCATCATGAGAAACGGCGAAGACATCTGTGTCATTCAAAAAGGCAGCGTGATGAATTGAGGCATCGTGATTGAACGTCTGAATCACCACCTCATCCTCATCTGTTATCCGAGTGTCGTATACATTGACGAGCCCATCAGTAGATCCAGACAGCAGGATATTGGGATCACTTGGGTGGAAGTTCAGCTCGCAAATGTCATCGCTGTGGACTTCCTGATACTTTTGTCGTGGTGTTGGTGTGGAGCGAACATCCCTAAATTTGTGAGCCAAGAGGACTGACTTGGGTCATCATGGGCCGCCATACCAGATCAGAATGGAGGCTTGACTTTGCCGAAGTTCAGTTCCTGCCACGACGCTAAAGCCAGAGCTTGAACAAGCAAGCGATAGGACTGGCACTTGGTTGTCTAGACATAGCCATCAGAAATACTGTAACTCAACTTCAATACGTCTATACCACCCTGCTTACCTGTCATGCGGGCAACCTCTGCTTGTTTCTCATCTAGTCTCAAATCCCACATGGAGACACTGCCATTCTCTCCTGCTGTAGCCACAATCGAGCCGCTGATATCAAAAGCCTTTGCACATGTGAGATTACCATGGTTCGTCTGCAACGTCTTCAACGGGCCAGGTCTGAGACTGAGAGGGTTGAATAGGCATAATTTCTGGTCCGAGGAAATAGTAGCAGGCCCTTGGGTGAGTGGTATCAAATCAGTGACGTAGACTTCCTCTAGGCCAGGATATCTGAAACCATCAACACAGGTAAGATTGAACATGATGACTGAGCACCTGGCACTAGGTCTCGATATTGCTGTGCAGTATTTACACTGGAAATCAATCTGTCTTCGGGATCAATGCCTTTTATAGGGCAAGTTGCTCTTTTGGTCTCGCCAGTAATGGGGATAGTGATCCAAAGAATCTTGGGACTGCGATTTCCAATGCAGAAGTACTGTGGCTTCAAGAATTAAATCAAACAAAATAAAAATGCCGTCGGTTTGGTTCTTGCTATGCCTGGCTACTGTATCGGATGCCAATCTGCAAATTCAAAGTCAGAGTTTCAATGCCAAGACCCCACCAATGAAAGCCCCACCTACAGGCTAAGCCCGCTTTGAGATCAGAGCCCGCCGAAAATACCAGCCAATCAACGTTGTCCCTGTGCGTGCTCGCCCCTTGCGTGTGCTCCGTCATCCTGAGCTGTGCTGTGCTGACCTAACAAGGTAGTAGCAGCTCGACTGGCCTTTGCAATGAGGACAGCTTGCTAGGTAGCAGAGCGCTGGAGCTGTTTGTGTACACCAACCAAATTATTGCATGTCTTTGTTTGTCGCCAAGTGGACAGCGTCGACCACTTTTGCTTCTCAATTCAACGCTGTTATTGAGGACTTGTCAGTCGCCCGATCACGAAACCATCAATTTCCGCGCACGTTAATATGAGTAGCGTGCCATTTATGGTATCTCGCTCATAGCACTGCTGCCACAATGAGGCATTGGATCGTTTCTACGCTCTGTAAGTTCAAACTGTACCAATTTATTGTAAAGTTTAGATCCACCAGCATTTGCTAATATTTGTTAAAAACAGTGCTTCTGCAGGCGATTGCAGTTGCATTTGGCAACGAACAGAAAGTACTAGGCAACGAGGAACCCAGCGAAGCTCTCGCGACACCCGACAACGCAGCCGCCGAACCCGTCGCCTTTCAGGGAGGATGGACTCCATACCAAAATGGTAAGGATTTTATATCGACCGCCATGCTGGCGGAGCGCAACTAACAATGCTTGTCAGGCTGGGAACTCGTCGATGCCGCCTTGGCCGAATTCCGAAAGATTAAGACACATTCGCATCGAAAGAACAAGAAGCCCGCCGGCTTATTTGGCACAGTATTCCGTTATGCTCTCAAGGCGCTCCCCAGCTTACGCGCCAGCGCACCTCCGGCTCCGGAAGAGCACGCGGGACCTGTCATCACCGGGCCTCTTCTGGAAGGCGTGCGTCTCCTACAGCAATCCGCCGATTTGAATAACACCGACGCCATATTCCTCCTGGGCGAACTCAACTTCTTTGGAAACTACAGCCACCCGCGAAACTTCAAGGCCGCCTTCGATCATTACTATAGACTGGCTTCGGTGACAGGAAACAGTTCCGCCCAGTTCATGGTGGGACTCATGTACTCGACGGGAATCGGCGAGGCTGTGGAAAAAGATCAGGCGAAAGCATTGCTATACCATACTTTTGCCGCAGACCAGGGTTACACGCGGTCAGAGATGACTGTTGCTGCACGATACACCAGCGGAATCGGTGTGCCAAAGAGCTGCGACATGGCCTGCAAATACTACAAGAGAGTTGCGGACAAGGCCATAGCATGGATTCGCTCTGGCCCACCCGGCGGCATGCACATTATGCAAGAATCATATCGACTTGCCGATGAAGTTGGTGGCGTCTACGGCGAGGGTGCCAGTGTGGTCAGTTCCGGAATTCATGCCTTCCGCCACAGCCCGAACTCGGACGCCTACGCCGCCATCGACGACGTGATCGAATATCTCGACCTCATGGCAAACAAGGGCGATTTCAAAGCTGCCTTCAATCTAGGCAGACTATACTATGAGGGCCAGCGAGAGTTGGAACGCGATGTCGAGCTTGCTAGACACTATTTTTTGAGTGTCGCCACGAAGCACTGGCGTGTTAAGGATGGGCGTGTTTCCGACAGCTCAAAGCCTGGACTAGAAAAGTATGCTTCGAAAGCTGCTGGTTATATTGGCAGAATGTGGCTCAGAGGCGAGGGCATGAAGCAAAGTTACGGTAATGCCAAAAAGTGGTTCGAGCGTGGCATTGAGCATGGTGATGCTCAGTCGCACTGGGGCCTGGCTGTCATGGCTCTCAAAGGCTACGGAATGACCAAGAACGTCGCGAGGGCCACAGAGCTCTTTAAGGCTGCCGCCGACCAAGACTTTGGCCCTGCGCAAGTTGCCCTAGGCGCCCTGCACCTGGATCAGGGAAATAACGATGATCTCAGGATTGCCAGTCACTATTTTGAGAGCGCCGCTCGTTATGGCAATGTCGAGGCAATGTACTACTTGGCAGAAATGATGCACCACGGCGTGGGCAGGGACAAGACCTGTACCAGCGCGCTGAGCTACTACAAGCTTGTATCCGAAAAAGCCGAGCCTTTTGTCTCATCTTGGGCCGAAGCCAACCATGCTTATGACGACGGAGATATCGAGCTCGCTATTCTCGACTATGTCCTTGCTGCCGAGCAGGGCTACGAAAAGGCCCAGAACAATGTAGCTTACATCCTGGATTCTGCCCAGTCACGACTACCACTACCATCGTGGCTCAAGACCCAGGCTCCAAAGTCAAAGCTATTGCAGGACTCGGCGCTCGCCCTCATCTATTGGACGCGATCTGCCGTCCAGTCCAACATTGACTCCCTGGTCAAGATGGGTGACTACTATCTCAGCGGTATCGGGACTGATATCGCAATCGACAAGGCAGCGCAATGCTATACTGGAGCATCGGAACATTTCCAGAGCGGGCAAGCCTTGTATAACCTCGGGTGGATGCATGAGCATGGTGTAGGGCTGAAGCAAGATTTTCACCTTGCGAAGCGGTACTATGACCATGCTCTGGAGACCAATGACGAGGCATATCTTCCAGTCTCGATCAGTCTATTGAGATTACGAATACGCAGTGCTTGGAACACATTCACGAATGGAGACATCAATTCTATTCGTGATGAGCCATGTAAGTCTAATGAAATGGGACCTTGATGAATTGTTGCTAACTTGGAGACAGCCAACAAGAAGGACTGGTCGCTGAGTGAATGGGTTGCCAACTTTCTATCCGACGAGCGCTTTATGCAATATGACGATGCATATGACGACCTGTATGATGAAGGTATCGTTGGTTCAGACGGCCAGGGCTTTGACGAGGAGGACCTCGAAGGCGTCATTGACAGCTTGGTCATCCTTTTCGTGGCTGCCGCTATTGTTGCGCTGGTCTGGTATCGTAACGCGAGACAGCAAGCACACCGACAGGCGGAAGACAACGCAGCAAGAGGAAGGGCTGCCGGAAGGCCGCCGGCGCCGCAACCGGGAGCAGCACCCCAACCGAATAACCCGGGACTGGATCCATTCATGCCGCTCGGAGCTGGAGGTATAGGGCACTAGCCGCTACCCAGCACAGGCATATGAAGTTTAGAATTGTACATAAACCAAAGGATATTAGCGAATAGACTTTTTTTCCCATAAAGATTTCCTATATAATTTTTCGGCAATATTCTACGGAGTTGAGTAGAAGTTGATCTTGATTGGATACGACCTACCTGTGCTCTGGTCATTTTGCATTGAATACATGAAACGGCACCTGGGAGTAGGAATTGGTGTAATATCGATCGCCTCATTTTCCTTCGCGCCTAATTCTTTGCCGCAACACGTTCTACGACGTCCTCCTCACGGCCGAGCAAGTAGATATCTGGCCTTGTCTCGTGTTTCCAGATAATTTATTGTTAAATTAAAAGACCAGACGGTTGAAATGTTCAAGACGTGCATTTCACGAGAGAAGCTCTGGACCACATGAACCACGAAAACAGACGCCCATCTGAGACAATTGGAGATCAGATCCTCAGACTTGCATGCTGATCCTTTGGGGCTAAGGCGATTTCCCCGTACTTTTCAGTGCCCGGGGGCTTGCCACGACTTCTAGGCTGCAGCTGTTCCCCATTTTGCCCCTGCCAGCAGCTCCTCACCTAAATTAGCCCCTGTGCTGAGCTGGTCGGACCACCCCCTTCGTCACACTTTAGCTACCTGTCTTGGCACCTTTTTGGCTTAACCTACCTCGGTAGGTAGCTCTCAAGCTCTCTTCTACCTTACTTGACTTGCAGCAGCTGGTGCTTCTACTCATCATCATCACCACATCAACAACGACCACGCCTTTGGATGACGAGGCGGATAGCTTCTCATTTAGCTGTTGGTTGGTCAATTGCATCTTACACGACTACTGCTGTCCAACCTTTTGCACCTTTACACAAGACTTTGTGCTCCAACAAGAGCATCTCACCGAGAGCATGGCCGACCGCAGCAACACCGAGCGGACGCCTTTGCTAGGTGCTTCTGGCGCCGACGGTGCCAATGGACGCGAGGAAGATGATTTCGCACACCTTAACCAACAGATCAAAAGCCGACGCCGACGCCGTTGGATCTCTCTCATTGCCAGCATTTTCTTGGTTATTGGTTTTGTTGTCATCTTGATCTTGTCTGGAGGTGAGTAAACTTCTAACGTCCCTGCTGCAGTGGCATGCAGCCTACAAAACAGCACGATCGAGTCGTATATTTGGCTATCATCATATATAACCATCATCATCTTTGCTTGACCGTATCTCCTAACTCATCGCAGTTCTAGCTCGATCCAGAGGAAAACCAGGCATGGCTTCCGCGCTCTGCCTCACGCCAGCCTGCATTCACGCTGCGTCCGAGATCTTGTGTAGGTCTGCGCCCATATATATACATCATGTCTTAGTGACTTACTTGGCATAGACACACTATCACCGGAATACAAGGAACTCGATGCCTGTACCAGCTTCGACCACTTGGTTTGCGATGGCTTCACTTCCACTCATGATATTCCAGAAGATCGTACCTCCTATTCCACCCTCAGTGTAATGTCCGACAATGGCCAGGCCATCATCAAGCGCATCCTGCAAGGTGCATACCCTGGCGAATCCAAGGTTTGTTTAGCCAATTTCATTCATAACAAGTCTACTTAGCGCGTGATGCGACATAATTTCTACGGGCAGGACTAACAATGCAAAGCACTCCTCGTTCTCGCCACGAAACCTTGTTGTCCAGGTATCATCCAAAGATGAGGAAAACTTCAATGTCATGAAGGACGCTTACGGCGCTTGCATGAACGAGACTGTAATCAAGGAGATTGGAGTTAAGCCACTGGTTGACTTGATTGGAGAAGTTGCGCACTCTTTCCCAGTCACTGAGAAAAGCTTTGGAGAAGATGAAATTCTTGCAGAGAGCGATCATGCAAGCCTATCGGAAACGATTCTCCTGCTTGAGGAATGGGGCATCAGCACCTTTGAGGGGCTAGGTGTTGGCGCTGATGATAAGAACCCGGTGAGTTTCTTTGCGGCATGTCATGGCGGAAAAAGGTCTAACCATCAAGATAGGAGGTCGTCATCATCCAGGCCTCCCCAGCCGGTCTGACTCTGCCTTCTCCCGAGTACTATGAAGACAAAGATACTTTGGAAAAGTACCAGGCTATGCTCGAAGAGGTGTTTGTTGGCCTGCTTCCTAGTAATGCTACTAGAAAGCATTCCAGTAAGCTGGCCAAGTCTGTTGTTGATCTTGAGAAGAAAATTGCAGCCATCACTCCCCCACCAGAGGATCAACAGGATGTAACCGTAAGTACACGCTTCAGGATTGTTCTCCTTATTTATAGTGATATAAGCTTATTGATCTGATGTAAAGAAATACTACAATATTGAAAAGGTCGGCACCGCAGGCAAGCTTGCGCCAGCTTTGGGCTATGACAAGGTCGTGGAGAAACTTGGTATGACCAATATTCGGTTTTCAAAGAAGGATCACTGATTTTGAATCACAGTACCTGCCAACTACACAGTCGATACCATGCTCCTTGCATTTCCTGACTTCCTGGCCAATGTTTCCCACATTCTATCAGAGACTAGCAAGGCCACAGTGCAATCATACCTGATCTGGAATGTGATCACGGCCAAGTCTTCTTACGTCCAAGGTCCCGAGGTGGAGCCGATTACTCGCTTTTTCAATGTGCTTCAAGGAAAAGACGCGGACACAAAATCTGAGCGCTGGAAGACTTGCGTCCGCGTCGCTGACAGCCAAGTCGGATGGATCCTTAGCCGTTTCTTTATCGAAGCTGCCTTCTCGGAAGAGGCCAAGCAATTTGGAGATCAGATCATCATGGACATCAAGCACCAGTTCATTTCGAAACTCCATGGCCTCAGTTGGATGGACGACAGTGTCAAGGAGCTTGCAGTGAACAAAGTTAACCTAATCAACCAAAAGATTGGCTATCCTACAGAGTCCCCGAACATCATCGACCCGGAGGCTCTCCAAAACTACTACCATGGCCTCAAGATCACCAAGTCGTTCTTTAACAATTCTATTTCCAGCACTGCCGTTGAGGTGAACAGGGAATGGTCAAAGCTGGGGAAGCCCGTCGACCATGGAGAATGGGATATGTTGGCAGACACTGTCAATGCATACTATAATCCAGTCGGCGCAGAGATTGTCTTCCCTGCCGCGATTATGCAGTTCCCCGTGTTCGACGAAAAATTACCTTCGTATGTTAGCTATGGCGCTTTTGCTGCCGTCGCAGGTCACGAACTTTCTCACGCATTCGATAACTCTGGGCGCCACTACGATGAGACTGGTAGATATACAGATTGGTGGACCAACCACACAGTCGAAGAGTTTGAGAAGCGTGCCGATTGCTTCGTCAATCAGTACTCGAATTTTACCATCCAAGACCCCCAGGGCAAGCAATTGCACGTGAATGGTCGCCTCACGTTGGGTGAGAATATTGCCGACGCTGGCGGTCTCTCTGCCGCGTTCCAGGCCTGGAAGAACCAGCAGCAATCGAATCCCGCTGATCAGAGTCTTCCTGGCCTTGAACACTTCAGCCATGAACAGCTCTTCTTCGTCTTCTACGCAAATTGTAAGTTCACTATCGATTCTACCTGCATCTTGATTCTCGTTTCTTTTTGCATTTTTTGTGGGTGCTGACTAAATGTTTTCCAGTCTGGTGTGGAAAGATCCGGGCGCAGCAGGCAGTTCAGTATATCTACACGGACCCTCACTCGCCCACATTTGCTCGGATTCTGGGCACCACTGCAAACTCGAGGGAGTTCCGTGAAGCCTTTTCCTGCCCAGTCAAGGAACCAACGTGTGAGTTGTGGTAATCAGTTTTTCTGCTTTGATTTTGGTGGCACATGGAATTATTGTAAAATAGCAAAAGATTGGAACACGAAGTTTGTCTTGATCTTGAATGGATTTGAATTTCCTCATGATTGAAAAGGCTTAGCGGAATCCCGGCCTTTATAATCCAGTATCAAAGGTTTGAGTTGTTTACTTCGTATTTCCTCTTTGTCTTGGAAATTCTTGCTATACTTGGATTAATTAAACGATCGAGATCGTTCCGCATCATGGATAAATATCAACCAAGGTAAGCGATGATATGGCACTCCGAATTGATACTCCTCCGATCACTGTTATTTCGCGTTGCTACACCTCATGTTATGCCAACTGGACATCAAACGACCTGTCATAACCTCCAAGCAGCGTAGTACTCGGCACATTTGTCGGCGCCAACCGTCGTCATCCCTCACGTTTCCCCATGTTTTCTTTCCGCGCGCGTGAGCGATCTCTTGGCAATTCCACCGGCAAGAGTCCGGGGAAGTGTGAGTGGGGTGAAGGCATAGGTATCGGCCCGGTTCATGAGGCGGAGTTCTCGATCGGAGCTCCTCACGATGCACATGCCGAAACGGGGCTGGGGGTCGCGGGAACACGGTCTCCAACTGCTTATTTCGGTGCTAGCACCCATGCAAGGTACACCGCGTGCAAAGCAGTCTTCTATACAGATTTGCGCGCCAAACGAAAGAACCTGGCATGAATATCCGGGGTTGCAACGGTAGACTATGTTTCTTGCTAATGAACGTGCCGTCATTCGTGATTTGCCATATGCCGTTTTCGGGTCTCCGTGTAGACGTCAGTCCGCATGGTGCGGACTGATTCTGGTTGGGTTTGAAGAACACAGACTATATTGCTGAGATTGAATCCGCTCGGCAAACAAGTCTACCAACAGGTCTCGAATCTCTGCGCATTCTTATCAGCCAAGTCATTGAATATGTTCTTCTCGAAGCTCTTGTCCGCTTCTGCTTTCCTGGCCTTGGCTGGCATTGCGAGGAGTCAGCAGACGGGTGCTAGCTATGTCGATCCCATCACGGGGTTTACTTTTTGGCGCTATGTACGTTGCCCAGCCGATGATCACTGATGAAGTGCCAGAAAAGATACCCAGTATCACTATAAAGGAGCTAACATAAACTTACAACTTAGGTAAACGGCAACTACACTTTTGGCCTGGTGTTCCCCGAGGATGTCACCACTGACTTTATCGGCCAATTTTCCGTCTCGGCCACTCAAGGATGGGCCGGCTGTTCCTTGGGCGGCACAAGTAAGTGCTCTCTTTCGCCCATATACCCTTGATCCTTTCCAGTATCTGGGTCCGTGGAACTGACGGGAAACCCCTTTTCTATCAAAAGTGCAAGGCAGCCTCCTAGTAGTCGCGTACCCCAATGGCGACAGCATCACAACGTCGCTGCGGCAGGCCGACGCCTACGCCAACCCGCACCTGGTGAACGGGACCGACGCCGCCGTGCACCCCATAGCCTCCGGCACCTACGTCAACGAGACGGCCTTTACCATAACCTTTTTGTGCAAGGACTGCATCCTGACCGACGGCCGCACCTTTTACTCCAACGCCACGCAGCCCATCCTCGGCTGGACCCAGAGCGTGAATGCCATTGCCGACCCGTCCAGTGATAACTCGACCCTCAACTTTCATGATAATTACGGCAACTGGTATTTCAACATGGAGGATGCCAAGTCGGCCAACTTTGACGCGTGGGCCGCGCAGGCGTCTTGAGTTTAAAGTCTCGGCGCAGCTTGGATGCTGATGCGATGCAAGTTGCCACTCTTGTGGATCAGTGGGCTTTTGAAGCGAATCGATGACTTTCACTTTCGAGGAAGAATCCATGGGCATGGTATAGAGCGAAGACGCTTGTGATATCAGTGTCAAAGGCCTTGGGAGGGCGGCACTGCGCATCGGATTAGCATATGCAGAGGATAGAGACGTTGAAGCCACCCTTTTAGCGGGGTGGACAAAATACCAAGACCGATTGATTGACGTTTTGACAATTATTATCTTATATTATTTCTCAATGTCTTAAACCTATTGCTGCTTGATGGCTTTCGACATGCCAGCCACCCACTCGTAAAACGCCCAGGCGCCAGGATCTGGAATATCCTGGCCTTCGGCCTCGGACACGTAACTCGCGCGGCCAAACTTGGCCTTGAGGGACTTGGTCCCCTCGGCCTTGTCGTGCGCCACCTGCACGGCTGCATGAAAGTCGCTGCTCTGCGCAAAGGCGTCGGCAAACGGGATCAGGACATCCATGACGGTCCGGTCGCCCTCGCGGGCACCCGTGTATTTTTTGAGCGTCGTCACGGCCTGTGCCAGCGACTGGGCGTACGTGGACGCATCGGCGGGGCCGCCCTTGCTCTTGACATTGTCCTGGAGTGCCGAAGTGAAAGCCGAGAGCAAGATGCCCAGGATCGCGCCTAGACTTCCGCCCATGTCGTCGACGGCCTCTGTTGTCGAGAAGAGAAAGGATAGAATTGAACCTTCCTTGGCGATGCCGTTGTCCAAGGTCTTGATGATACCTGTGTTGCCTCGAATCAGTACATGAAAAAGATCTTGGAATCACGTTCTTTCATGCAAACTTACTCTCTGACACACCCTGGACTGCTTCTCCACAGTCGCCATCACCCATGATCATGTCCCATTGGGTGAGTTTGGGTTCCGCAGCAATGGCTGCTTTGCATGCTGTCCGAATGATCGAGTCAAGTAGACTTGGGTCAACTGTTTACCAGTTAGAGACTACACGGAGAATTGGCAGGTCATGTGCAGTAACTCACTCTTGATGTCGGTATCAGCCGAAAATTTCGGCTTCTGCTCTGCAGCGGAAGCGGCACTCTCTGTTGCCGAAGCGGTAGTCTCCTTGAACGGAATGGCGACGTTGGGCCAGGCTACACAGCTCGTCTTTTGGTCGAGGAATTCGAGAAGCTCGCTAACACTTGTCGAGCACTCCTTGGCGGCGTTGGATAAATTGCATAGAGAAATGGAGAAACCAGGACCGTTAAGCGACGTCTCGAATGCGTCGGACAATATCCTGACGGGCTTGATGTTCCATGTGCGGCCTATATCAATAAATATTAGACACGATCCTATCCCATGACAGTGTGCTACGCCTACCTAGCTGAATAATGGTTTCATCCGTGAGAGCACCAAGCTCCAAGTTGGACAGACCACCGTAGTTGTTGAGCACCAGGACGACCTCATCGTCCTTGTTGAATTTCACAAATGCCCTTTCGGGATCATTGGGATCGCAGAGGAGCTTCAGGCAGTACGCAATGAGGTCCTCGACGGGAGGGAAAGGGCTGAGTCTCTGGGCGCCGGGCTCGTTGTGAATGCCGGCACCCACCACAACCACGTCTGCGGGGAGGGTCTCGTGCTTGGCCCGACCAGGAACATGACAGTGGTCGAGGGCAGAACCAATCGAGACAACCTCGGCGTTGACGGCCTTGGCAATGTCGACGCACTTTTGGAAGCCATGTCGCTTGGCGGCAGCTCCGACTATTTTCATGGCTGCATGATGCCTTGTTAAAATGTTTCGTTCGAGCTTCGTCTCAAACTGGGTGCAACTTACGAACAACATGACCAGGCATTCCTCGTCTTCCAACGACGGCCGACTTGGTCCTTCCTAGGGATACATCGTCTGTCAGGGGGATCACGGCGACATTCTTGCAGAGGCCCTCTGCCTTGGCTCGCTCAGCAGCCAATCCAAAGTGTAGCTTGTCGCCAGTGTAATTTGTGATCATGAAAATGGTTCCTTCGTTGGAGGGCACGGCTCTTGTCGCGGCCAAGACTTGTTTTGTGCTGGGCGATGCAAAGATGTCACCGCAAGCTACTGCCGACAATGCGCCGTCGCCGACGAACCCCGACCAGCCGGGCTCATGGCCTGAGCCACCTCCGCTGATCACGGATACTGTGCTGGGGTCGTTTTCTTTCGAATAGACAACTCGTTCCGAGTCAATGAGACCGAGATGGGGGTTGGCTGCAGTCAAGGCCCTCAGGTATCGCGGGACCAAGGTGTTGGCCTGAGAAGAACAAGGCAGGAGTTAGCAAAGGGTGATGTCGCTTTGTGCATGATGTAATAAGAGACTGGGGGGTTATCTCGTAATGCCGTTCAAGTACATGGCCATGCTAGTGTGGATGCAGTGCAATGACTATTTGAGTGTAGAATCTCAAGAGGGACAACTTAAACGTGATGAAAGGAAATGGAGAAATATCCCACGACTTACAGCAGTCTCTGGAAAAAAGTGCTTATCAGACATTTTCGTGTATATGTTGCTGGCTAAAAGGAAGGATGAATTACACAATGGACCACAAAAAGACACTCAGTGTATGATTTTGAGCTGTGCCGTCACCCCTCATCTATGAGTCTGGGTGAGTGAGTGAGGGGGACGGGTGACCCCAAATACCTTTTTGAACCATTTGCCGTCAGCAGCCATCACACTGGGTAAATGGAAGCGAACGTCTCTTTGCATGACTCCATCGTGGAAATGCGACGCACTCGGGTAGTAGCTTCATCACTTCTGTCAGTCAATCACTTTTCTTTGCGCTCTGGGTCGGTGTTCATCGTCTCGTGTCCATCCTTTGCCCATCTATGGTTCCTACAGTACATCCATGCATCGCCAGTGGACTCCCCATCGCCAACTTATTATTACTTGCTTGAATCCACTTTTCCCACAACCCAAACCCCACGGGATTTAGCCCAGCCCAGCTAAAGCCCAGCAAAAATTGCCCTGGGGAATGGAGTTTTCAATGGAGCTTCAGCCCCGCAAAGCTACCAGAGACCCGAACCATTACGTTCCGGGTCCGTGCTAAGCCCATCCGTCGGACGATCTGGAAAGCTTCAGCGACTTCGCGAATTGGCAGCGGCCAGAATGAATAGACAGCCCATGGACGGCAGCGAATACTACCCAGACTACCCAGCCCGGTGCCCTGTAGAAAGCGTTAGGCTTTCGCTAGCACGACCGCCACAGGCTGGTTCTGACCATGTGGTTGGCACACAGGACCGCGTTACGAGTCATTTGCCTTCCCCCAAGCAATAGGACGACCGGACAAGGGTCCCCGTCGCCTTGGTCGCTGCTATGCGGGGATTAAAGATGGGGGTCAACCCCAAAGGGGGATCCAGCTGCGTGCGTTTTCCTTCTTGTAAATTGCTGTGTCTGTGGCCTCGACACGATGCTCTCGTTTCATCTCTCCCTTGTTGCGCTTGCTGCTGCTTCTCCCTCACGCTTCTAGAGGCCTTGTCGCTTGCCCTCGTCTCCCGTCCACGAAACCTTGAAGAGCTGAGCTGAGCTGAATAGGACTGGACTGGACTGATCGGGAAAAACCCTAGTCCTCTCTTACCCCAGATATCGCGGGGGGCGCATAGCGTAGCACGCGTCGTCTGCTGCTGGTTGTTGGTGGTGGTGTTGGTGGTTTTTGGTTTTTGGGTTGTGGGAACGCCCTTGGAGGCACAAGACCCAGTTGCCGATCCATGAGCCCTCCGAAGCATGGAGCCGAGCGAGGCGCCGGCCCCGGGTGTCACCACGGGAGCGAAGCCTGCAAAGCCCAAGAGGATACGCAAGTCGAGATCCCGAGGTCTGCGCACCAAGACTGGATGCCTCACATGTCGAAAGAGACGTAAGTGCTTACACCAATCCGTATCACTGTCAAGAAAGGAGTGGGGCGCGTGAAGAGTCTGCCAGGCTAACATGTTATTTACCTGCGTAGACAAGAAGTGTGATGAAAGAGGTATGCTCAGCTTTGCCCCAGTGTTAGTGCCTTAAACCTAATTGCAGAAAAAAATTATGATAGTGCCTGTGTGTGGCCCTTGTTCTATATCGAGCCGGGACTGTGTATATGGCGATCAGGGACCAAGCCCAACCTCAGATGGCCAACCGAGTCAGCAGGTCAAGCAGGGTCCGGCGATCCAGCCGACCAAGACATCCTCTCCGACGCTCACATTTTCGTCGCGGAGGGAAGTAGACATTCCCAGAACGATACCAGAGGTACCAACACCCTCTGCTGTCCCTACTGCAGGACCAAGTCCGCGCAATTTGTATCCATCTCCGGTAGATGTTCCACCGCAGCAGCCTCTTCAACCTCCTCCTCCTCCGCCACCGCCTTCGACCATACCCCTGGCCGAGGCCTACCAGTATGCCTACTCCCCGGACACGGTGGCGTCGGAGCTGCTGACTACGGACATGGCCTCCAACCGATGGCTAGATCTGTTGGCCACGGATGCAGCCCAGGCAGATGCTGGATTCTCCCTTGCACCGAGTCCTGCTCCCGAAGATTCAGTATCAAATACGGGACATGAGTCTCAGCCGATAGGGACAGAAAACCAACCCATTTCAGGGAGTGTCTCGATTCCAGCACCGCTGGCCAACCAGGCAGTGGAACGACATGCCTGGTCATTAAATCGAGATATTGTTCTTGTAAGTGCCAAGGCCATCTATCGTGCTATAGTTGTTTCTTTTGTTGCAGCAAGATCATGGAGCTAGTTGCCTAAATTGTGCAGTTGGAGTCAAGCATCCTTGAAACCTGCATATACTGCACCAAAACAACGAATCATATCCCACAGCGAGAAAAGCTAACTCTTGTATCCTCTAGACAAGCTATGAAGCAACCCTATTTCGCACTTTTGCTGAAAGAGCAAGTCTCTGGGTAAGCCAATTCATCTTCCACGTCCAATGGCTCGTTCTGAAAGCTGACCGGCGTTGTGTCTATAGCTTGATATCTTTGACCCTCGCAGACACTTTTCGACATATGCGACGCGTTTAGCAGTCAGTACTGCTTTTGCCATCAAAGTCTTTCAAATACATACTGACAACTTGAACAGCTGCGGAATGTAGGATTGATGAAAGCTATACTGGTAAGCACTTGAATAACCATGTTGTATCTTTGGATACCCAGAAAACTGACATGCTTTGGACAAACAGGCATTGTGTGCACGACATAGAGAAATTTCCGAGGCAAACGCAGGCATCACCAGGGACTCGAGTTTGGCCGTACAGTATTACTACGAAACGTTGCACTACTTGCAGAATGCCCTGCAATATAATTCATATACACACTCGGAGGAGCTGCTTGGCACTGCATGCAAGTGGCCCAGATTTGCCAAGAAAGGATGATCCCGCTAATGCGTTGCAGTGGTCATCTCCACTTACGAGATGCTCGATTCATCAGATACGAATTGGAAACGACATTTAAAGGGCGTCTTTTGGATTCAAAGATCACAAGACGTCAACGGCGCATCCGGAGGGCTGCGACAGTCTGTGTGGTGGGCATGGCTCCGTCAGGATATTTGGGCCGCTTTCAGGTATTACTAGCCCTTTCCAAAGTTTACAACCTTTATATCTGCTGACCTGGAGCCTATCAGAGAACGTAGAAGGTGTTTCTCCTTTTGGCGACCCCTCAAAGACTATTGCGACCTGAACCAGGATGAACTGGCGGATCGAGTAGTTTACCTGCTTTCACAAACGGTCAACTACTGCTCAAAGTGGGATCCATCACCTACCGAACCGGACACGACCGCAAAACGAATTCGCATCGGCGAGGCCCTGATTAATGAGCTCGAGCGCTGGAAGACGTATCTCGGTCCCTTGTTTCAGCCCTTGCCGACAGCAGACCCTAGCCCTGACAGCGTATTCCAGCCTCTCTGGATTCATCCACCAAAATATGGTGTTGCGCTTCAGGTGTACAGCTTTGCTTGTATACTCATCACTCTCCACCGTCCGGCCGCGTCTGGTTTCGACGGATACTTGAGAACACAGGTTAGTCGCCAATTGCCTTGGTTGGAAGTCATTCGATCTAACGATAACCACGACAGAAAACACTGTCCGAGGCAGTAGCCACTATTTGCGGGATAGCCATGGAGCTACGCGACGAAGGCAGTCAGATCATGTCTGCGCAGTGTCTGTTTGGAGGTTTGTGTTCACTTTATCCGCTCTACCATTGATGTGTAACTAACTTTGAGAATAGCTGGTCTTTGCGTACAAGATACAGATAAACGCAATGTTATTCTGTCCTTGATAGACGCCTGTGAAATGCGAACAGGATGGCCAATGGCCTCCATGAAGAAAGATCTTCTGGCCGAATGGGCAAAATAACGACCTGATACACTGTATAACATTGACTGTATATACAACGGATGATACCCCAGGGGATTTTGGCTTCCAAAAGTTTATTATTCAAGATTTTTTATTTTATATCGTACTCTTTTAGTGCTCTATCGCTCAAAATCAATTCGCTCATGCCAAGTGTCCTGTCTCTGTTGTTATGCTGCGATCGCGGGTGCAGCTCTCGAATCGTAGTCGTTGATCGCCTTTACTTTTGCTGCCGATGCGGATTGCTGGCAAGGGTTAGTTGGATATTTGCAGGATTTGCTCCGATATGTAGGATCTGTTTCGATAATCCAGAGCCGAGTATGGCAAACTTACAGGATCAAAAGTGTAGCCAAGCCACTCCTTGGTCAACCTCCTGGCGAGCTCGATACCAATAACGCGCTGACCGAGGCACAGGACCTGGGCGTCGTTGGAGAGCACGGCACGCTCAACGCTGAAGCTGTCGTGGGCCGTCACGGCGCGCACGCCCTGGACCTTGTTGGCGCTGATGGCAACGCCCAGGCCGGTGCCGCAGATGAGCAGGGCCCGGTCCGCCTTGCCCTGGGCCACGAGCTCGGCGGCGGCAATGGCAAAGAGCGGGTAGGCTGTCTTGTCGGTTGCGCTGGCGGGCCCGACGTCAATGACTTCCGAGACCCGCGGGTCGGCGGCCAGGTCCTGTGCCAGCTTGGCCTTGTAGTCGAAGCCGGCATCGTCGCCGCCAATGGCGATTCTAAGCTTTTGAACAGCGGCCATTTTTGATGAGATGTGATGAGCGGGATATGACGTGAAGAGTGAGTGAGAGGGAGTTATTTTGTGTAATCAAAAGCTGTTACTGTATGAACTGGCTGGCGATGTGAACAGGGCGGGAATATGAAAGACGAAAACTTTTCAAAACTCTCGGAGCCGAGTGACGATATTCACAATTTGGAGAAATACAACGCGACGCGCTCTTGCCAGGTCATGGGTCCCCGAGTTTTAAGATCCAGGCTCAATGTAGAACAAGACGGTACCCCTCTACTGTCGTCCGCGCCTCGTGCCAACTACTATTCGCAACATATTATCGAAAATGGCGTCTTGTCCGCGTGAAGGGGACCCTGAACACATACAAGTGCCCGCGCCTCGTGACAATGGGTTCATATTATTCCGCAGGTTTTCTCATAATGAGCACAAGTATACGAGCTTTTCTCTTGGTCAAACTCCCCCGCATCGAGACCTTGTTCATGGAAAGAAAAGCCCACCCCTGGCTAAAATGTACTATAGACCGCGCTTACTGGCAACATGACCAGGGCCAAGGGTCGCGAGTCGAGGCACAAGTGAGGTTCTTCCCCCAACGCCCTATGCGGGGGAAAACATGGGGACGGGACCTAAAGTAGAGTAGTAGCATGGGTTACTCCAACGCCAGACTTTGAACGGAACCCCGCGGTGGAGATGAGGGAGAGATGCACGATGCACGATGCCCCTCATTGAAGAACGGCTCCAGGGAATAAACAAGAAAAGAATAAAGCTGGTGTTCGTGACGAGGTGATTGAGGAATAAAGTGCCATGGTGTCGCGGTCTTCGCGGCAAGAAGCAGCGAAGAAGAAGTAACACGCGCATGTGCTTTGGCTTGCTCAATTCGGAAACCAGACCCAATGAAATCGTCGTCATTTCGCATCTCATCTCCTCACGATCAATTCAACCTTTTTTTGTACGAACACTTGACCTGGCTTTATTTTCAGCTTCTCATTGGGAAAAAAGAAAAAACTGGAGGCGTCTTCCACTATTCTGATCTAGACCCCATCTTGCTGTAACTTGTTCCTGTCAGACTGAACGTCGTTACGCCATCTTGGAATTTCCTCTCGAAAAGAAGCTCAAAAATTGGATAAAGAGTCGGAAACACAATGGAGTGGAAAAAGACAAATACGACTTACAAGATCCTCTCGGATGCCGAGAAGGGCGGCTACGGCGTCGTCGCCCCCATCGCGTAAGCAGAAAACCCATGCGCATATCTGTATTTTGCTTGTTTGAATGAGTTTGCTCAGCTAACTCTATTTACGCTTTTTGATTTCAGTTACAATATTGAGTGTATCCTGGCCTTTATCCGGGCTGCCGAGGCAAAGAAAGCACCACTTATCCTGCAAGTCTTTCCATGGGCCATTACCTACAGCAATGGACTCCTGATCCACGCCGCCGCAAAGGCTGCCCGCGAGGCCTCGGTGCCAGTGGCCATCCACCTCGACCACGCCCAGGATGAGAAGCTGATCCGGCACGCGGCCGCCAACCTGCCATTCGACTCCATTATGGTCGACATGAGCCATTACGAAATGGAGGAGAACCTGGCCAAGACGCGCGAGCTGGTCGCGTACTGCAACGAGCACAAGATCTGCACCGAGGCCGAGCCGGGCCGGATCGAGGGCGGCGAGGACGGCATCGCCGACACGGCCGACCTCGAGGGCGCCCTGACCACGGAGGACCAGGTCGAGGACTTTATCGCGACGGGCATTGACTTTCTGGCGCCGGCGTTTGGCAACGTGCACGGCGAGTACGGCACCCGGGGCCCGGTCCTCGAGTACGACCGGCTGGCCATGATCCGGGCCAAGGCAGCGGACCGGGTGCGCATCGTGCTGCACGGCACAAACGATTTCCCCGAGGACGTCATGCAGAGCTGCATCCGGGGCGGCTGCAGCAAGATCAACGTCAACAAGCTGGTCCTGGACGACTACCTCAAATACATCAAAGAAAAGGCTGCCACCACGAGCCTCACGACCCTGATGGAGGATGGCACAAAGGAGATTCAAAAGCTCATGGAGTGGCAGATGGATGTGACGGGGTCCACTGGCAAAGCAGCTTAGTAGTAAGTGCTGCTGCTACCTGTGGTAGTAGTTTGTGCATACTGCAGCTCAAGTGCGCCTACTAGTAATAATAATGAAAAAAGAAATTTCCACCCCCCCAAATCTTCTGATCAATTGCCGTGTCTTGAAAGTCTTTATTGCCGTCGCGCTTCCAGTTTCCATTGGCTTGTCGGCAGTCGCTGAAAGTTTGCAGCGTCGCATTGCATATAATTATTGAAAGTGATGAAAAGACAGGCCTGGCTTGACATGAATTTGCACTCAATAGGAAAATGAATGACAAGTTCGTTACCCCCCATGTAATCTGTACTTCAATTGCTATCGCATGTGTCGCATTCGTTGCCTCTATACAGTCAGTGACTTGAATCGAAATGGCGCATTTACTGACCTGACCGACTCCAACTGACCGTCAATTGCCGGAGCGGTCAAGCAAAGGTAGGTATCAAGTAGTTCAGCAGACAAGTAGCGTTGAGCCGAGGTCATCTTCATCAATCCAATCATGAGCTCTAGAGCTACCCTTTGCTTTTTTGTGCACGGCAAACTTGGGGAATCCGGCCGTTTCTGATAGCCCGCGAAGTGGGGGGTCACGTTTGATACTTGACTTGAGCATTCATAATTTGTTCAGGATTGAATAATGCCCTTGAATTTCTTCCAACGAGAATGCTATTAGGACTGGAAAAACTTGTGAATCCTCTGATTTTCAGTATTAATTATATATTCTCACTTTCAATTAAAGGAATTTCAAGTTATTTGAATTTTACTTTCTTATTATGAAATTCTAAGGATTCATGGACCCATAAAAATGACGCCATTTCTCATGCGCTGGCTATGTACAGTCTATATGACGACCCAGACAAAATTCAACTCCATTATTTTTCATGCTTGGTTTTGCTGCTGATATGCTTCTCTTGTTTTACCAGCCACCGACGATACCGGCAATGGGGATATCGATACCGGTCGTGTAAGTGGCCGTCTCGGACAGCAGGTAGACGTAGGCGCCACCCAGCTCTTGCGGCAGAGCCAGACGGGGCATACCACCGTAGTACTTCATCTTGAGGTCCTGATTGCGCGCACACATGTTAGCTGTACTGTTTGATGCTTTATTTTTACGCTTGGAAGAGGAGAATGTATGCTTACCCAGTCGGGAGAAGACTCGACGTAGTATGTAAGAGCCGTCTTGACGTAGCCGGGCGAGATGCTGTTGACACGGATACCGTACTGCGCCCACTCCATGGCCAGAGTGTGCGTCATGTTGCGGACGGCAGCCTTGGTGCCACCATAGGGAGCCGAAGGGGCGGCGCGGTTGGGGCGGTACGAGGTCATGGAGGCCGTAAAGACAATGGAGCCCTTGGTCTTGAGCTCAATGAACTTGCGGGCGGCGTAGGTGGCGCACAGCCAGCTGCCCGTCACGTTGAGCTTGTACAGGCGCTCAAACTGCTCGAGGGTGAAGTCGAGGGCGGGCAGGTGCTTGGTGGCGCCGGCATTGGCAATCAGGCCGTCGAAGCGTCCGCCCCGCGTGGCCACCTCGTCAATGGCGTTCTTGACCGACTCCTCGCTGGTAATGTCCGTCTGCACGTACTCGAGCTTGCCGGGGTGCTGCTTGGCCAGCGCGGCAAAGTCATCGCCGGGTTGTTGGATGTCGAGCGAGAAGACCTTGGCGGCATCGTTGGCAAGGCAGACCTCTGCGAGACCGAGACCGATACCTTGGTTGGCACCAGTGACTAAGCAGACCCATGTTAGTAAAGTTATTCTGACCACCGTGAAACCATTCGTTGCAAGATGAACTTACTTGCAATGACCTTGCCCTCCAGAGAAATCTTCCAGTTGTGGTTGGGGCCAGGCAGAGTGGAAGGGTAGTTGTCAACAGCGCCAGAGGGGGCGGCGGAACCTTCTGCGGAGGGGCTCATCTTGAAGGATATAAGTGGTTGACAGAAGTCTTGAAAGTATAAAGTATAAGAAGTTTGTTAGAACAAGAGCAATGAGCTGTAATGAGACGACAGAAGTGAAGCAATGACTGAGATGTAGTGCAAGGAGAGAGAGTCACAAAAAACAATGGAGGACATGGCCTTTTAAAGAATACCATGAGCCGCCGATTGCATCGGTCACACTCTCGGGGGATCTACTTTCTTCCCTCACTTTTTTGCTGCGCATTCCGGGGTTGGCGACCTCAAAGCGCGTTGCGGGGGATCGACTACACTATAGTTTGCCAGTACAAGACGCGATGCTGTCCAGTGCCCCTCTATCCGCACTCTGGTACCGGGCAGCACACGACTGCGGAGTACCTTGGCGTCATTGCACATCGTCTCGCGAGGGTCTCTCTAGCTATAGAGCCCTACACAATGGGACTTGGGGGAAACTCCAGAGAGAATTGTACTATGCAAGATCCAAGTCTAGTCGTCCACTGCTCACGAGGGAGACTCCACCGATTCCGTCCGGGGCTCCGCCTGCTGAGGTAAGTAATAGTGCCGCGCCTCGGGGTCGGCCGTCCGGGGGGGCTTGCGGCTGACGAGCCACTTACACATAATGACCCCCGACACCCCGTTCATGGGCTGAACCGGGGGTGCTTCAGGACGCGAGACGCGCTGCAATACCACCAAGTCCCAATTGCCGCATCGCGCGGTAATTGGCCTACGTCAGCTGATGGTAAGGCCATTTCCTGTTGGGCTGAGGAACCGCGACGCGGCCTCTGTGCGTCGTCGAGCCATAATCTCGTTTCCCGAGTCATTCCGGCTGGGTCTGGACGAGGACCACGAGAGCGCCTGATTTGTCTAGTCAAAACGTGGAGGCCCCATTGTGGAGAGCACTAGATACCCCAAACGACAAGACCGCGTGGAGAAGCTGGTCTGGTGTGTTCCCAAGGCTGGGGAATGGCTCAGGGAGCCGAAAACTTGGCTTTCTTGTCCCTTTCTCCATTTGCCTAAACCTGATCCAACACTACCATCGAAGCATTCCACATTCGGACGTTGACGGCATCAACCTGGGGTAAGCGGCGTCACGATAGGGCAACCGTTTGGTTATATAACTCCCCCTGGCGTACCATATCCTTGGGTCTTGAATTGATAGAAGAGACAAGAGCAGGAGACTTCGCAGCTGCACCTTCAAACCTTAAAAAGCAACAAGAGGCCTGTCAGATCTCGTGTCGTCTTACTTCATCCTCAACACCTCCTTTTTTCCCTCTCTCTCGAGAAAACCTCATCAATCAATTTTCATCATGGGTTTCAACGCTTCAGACAAGACAACGGGTGAACACTGCGAGGTCACTGACCCGGAGATGTTGGATGACCCCAAGTCTCAGAACAACTACATTGATGATTATGTCCCAGACACGGAGGAGGAGCGCGCCCTCGTTCGCAAGATCGATCTTTACATTTTGCCAACCATGTGGCTCATGTACTTGTTGAGTTACATGGACAGAACCAAGTAAGGAGACCACGAGTCTCAGGGGGTTTGTTCAATTGACTGACTTGATTCTCTTTTTCAGCATCGGCAACGCAAAGATTGGCGGCATGGAGAAGGATCTTGGTCTGGATTCGGGCAAATACTCCATTGCCCTGGTCGTGTTTTTTGTCGGCTACGTCCTTTGGGAAGTTCCATCAAAGTAAGTCATTGATTTTCGTTACAAACATGATTCAAAGACAATATTAATATTCATGCAGCATGATTCTGGCTCGTACCAAGCCTTCAATCTTCCTTCCAGCCATCATGTTCTTTTGGGTGAGTCATTTTCCATCAATTGATAACAGTCCATCCATGATTTTGATACTAACAAGTCTCCAAAATAATAGGGATGCGCTACCATCGGAATGGCATTCATCAACACATACGAGGCTTTGGTCGGATTGAGAGTCTTGGTCGGTCTTCTCGAGTCGGGTTTCGCTCCTGGAATGCTCCTCCTGCTCTCGAGTTGGTACAAGCCTGAAGAACAAGCACGACGATTCGGTGTCTACATTTCAGCTGCCATTCTCTCTGGAGCATTCGGTGGTCTGATTGCTGGTTCCATCACCAACAACCTAAATGGTATGTTTTCACCATAAATTCTATGAAACCATCTCGAGATGAGGAATTTGTGCCTAATATTTTCTCTTCTCATAATAGGTGCTCATGGCTTGGCCGGATGGCGATGGCTCTTCATTGTTGAGGGCGCCGCCACTGCTGGCTGGTCCATCATTGCATCCTTCATTCTCATGGACTTCCCCGCCAACACGAAGAGACTCTCCGAACGCGAGCGAGCACTGGCCATTCGACGACTCCAGGCCTCGAACGCTAGGGTTGACACCGAAGACACTCCCAAGCTGTCTCACCTTCAGGCCCTCAAGGTCGCCCTGACTAACTGGAGAGTGTGGCTGTTTGTCGTTGGTTACATGGCCGTTGTCGGTTCCTCGACTCTGTCTTACTTTTACCCGACACTAGTCGCTGGTCTCGGTTACTCCACGGTTGTCGCCCAGTACATGACCATCCCCATCTACGTTGCGGCCTTTATCGTCACCATCATCGTCGTGTTTTTCATGGACAAGTATCCCAAGTGGAGAGGTTTGGTCCTGGCCTGCGCCATGGGCGTGGCGTGCCTGTGCTCCATCATTACTTGCGTTGTCTACGACTTCCACGCCCGGTATGCTCTGCTGGTCATCATGGCCTCTGGTCTCTGGGCCTCCAACGGTCTCTCCCTCGCCTATGCCTCTTCCACCTTTTCAACCATGTCCGCCGAAGTCCGTGGTATCAGCTTGGCCTTTGTCAACGCTATGGGTAACCTTGCCCAGATTTACGGATCCTACCTTTTCCCTTCAGTTGATTCTCGTAAGTTTTTTTCCCCGACACAAGTCCCTTTCTATATGCTTGCAAGAAAGCTAACTCCCTTCCTCAACAGCCAAGTACCTCATGGGCTTTGGAGTCATTTCTGGACTTTGCTTCACCGGTGTGGCCAGCTACCTGGCGCTCTTCATCTGGCTCAAGCGATATCCCCAGAAGAACTAAGATGGGCGACAGATGTCAGTGTAGGAGTGTGATACCCTTAATGTTTGGATAGTGTGTGTGGGCACGGGATGTGTAATACGAGTCATGACAAGCGACCGTATCATGTACTGTATGAATTTACGATCTTCAAGACATGCTAATTGCACGAAAATGTGCATTTGGTAGCATTGTTTTCAAACCAGTGAGCATGTTTTTCTCGCAATGTTGCCATTCTCGAACTCTTGATGCTGTGTGAGGGTCTGGGGTGTCGATGCCATGAATCCTGACCTGAAATGAGCAAAACTCTTTCCGCCAAGACTAGCAGTGCTTTCAATGTTTGAAGCTTTGACGCCACCATCAGGGTGATCCTACGCCGTTGGCAGACGGTTCCCGTAGTTTAACCCGTGACGGCAAGCTAAATTGGCCATGAAAGGTCCAATAGATGAGCTCAAACACGAGACAACGCGGAGTGTCTGAGACAGCCAGGAATCCCATATTCCCGGAGTCGCCGGTGTGTCTGCCCTATCAAGCCTATCAACCTCGTAAAAGCACAAGAAGGAAAAATTCCACCAAAATGGAGCAGAGTCAAGGTCGGCGACTTGAGTCCTGGGAGGTCAGATCGATGGGAACCTTGGCAATCTGACTATTGGAGCCACTCGGGGGTCCTTGTTACCGTATTATTTTCACCGCATTATGTAAAAGATTAGCATTTCTTGTCGACATGGGTCAGGGGCCTGGTCAAGACGCGCACGAGACGTTGCCTCTGTGGGTTTTCAGAGGAAACCATTCCTTAGGGCGCTGTTGATTTTACTATTCTGCCTGGATCACAAGTCATACGTTTCCAGCGAAATGACATCAGCGTTTCCATTCATCTAAGCTGTTGTTCAAACGCTGCCTACGTTTCATCAAATGACGGCATTTTATTGACTGTATCTGTGCCTCAGTGAGGGATCTCATACAAATTTGTAGTGACTACAGGGTCCGAGTTCTCTCCACGCAAGAGTGACCAGCCGTGCAAGCTATTCCATTGTTGTCGGAGCACCGTAATAGCGTGCAATAGGCCCCCAACAAACTTGACTAACCGGGTAAGCAGAGGCCAGCAGATGGGCAGGCATGCGCAAACGATACCCGTGCAGCAGTGTGCCATGGCCCAGATCAGCATATACATAGATGGCTGCCGAGTCCCCGGTGCGTAGCAGTTTATGATCTTGAGTAAGTCGCAAACGAGTACACTTTTTGCCAATATTGATTAGCACTTATAAATGATTTCATACTTTGACAAAGTGATAACACTCACAAAATGACCAAGAGAAATACGCCTATGAGGGTGAGCTTGTTTCTTTTGCTCATTTGAAGCCTGTATATTATCCTGAGAGGCAGTATAATGATCATGACGTCGATAATGGACTCTAGTATGCCCGAAGCTGTCCAAAAAGCGTTGTAATGTTGGCAATGTGCTGCTTCATTGAGGCCTCTTACCCATGCACGTTCATAAGAAATACAGCTGACTAGGCCTGCAATGGTACACCCGGTCCAGAAGGCCACCACAATCGCAATCAGAACCCGCACTTGGTATCGAAAGTCGCTGTTGATCGAGAATAACCGTTGATACATGAGCAGGATGGAGAGCTTTGTTGTAGACGTAATTGTAAAGTATAGCGCGGCGCCAATGAATGTGATCTTCGAGGACATGCTATTTGCGGGTCTGCCAGTGTCTTCATTGCTTTCATCATAACCCAAGCGATTCGAAACGTGTGAGGAAGCTACAAATGAAACAACTTGTTAGCCACGTCTCACAAGCTAACAACGTGATACTAACAATATAGCATGGCGATATCTGCCCCGATAGTGAAAATAAATGAGATCAAGATGAGCCAGTCGTCTGCTTTGTAATAAATCTTGTTCAGGTATCGGACATGGCAACGAAATGCGACAGATATGGTGGCGAGGATGGCCACAAACGCCCCGACCAATATCGCAACACATGTGTCAACTTCCTCTGATGTTTTGACGTCGTTCATTTCTATAAAACGATGGGGAGATGCCCAAAATAGACAAAAAATATGTGACGATTGTATTCTGCCGAATATCAAATATTTATGTTTCTCTATCTGCAATCATTATGAACCGCAGAAACTTGCATAATCACAGTTTCCGTGTGGTAATCTGAGACACGCATGCACAAAAGGATTCAGCGGCCGTAAGAGTGAAGAATACATATTACCTATTAAGGTATTTGATAGACAGACCATGTCAGCAAGCACACAGCTGAGGCATAAAAATCAATAGGGTGTTCTCCAGAATCGATTCAAGCCAACAGCTTACAAACGACAGAGCCTCCCGTTCTGCGTCTGCACGCCCTGAGCCTTTGTCCTGACCTCCCAATCCTCGCTCCCGACGCCCGTCGTGGCGTAAAAGACGTCACTCGGGTCCCATTTCCGCTTCAGCCGAAGCAGCTCTGGATACTGCTCACCGTAGAAAGCCACCTGCCAGTTAGGCTCCATGACGTGAGCCTCGTTGAGGTACGACCCGCCACCCGCACTCGTGGGCGCCACCTGCCTCCAGGGCTCGAGCATGGCATTGATCTCTTCGTGGGCCTGATGCAGCTCCTCGGGGCCGGCGCCGGGGGGCACCGAGGCGCCCGTGATCAAAAAGGCAATGGTCTCGCGCCACGCCGAGCTGACGGCATTGTCGACGCCCAGGCGGTTGCGGGGCGCCTGGTGGTAGCCAAAGATGCGCAGGCCGGCCTCGCCGTGGGCCTGGACGGCGTCCCAGGTCGCGTTGAACTTGGCCGCGTCCTCCCAGTTGCCACGCGGGAAGAGCCAGTTGCCCGGCATGCTGACGACGCTGCCGACGCTGTCCTTTGTGGCCAGGGCGTCGTTGGCGTCGCGCTTGATGCCGAAGTTGTCATTGTACGCAGGGAGAAAGTCTTCGTAGCGTGTCGTATTTGGCGTAAAAGGGATGCCGAGTTCAGTCAGACGGTCGAACCATGGCTGTACGAGCTGGTTGAAGGACTCAATGGTATGATTAGGTGCAAAGAATGGATTCATTGACAGTTGGGTGGTGCCGTTGCTGGACGTGATGGACCACCAGGAATATGTGCCTGCATCTGTGTAGGGGATAAAGTCCTCAAAGAATGCCCGGATGCCCAGCCAGAAGGTCTCATTGCTGACATTGGCGCTGGTACTGAAGCTAAAGGATGAGGTGACGATATTCACCCTTGGGTGAGCCCTGGTTACTTATTATTAGTTTCTGCCCGACTATGGACCTTGTTGTGTAGTTACTGTGTTTGGAATCGAAACTCACCTCACAATGACCGAAGTCACGATACCAAAAGTGCTTCCGCCTCCACCCCGCAGAGCCCAAAAGAGATCTGGATTGGACGACTCGTTCGCAGTGATGAATGTACCATTGGCAGTCACAACATGGAATTCCAACACTGAATCTGTTCCCATGCCGTAGAGTCCAGATAGTGGTGTATGGCCACCGCCAGCCACATAACCTCCCGCATATCCCACACTCTATACTAGAGTCAGCACAATGTCAAGCCCACAGAGTTCATGGACTTACCTCACAGATGCCGCCAGGGACGACATAACCATGGTTATAAGCAGCCGTGTATACCTCCCGAACCGTAACCCCGGCACCCACTTTGAGTGCCGGTCCGGTATATGCTGTGCTCGAGTACTCGGACACGAGTTCAATGTCTTTTAAATTGTGCGTCCAGACACTCAGCGCGCCAGCTCCACCCGACTTTCCAAGGTAACAATGACCAGTATTTTTTATGACCAGTCGAAGATTGTGAGTCCTAGCAAAGGCTATGGCTTGCTGAATCTGGTCTACACTACTGATATTGACGGCATATGCTGGGTACGCTCCCAAGGTACATGTATTATTGACTTCTTGGGATGGGAGACAAGTCCTCCCTTGCCAAATGGGCCACATCATTGATGTTGGATCAGCTTCACTAAACGCGAGTGAGTAAATTGAGTTTCATTGCCATGTCCTAGTCGGGACAACTCACTGGAAATAGGGGTCCGAAAAGTTTGTGGTTATAGCATCGCACGTCTGCTCGTCGTAGACGCCCCAGTCTTGGTAGCAAGGCGCGGCCAAGGGGATCGTTTGTATGAGCGCACCGCCGAGCACATCATCAAAGGCTGCCCATTCGCTTTGTGCCGGCCAACCTTGGTCGTCGGGAAAGGTTCTGCACTCGCCGCTGCTCAGAACGGGTGTGTCATGCCCTGAAAAAAGGTTGTACGCATCTTGCTCGCTCAGATACGACTCTTCGTAACCGAACAGAGCATCTTTCTGTGTGAGTTCGATAGAATGTCTTCCTGAAGTTGGGAGCCTGGCTTCTACGGGGCATGCCAGAAGCATCCAGGCAACACCCGTTATAAAATTGGCAAGGGTCATTCTGTCCTCCTTTGGTTTGCCACTTTCAAATACAACGACACATCGAGGCATGAGGTGAGCGGGCAGGTCAACAGACATGGCCTAGAGCACGGCATTTTATAATGGAAACACTTCAGCTACTCTCCGCCCGTTTCCAAGCATCAGCAAGATCATCAATAGTCGTGCGTCCAATACTACCGTCAAGGATTCTTTGCATATTGCATCGACTGGATTTGCTGATTAACCCCCAAGGTATACTTTGCCGTGGTCACACACAGCATTTCGATCGTCCCTTGGCACCAATCCCGTAACCCAGGATTTACAGGTCTTACGGATCCTGCATATCCAACCCCGCAACAAGACCACGCCAATACAACGGCAGTACTTTTCTGAACGGTGGCATAGGGTGCTCTCATGGAGAAACGATCCTGATGGACATTCGCAGAGTAATGCCGCATGCTTACAATCAGCCATATCATCACATCCCTCCCGCGCCATTAGACTTCAACGCACGGCGATACCAGTTTCACCATGAATATATATCCATCCTATTGTCAAAATCAAAGATATGGTATTTTGCGTTTGCAGCAGAAAAATAGACTCAACAAAACCATTTGTCTCTAGATTACCACATCGACTTTGCCAAGCCATACACTCGCTGTATCCTGTCTCGTTACTGTAATGACATCCTTTACTCCGGACATGATCTGAACCCTCATGGAAGAAACATAAACTAGGCAGTGGCAGCAGCCGTCCTCCTCGACAGCGCACCGCCCCTTCTTGCCGATGAACCACTAGCACCAGGTCGTGCAAGGGTGTATTTTGCGAATGCTCTGGCGAGAGCCTTTTTGCAGCTAACCTTTTGACTGCCAACAAAACTCTCTACTGTCACCGCGATGGCACGGTCGATATCTTGAGCACTACAGTATTCCGATAACCTCATGCGGCAGAATGCTTCGGAAATACGGATAATAGCTTCTAAGTGACGTACCTGTCAAGAAAAGATTAGTCTTGCATATCGGCGGGAAATTTGAGCAGTAGACTTACAGTAATAGGATATGCGCCAGTTGCCAGTGACTCTCTTCTCATGTCGGCAAACAACCGTGCTACCTTGTCCTCATCCATGTGCAGGAGTTTAGGACTGCAGTGGTTAGGGTTACGTGCGTACAGGATGTACTTTCGCAAAAGTTCCTGAGGAATCTCGCCCTCCTTCTTAGCTTGGGAATCTTGTCTCTCGGTAGCAGCTTGTGATTCTGGCTCGACTTCCATTGAGTCTTCTGTGCTCTGCGAGGTTGGGTGGCTGCGGCTGTGAGAGCCGACAATGAAGCGAGCAAGACGCTCATCCTCAGAGGGGTCAACGGTGTCTCGGACAACGCAGAGGATATCGAAACGCGACAAGATGGGCTCTGTCAACTCGACGTTGGAAGAGAATGGAATGGTGGAGTTGTAGCGCCCGCCAATTGGGTTGGCAGCTGCAATGATTCCACAACGTGCCTGCAGAGTAGTCACGATACCTGCTTTCGAGATGGAGATTGTCTGCTGCTCCATGGCTTCGTGGATGGAAGTTCGATCTTGGTCGTTCATCTTGTCGAACTCGTCGATAAGGCACGTTCCTCTGTCGGCAAGGACAAGGGCACCGCCCTCGAGCGTCCATTCACTGGTGAGAGGGTCTCGACGAACACTAGCCGTCAAACCAACAGCAGACGCACCTTGACCAGTGGCAAAGACGGCTCGGTGTGCCGTTTTTTCTACGTACTTGAGCACTTGCGACTTGGCGGTACCCGGGTCTCCAAGGAGGAGAACGTTGATGTCACCACGCACATGGTGAGAACCCTTGGCAATCTTGCTCACGCCACCGAAAAGGGACAACGCCACAGCGGTTTTGATATCGCTGTGGCCATAGATGCTGGGGGCGATCGAGTTGACAATTTTGTCAACAATCTGCGGGTCCCGAGACAGATTGCGGATCTTTTGCTCGTCTTCCTCGGTTAGTCTGAAGCCAGCCAGTTGATCGTGAGACTTGACAACGTTATTTGCTTCCAAAATGGTAGCAAACACGGGGAATCCATTGCGGTTGTTCAGCTGAGCATCGTAATTGTTTCGGTAAATGCCAGTCACTTCGATTTCCTCACCAGGCTTGGCCTTGTCGATCAAGTCCCACAGAAGAATGACTTCCCGATGTCTTGGCAGACGACCTGCTGGGACGGTACCAGGCGACTCCTGAAGCGTAAGCTTCTGATAGTTTCGGTAGACAGTCTTCTCGGAATTTATTGTGAACGGACCGCGAGACTGGCAGTTTTGACAGAACGTGATCTTGACCTCGACGTTGGACTCCTGTTGGAAAGGTCCAAGGGTGACACCGCACTTTGTGCAATCAAATTTGACATACTTGAGCTGAGGGAAAACACCCGTTCGTCGTGTCACCACACCGCTTACTCTAATCAGGCAGTTCAAGTGAGATTGACGCAGCTGGCGGAGGGTGTAGTGTACTGGAAGATCGAAGATACGAACGTGGATATCAGTATGAATGCGCTCGTAGTCGGGGTAGTGAAGAAGCACAACATCCAAGGCAACGTCGTCGAAGAGCTTTAGCATCTCAGCAGGCGCATTGGCCAAGAAGTAAGCTAGGATGGCTCTCGAAGACGAGAGATGGTCGTATGAAACCTCGAGAGACTCTGCATTGATCTCACCGAGGGTTCGAATGCGGTTTCCATAGACGGAGGAACCGCTCTCGTCGGTATACTCGGTCAAGAATGCCTTGAACTCCCGCTTGATTGTTCGCTGCACAGCAGGTTGTGATACCCATTCGGTAAGACTGGAGGCCTTGACGTCCTGGAGTGCTTCCAAGGATAGCTCCTCGTCCATGATGTCTTGGTCCATCTCGTCATCGGGGTCTTCGTCATAATGGTGACGACGTCGGCGAGGTTGTGCTGTCAGGTCGATATCACCATCATCGTCCTCATCTTGGAGGAAGGCGGCGGGCATGCGCCTTCTGCGGGCAACTTCACGGTCTCTGCGGTTCAACTGGGCTTCAAGTCTTCGTCTGTCGCCGAGGTTGAGCTCATCATAGTCGCCCTCATCATCAATGTCGATGCCCTCATAGCCATCATTGTCATCCTTTCCGCGGTAGTCTCGCTCAAAGCCCTCACGGAACAGATCAATATCATCCTCGGCCATCTCATCAAGCTCGTCGATGTCGTCTTGAATCTCAGCCTCCTCCTCGATGTCATCATCGTCGTCACCTCCGTGGGCAATGTTGAAAGCCGGCGGCGACGAGGGCATGGGACTGGAGGCTGCAACGGACGAGCTGGCATCGCCGCCAGTGCGGGCACGCTTGCGGTTGCCCCTTGGCGCAGGTCCCCGATTAGCCGAGGACATGTTGCTGCGCAAAGGCGAGCTGGGTGGGTTCTGGGAGCTTTACAGCAATATCATGTTAGCGATTGTTGCAGTTGTGATTCATCGCTGTCATGCCTGTTGGGCAGAAGGAGGTACTGATTTTGAGGGGGTATCTAGTGTGCCTACCTCATCTTGACAATTGATCTTGTGTACTTGGCACGAGATCGATTGCTGCGATGTCCGAATACCTTGGTCAATGTACTCGGAAAGGAGAGAGAAGTTGGTGAAGTTGAAGGAGGTGTGAAAGATTGGCAAAGTGCCGCGGGGATTGATTGAATCAGGTTCAACACTTGCAAGCGCCCGACCAAGTGAAAAGAGCCTCCGCCAATTAAGCAAAGATGGGACGGACGCGCTGTGGATAAGCCAAAGCGCGTCTTTTTCGTGTGCCCGACGCGTTGCAAAGTGGTTGCATGAATGCTAGTCCCGTCTGGGCCTAGAGCTGTCTTGATGCCTGCTTCTAAGAGCACTAAGAAGCTCAATCCTAGCAGCACTGTCGCGGTCTGCTCAGCAGCGCGCGCGTCATTTGGTTGGCCAGTAAAGGCAAATGAGTGCTGTGGTTCGGGTGGTACAATCGAACGGCAATTCGAGAGAGAGCACCCATCCCATCTATCATGTGTGGCTGCTACAACCGACAACAAACAGCTGGACTGATCTGTCGTTTTGATTCTGCATCTCCATCGTCGCACTCGATTACTCCAAATCGACGTCGCGAATTCTTTCAATTTGCCGTCTGATCCTGATAGCGTCCGTTACATTCTCGACCAGCAGACGACTTACACAATGTCAGACGAGTCGCAACCACCAATTGCGGCGCCCGATGAGTCTGTCGTGGATGCAGCATCACACGAGGCTCCGAGCCGCCGACGCGAGAGCATGTCGCAGCGCTCAGAAGACTCTCAAACGGCCGCAGACTTTCTGAGAGATCAGATGCAGCTTGAAGCTGATGCGCGCGAAGCTCTGCCATACGTATGTTGTCCGAATCATTTCTCAATGGAAACTAGAAGAGTGCACACCTCAACTAACACCAAGCTCTTGCAACTCCCTAGAGTATCGACAACTGTACCAAACAATTGGGACCACTGCGACAGAATGTCTTTGCTTGCCTGACCTGTCACCCGCCTCCCGCTGAGCTCGGTGCCGATTCCGACTACGAGCCCGCGGGCGTGTGTTATTCCTGTTCCATTCAATGCCATGGCGAGCATGAGCTGGTCGAGATATTTCAGAAGCGCAATTTCACCTGCGACTGTGGTACCACCAGGTTCTCTGCAGAACACCCGTGCACATTGCGCATGAACTCGGAGACGAATACCAAGGGTGGTGTCCACTCGGAACCCGCTGATCCCAACAATAAATACAATCAAAACTTTCGCAATCGATTCTGCTCGTGCGCGATTGACTACAACCCCCACGAGCAGAAAGGAACCATGTTTCAGTGTTTAGGCCTTGGGACCCACGAAGAAGGCGGTTGCGGTGAGGACTGGTATCATCCAGGGTGTCTCATGGGCTTGGGACCCAAGTGGTACGAAGCATCTAAACCGACGAGCACCAAGATCATCAGTGACAGCAATCTACTTCCTACCATTTCAGAAGATACACCACCTCAGAGTAACACACCACAGCAGACTGGCGACACTGCTGCAGCCGAGGAGGGCGAGGACGACGATGAGGCTCCTCTACCTGATGGCTTCCCTGGCGAGGACGACTTTGAGCATTTCATCTGTTACAAGTGTGTAGACGCCAATCCTTGGATCAAGCAATATGCCGGAACAGCAGGATTCCTACCTGCACTCAACTTCAACAGTCCAGGCGAGCTGGCATCGTCTTCCGCCAAAAAGCGACAGCGCGACGACCAGGCCGACGGAGATGATCTTCAAAATGAGAATAAGCGCATCAAGAGTGAAGAGTCAACTGGACTGTCCGGCGGTTCTTCTGCTATGCAGAACGACGAGGCAAAATCAAGTGCACAGGAGGCGTCAAAGGAGGAGCCCAAGGATGCAGTGACTGGATCAGACGCATCCTGCAAATGCGACTCACTTCCTCAGGCAGCACCAGGCCAATTCTCTTTATTCGTTACGGAGAACTTTCGCAACCACTTTTGCCGCTGTGCTAAATGCTTTCCTATACTACAAAAACACCCACAGCTTCTCGAGGAAGAGGAGTCATACGAGCCGCCGCTCACAGACGCCGCTTCCGAGCATGGATCTACTCAAGGCAGTGGATCCATCTACGAGCGGGGAGAGTCGGCATTGCGAAATGTAGACCGCGTTCGTGCCATTGAAGGAGTAATGGCATACAACCATATGAAAGAGAAATTGAAGCCATTCTTTGAAAAGTTTGCTGGATCTGGTAAGGCGATTTCCGCAGAGGACATCAAGGAGTATTTTGCGAAGCTACGCGGTGATGAAGACGCCATTCAGGAGGCTGGCGAAGCTGCAAAGTCGGACCATCGCCAGGAGCAGAGTGGATATTGAGACTACAAGTAGCTTTTGTTCAACGCATGAACACTTTTGGCAAAATGTACTAATAGAATATGCCCATTTGGCACACACAGATTGTTGGGCTGCCACTTCAGAATAATTGCAGCACAGGATAGAAACATGACAAGGCCAAGACTTGAAACTTCCACTACCAAGTACACTGGAGATATGGAGGGGGAAAGAAAGATATTAAACCCCTCCTGATATCTGCAAATTGTAAGAAAGGGTCGGTGAATATTCAAAGGTCCATATCAGTGGTGCAATGGCTATAAAAACCATTGGCTTATAGACTGCCTTTCTTACCTTGGTCTTTCTAATGACTTTGTGTGCCCCATTGAACCGATTTTGGCCATGCCAGGAACTACTTTGCGATGGTGTCGAGAAAGTCATGCAAGGCGCTGACGCCTTGCATGACACGAGGTAAAATAAACCATGCAGCATCCATCTCTGAATTGGTCACCTATGTTACTCCTCGTGGAAATGTGAGCAGCATGTCCTTTACGTGCCCTTGAAGGAAATGGATCTTAGCGATGGGTCCGTCACCGATGGTGAGGACGGTTCGAATGGTCTAGACTGAACGGCAAGGATGAGTATTGGTTGAGTGGCTACAGGAGTTGAGATGCATAAAGTTCGGTTTGGCGTTCTCTCGGGCACGCGAATCAGTATTAGTAAAATGGTATTTCTGTCAGTATTGCAATAATCAATAGTAATTGTTTCCTATTTTATTTCGTCCTTCTTTTACAAGTGTCATGCATGACATGATCATTGCACCTAGGAAAACTAAAGTCATCAACGTTATCATTGATCGTAATCATCTATGCCTTTCCGGCACTACCTAGCCAATGCATATATTGCTCGATGGCCTTTTGCATTGCATCAGTACCTGCCTCAATGACGCTCGTCAGAGGTTTTCCTCTCATCTCTTCTTGGACGCGGGCGTAATGCTTGTTCATGCCCTTGTTGATATTCACCTTGCTCACTCCAGCCTTGATGCACTTGGTAAAAATCTCTTGATCAAATGGGTCAGCGCCATGCAAAACGAGGAACACCTTGTCCCCGACGGCCTGGTTGATAGACTCGAGACGGTCATACTCGAGCCGGATACCACGTGGGCCGTACTCGCCGTGGACGTTGCCGAATGCTGGAGCCAGCATCTCGATACCGGTATCGACAAAGACTTGAGCCTCCTCGGGCGTGGTGAGCAGACCCTCGAGATCCGCCGTCTCGGCCACACCGTCCTCGCCGCCCTCGATGCGCCCGGGCTCGGCCTCGGCGGCGATGCCGCGCTCGTGGCAATAGGCGACGAGCTCCGACGTCAGCCGTAGGTTCTCCTCGCGTTCAAAGTGGCTCATGTCGCACATGATGCTGTCAAAGCCGTCGGGGATGTCCGCGGCGCGGCGCACGAGCTCGGGCGTCTGCGCGTGGTCCAGGTGCAGGCTGATGGGAACGCTGGCGCCGTGGGCGGCGCTGGCTGCCGCCTTGACGAGCGCCTCGTCGGCGTACTGCATCGCCCAGGGGAACAGGAGGACCATGGCCGGCGACCGTGCTGCCTCGGCGGCGCGCACCGTGGCGATTATGGATTCCATGTTGTAGCAGCACATTCCTGGCACCGCATAGCCACCCTCGCGGGCGGCTTTGAGGATGGCGAGGGAGCGGTTTTGGGAGAGGGGTGGGCGCGGCATAGTTTTGACTCTTGAGGTAGCTCAAGGTTTGGGGTTGTATAAGTGAATGTGATGTCAGAGTCGAGTGTCAAAGTAGAATGTGCTTCTTTTTGTGCACTATAGATAAAGATGTGAGAAGTATAAAAAGGCAAGTAGGCAAGATAAGTTACACAAGTATATCTACCATATACTTGAAATAAGATCCTTCGCGAATAGCTTCAGCGAGAACAGATAATTCACGTCATGGGGGACGTCTTTCCCCAACCATGATCCACTATAGTCATGTAAAACGATGGACCCCCAAGTGCATAGGCATGAAATCCGTACTGGCAACCTGGACTTCGCTCCGGAACGCCGATGCACTGATGCCCCGAAGCGTTTAGAGGCTTTTGTCAAAAGATTGTGGATTAGTACGGGCTTTTTTGCCTGTAAGCGCGCCATTGGTTATGTGCACGTTCGGCCGGGTTACCTCTTTTTAGGGAGGGGCCCTTCGGGCAAAATAGCCTTTAGCACTTGACGGTTTGGGCAAGATTCACGGCTTTATTCGTTTACATAAGGCACATGACGAACACGGGGACAGATTAAAAGAGAAACTCTGCCCACCGTCATTATTCCCGGCTAAAAAGAAGAGCTGAGGAGACGTCCATGTTGAACGGCATGTGGAGCTCCATCTTTGGAGCGGGGAAGGGGCCAAAATCATGACGGAGCCCCGAGATCGGTTCGGGGGAATGAGCCGAGTGGCATTCTACTGAGGTACGGGCTAATAGTACCGAATAGTAGAGTTTTGCGTCGAATTTCTCAGGTTTGACTACGTGGGGGTGGATTCAGCTTTGCCATGTACGGGTGGACAGCGGATTGATTATTTGGGCCGGGCAAGGCACATATTCATGTAGAGTCGACATCATGTCTCCATTTTCTTTTACATGTGGATAGCAAATCGACTCTGCCAAAATTCAACACTATTCTCGACAGCTATACTGTATAAACCACCCGGACTTACAACTACAGCCCCGAGAAAGCGTATTTTGTCGCACTTCTTCAAAACCACCAGTATAGTCAGTATAGCCATGGCTTCGAAACCGGATATTGCCTTCATTGGCCTCGGCGCAATGGGTTTTGGAATGGCGACCAACCTCGTGAAGCAAGGTTACAATGTGACTGGTTTCGACGTTTGGGGCCCGACTCTCGACAAGTTCAAGGCCGCAGGTGGTCATGCAGCGACTACGCCCTCGGAGACGGTCAAGGGCAAGGACTATGTAGTCTGCATGGTTGCCACCGCAGCCCAGGCGCAGTCGGTCCTGATCGAGGGCGACAGCCCAGCACTGCCAGCGCTGTCAAAGGGCGCCGCCGTCCTGCTGTGCTCGACGGTGCCGAGCTCGTACGTGCAAGGACTGGCAGAGCAGCTCAAGACGCTGGGCAGGGAGGACATCGTCCTTGTCGACGCCCCAGTCTCTGGCGGAACCTACCGCGCTGCCGACGGCACGCTATCCATCATGGCGGGCGCCTCTGATGCGGCGATTGAGCAGACGAGATTCCTACTCGAAGAAATGTCGGATCCCAAGAAGCTGTACATTGTCAAGGGCGGCGTGGGCGCTGGAAGCAACCTCAAGATGGTGCACCAGGTGCTGGCGGCGGTGCAAATTCTCGCAGGAAGCGAGGCCATGGGCTTTGCTCGCCACCTGGGACTAGACCTCCCCAAGACAGCCGAGACCATTCTCAAGTCCGAGGGCAAGAGCTGGATGTTTGAGAACAGAAGCCCCAGAATGCTTCATCCCGAGTTCCGGCCGCTGGCTAGCGCTCTGACCATTATCCTCAAGGACACGAGCATCATCACCTCCGAGGCGCGACGCATCGGATTCCCTACGCCCCTGTCCAGCGCCGCCGAGCAGGTCTACTTTGCAGGGCTCGGCAAGGGCTACGGCCCCGACGACGACAGCGGCATGATTAGGGTGTACACGGAGGGCGTCGGCAAAGTCGGACCTGTGGCCGCCACGGCGCAGACCGAGGAAGACAAGCTTGCGCTGGTCGTGAACCTGCTCAGGGGTATCCACCTGTGCTCTGCCGCAGAGTGTCTAGCATTTGCGAAACGCCTCGGCCTCGATCTCGACCAAGTCTTGGATCTGTGTGTCAATGCGGCGGGCGGCAGCGTCATGCTGGACAAGACTGGCCCCGAGATCTTGGGTGTCTTTGGCGCCTCGTCTGCACCACAAGGCACGGAAAGCTTGCCAAAACTCACGCAAGAATTGCAGGACGCAGTAAATGAGGCCCAACGGCTCAAGGTACCTGTATTCTTGGGCAGCCAGGCCTTGAATATTTCGAGATTAGCACTGTCACACAGACCAAAGACGGCCCCTGAAGCGACCTTGGGGCAGGTCGTTCGGGTCTGGGGAGTTTAGCTTTAGCATTATCAAACATCATTCTTGAATCCACATGGTATTGTGCTTGCTATGTGTATGAATCTATTACAGACAAAGGTTTCCTAGTGGAGATACTGGCACCATTGTCATATTATTAATAATAGAATATCTTACAGTCCATAATAAACGAAGCGCGTTGCCATTCCATTGCAAGCCACTAGTTGGGCATGAAAATCCCACTACCTCATGAAATCAAGAATGTCTACATGCCGTCTCTGAGTCCCTTGATCGCAACCATAGCACCCCAAGCACCAGGATCAGGGACAGAGTCTCTGCTCGTATTCTCACCAAGATAAGTCGCACGCCCAAGTCTAGGCTTCATGCTCTTTGTCGCTTCAGCACCTCGAATAGCAGCCTCGACAGCCTGGTCAAAATTGCTCGAGAGCAGTTCACGGGCAAATGGAATCAAAGTGTCCATGACTGTCCGATCGCCTTCGCCAGCTGGCGTATACCTGCGCAGGCTGCCAAGAGCAACATTGAGCGCTTTGCCCCAAAGTTCTGGGATACCCTCGGATCCGGTGCCTTGATCAATATTCTGCTCTAGTGCAGTACGCATGGAGACAAAGAAGATGCCGAGAATGCCCCCAAGGGTGCCACCCATCTTTCCCTCGACAATCTCTTCAAGCTCTTGCAAGACTGTGACCACAGAACCGCTTGAAGCCAAGTTTTGAGAATCGAGGGCAGCCAGCAGGTTTAGTGCGCCCGTCTTCAAGGTCTCGCCACAGTCGCCATCACCCATGATGGTATCCCATTTGGTAAGATCGGGCTCTGATTCGACAATATTGCTGCAAGCTTTGCGCAGCATCGAATCAAGCGTCTTTGGGTCAACCTTGAGATCTTTGGCATCGTCGACCGTCTTCTTGGTATGCAAGACGGGTTCGGCAATCTGCTCACGGCGACTGCGGCGCTTCGCTTGGGAGCCAGCCATGGACTCCCAAGATGTGTTTGTCCTGACATCGAAGAAACTCTTAATGTCGTTTGTAGAATATTTGCAGTTATCAGCCGCGGCTGTGACGTTGATTACAGACACTGAGAAAGCTGGCGCATTTAGGGATGTTTCAAGAGTACCCCAGACCACCCGGACTGGTTCGGTGCCCCAATCACGGGCTAGCTGTTCAAGAATCTCATCGACAAGAGCACCCATTTCGAGGTATGAGATACCACCATAATTGCTGACGAGAAGCATTGTCTCGTCGCCTTTTCCAAACTTGACGTATCCTCTGTCCGGGTCATTCTCGTCCAAGCAATAGACGAGAATGCGCTTGACGAGATCTTCTGGTGTCGGTACTGGCGAGAGCTTTTGGTATCCAGGCTCATTGTGCGGTCCTGTCCCAAGCTCAATCTCGTCACTTTTGAGCGTGCCATGTTCTGTTCTTCCCGGTACGTGGCAATGATCCAGAGTGGCAGCAATGGTCACAATCTGATCTGAGAATGCAACGCCAAGATCATAGACATCGTCGAGTGACTCTCCAGCTCCGGCGGCACCGCCCATGACCTTTAGGACACCCTGCTGTCCTGCCAAACCGCGGCGTCCCACGAGGCTTCCCTTTCTGCCAACAGAGACATCATCGCCACAAATAATCATACGGCAGTTGTGACCCCTGGCGATGGCTTTCTCATTTGCTAAGCCGAAATGCAAACAATCTCCCGTGTAATTTGTGACGACCAGTATCGTGCCCTTGTCAGACGGTACTGCGTCGATGGCGGCCAGGATCTGTTTGGTACTGGGGCTGGCGAAGATGTCTCCTGCCACAGATGAGGCAAGCATGTTTTCGCCTACATATCCAGACCACTGCGAGGATTTGATTAGCATTTGACTTTGCCTGCGCATTCATGGATTTCTGGACGCTCTTTTAGGCACTTTGCCCCAGGAGATATTGTGTCAAAGTACAGCAACCTGCAATAACTGCTTTGGAGAGAAATAAAAGCTGTAGTGGTATTTACTCACAGCTGGTTCGTGTCCTGATCCACCACCACTGACAAGAGACACCTTTGATCTGTCATATTCTGTGTTGATTACCACACGATTCTCCTCATCCAAGCTGAGGGCTGGGTTATAAGCTATGATCCCCTTAATACACTTGGTGACAAGTCCATCAGGAGACCCAAAGATATGACGATTCGACATTTTACCGAATTCCTCTTCTGATTTTGTTCTGATTTCTCCTTCAAACGTTTATTGACAATTTCTTCTTGTTCATGTATAGGTCGCTCCTTTCTTCAATAGTCACGACTTATAAGCTCGCGGGTTTCCTAATTCGGCAATCCGAGAGGTCAAAGGAACGGTTCGGGTTCTAGGCGTCAGCAAGTGGAGGAGTCTGTGGAGAAGATGCGAAAGGCGTTCCCATTTATGGAGGGGTAGCGCCTAAAGTTATTTCCCCAAAACTGCACCCCAGACTGTGATTAGCATGTGCGACTAGGTTAGTGGAGTGTAGTTTAGGTGGTCGTTTGTCACCGATTCGGCTGGGCTTGGGGTCATAGGGGCGAACGAACCGAAAGTGATGGTGTGTGTCCTTGGAAATGGCCCGTTGCAGCAATTCCGCTTCGGTTGGAGTGATGGGCGAGGGGGCGGGGGTGAATGGACTGATGCTGCGCGACACGAGGTCCTGGTTGGTAGGCAGATTAGGTATCTGCACTTGCCATCGCTCGGATCACCGATTGAGGGGAGAAGCGGCAAGTGTGATGAGATGATGGACGGGGGAGGTCACAGATGTGATCATGGTTGCCGGCAACCGGTCCTTCAAATAGAATCACCTGCAGGCACTTACCTGATGTTATGCTCATGGTTAGAGCTAATAAACGTCACGTCACATAATCTGGTTGCTCACATCCCTACCGTGTTTCTTTACTTGATGGCACTTTGAATTGTTCAAACTCAGTCAGACTGTCGAGCATCGTGAACGTTCCCCCTACCTGAATTCTCAATTAGAACCCGAACAAAACTCAGGACCATGGCAACGCCAAAGTGGAAAATCGCCGTGGGGTGCGATGTAAGTCAGGCAACCGGGACTCCTTCTAGTTCACCTGGTACTATTGCCAGTATGGAAACGAAAATCTAACATTCTTTAGGATGCAGGTGTCAGTTACAAAAACAAGATCAAGGCCGACTTTGAAAACGACCCGCGCGTCGAATCGGTGACGGACGTGGGCAGCCACGGAACAGACGACAAGACGGCATATCCACACCGCGCGGTCGACGCCGCCAGACTCGTAGCCGAAGGCAAATGCGATCGAGCACTTCTAATTTGCGGCACCGGCCTGGGAGTGGCTATCTCAGCAAACAAGGTCAAGGGCATCCGTGCCGTCACAGCACACGATAGCTTCTCGGTCGAGAGAGCTGTGCTGAGCAATAATGCCCAGGTGCTATGTATGGGCGAGCGGGTCATTGGTATAGAATTGGCAAGAAAGCTGGCCAAGGAATGGTTGGGGTACCAGTTTGACCCGAATAGCGCCAGTGCTGCAAAGGTCGATGCCATTACAGAGTACGAGCATGTTGAATTGGCGGCATAGGCAGCCAAAAGATTCGCTGAAGATAATACTGAATGGGACTCGAGCCTACTAGAAAGTGTCTAGAATGAAAGCAATACGCTGCCAACGACATTGCTGAAAGCCTCGCGGGAAGGTTACTGAATACATAGATTGCTTTTACCGATTGCTTCTACATAGCCACAAACAGCGCTACAGGGATGTTCTATAATCGGAGCTACGTTCACTAAAATCGCGAGTATATTTTCCTATGGGGCTTTTTGTGTATCGTAGAGAAGCCATTGTAATAACGGGAGTCGGCATTCCAGTATATATCTACAAGACATATTTATGAATTCAATCAATTGTATTATGCCGAGCTTTCGTACATATTGCTCCATTTCGTTTACAAAGCAGAGAAAGATGATGTAGGTATTGTTCAGTGCTCAAATGCTGTACAATAGGTGATCCACCTGATACCAATAAGCTCCACTGACTTCGGCCCCAGTTCATAGCGCGAGTTGAGCGTTTGAATAAGTGAATCACACTTCCGCTTTTCCGCTCCGTGAACAATGTGACCGGACCTGTGCCACCTCTCATAGAACCTCCCAAATTATCTCAATATATTGTACTGTTACTCACTCAGGACTGCGAGTGTGTACTTCTATCACCCCTCTTTTATCTTCACCAAGACACGGAAACCAGCGGCTATTACACGTCAAAAGCCTCCCCCCACCAAAATGACCCCTCCTCGCCGCCGGCTTGTGGGAGTGTCCACAAAGATGTACTTCTCAGCAGCTAGAACCCGGCAATATGTTGACGAAGTGCTTCAGCTAGTGTCCAAGTCACCAGAATTGCTCGATGAGGTCGATGTCTTCATAATTCCCGACCACATTACTCTGACGTCAGTGATTGGTCAACTTGACCGCACCAAGATTCTCACTGGTGCCCAAGACGCTTTCTACGAAGATTCGGGCGCATACACTGGCGAAGTATCGCCGCAGGTCCTCGCCGAGGTCGGGTGCCGCATCGTGGAGCTGGGCCACGCGGAGCGCCGCCGCATCTTCAAGGAAACCGATGAAGATGCCGCTCGCAAGGCGGCGGCCGCGGCGAGGAACGGCATGGTTCCGCTGGTGTGCATCGGCGAGCGCAACCAGGGTGAGGTAGCGCTCGCCGTGGACGAGTGTCGCGCGCAGGTCGAGAGCGTCATGGCTGCTGTTCCCGAGGATGCCGAGGTCATACTTGCCTATGAGCCCGTCTGGGCGATTGGCGCCGCCAGCCCCGCTGCGGCAGAGTATGTGGTCAATGTGGTCAATGATATACGAGGGCTAGACTGTGTGCAGAGGAGAAGTGGCACGACGAGGATACTGTACGGAGGCAGCGCTGGGCCAGGTCTCTTTGAAAAGTTGAAGGGGGGTGTCGATGGGCTGTTCCTGGGACGGTTTGCTCATGATCCGGCACAATTCTATAAAACGATACAGGAAATAGCTTATGCGTAAGGCTAGTCAATATTTTGCATAGCGCAGAAACTCGTGTTGTTCTTGACATATTTCTCTTCTCTCAAAGTCCAACTACTGAATCACGACTGGCTGTACGCAAAGAGCATTGCGAAATCCCCGGCAGTACTACGGTCTCGCGGTTTCGTCCATGATGAATATTGAAACACGGGAACAGTACCGTCGCAAGTTCTTTAATCTCAGCTTGGAAATCGTGGTTATTATCATATCAGAGACCCATGCAGACACCCGCGGACATTGCATTCAAAACTTGCCCAGCTGCATGAAAATGGGGCACATTTCGCTCCCTGCAATAATTTTATTCCGTATGCAGCGATAAGCAGACTCCCCGCGAATGAGTCTGGAGCTTCTACCCTTGAAGTCTGCAGCTGTTGATTTACGTGTCGACCCCTTCCAAAACTTCCCTTCATTACTAGACGCGTTCAAGAAGCGCAGAAAGTTGCACCTAGCCATCATGAGTCGCAAAGTGCAATGATGATTGTCAGATCATCCGCCAGCTAAACTATGCGCGAGGTGTTTGCGGGTCTCAGTCAGATCTCCAGCGCAACGTTCAAAATCGACGAGGCGAAAGACATATATAGGAACGAGTCATTCATGATACATTTTTAAAGCAGATGATAACACGTTTGCACTTGGAAACTGAAGAAATCTTTCTGCACCAGAACTTGCTCGAACTCATCAGGGGCGCTTTCGAGAACTGCTGGTGTTGTGCAAATCTGGAACGAGCTCAAATGATACCAGGGGATTCAACATATAAAAGCTCCAGAAGGTTCAAAAGTCCTTCCTGATAAATGGCCCGATATGCGTACACTTCTAGACGCGGGCTGTGAGTCGAATTCGGAACTCAGCAGGGAACCAGAAAACTCGACCGGATCGCATATTAATTACCAACTTGACTATGAACTCGCCGAGCAGTCACCCTACAGATTTTCAGGAGATCTTTCCTTTTCTGTAGCCTCGAATCAATTGACTACCGGATGCGACATTCCAGAACTATCGAACACCGCGGAATCTGATGCATCATTCAAATACATCACCAATCGACTGCATAATTGCAAGACACATCATGACTCGTGCCGATTCACAAAAGAGTGGTATCCTAGCCGATTGATCGCTATTCAACAAAAGGATGAGAAAATCCGTCTGCGCGTGATACAAACGGCGGAGGAGGCTGTAACGGGCCCATACGTAACACTCAGTCACTGCTGGGGGCAAGTACAGCCACTGAGACTCACCAACCAGAATTTTGAGGAATTCGGCCGAAATATACCCATGGCCATGGTCCCTTCATTGCACAAAGATGCGGTCACGGTAGCAACGCGATTGGGTGTTTCCTACTTGTGGATTGACTGTCTGGTAAGTTGGTTTGAAGGAGGCAAGATATCCAAATCGCCGAGATGAAGCTAAAAACATGGTCAATCAGTGCATTATCCAGGATTCGGATGAGGACTGGCGTCGCGAAAGCTCAGTCATGGGTTCTGTTTACGAGTACGCGCTATTCAATATCGCCGCTGCATCAGCAACGGACAGTTCGGGTCGGCTGTTCACCATCCGCGATTCGCAATCAGTCAGTCCAGACGTAATAGCCTTGCGCATGCGCAGAGCACAGGACCAGGTGCTTTGGCACATGGACAGAGAACTTGATCCCTGGTCGTTTCGCAGAAGCCAGGAGTTTTGGAGATATCCTCTGTTCAAACGGGCTTGGGTTCTTCAGGAAACACTGTTTGCAAATCGGGCAGTCATCTTCACTCAGGACGAGATCCACTTCCGTTGCGCCCAAGAATTCAGCTCTGAGAGAATGCCCCCTGAGCATCCACTGCTTCAGAACACTCAATTTTCCAACTCCACTAACAGAGAACTGGTATCAGTGCCATTGATGAAGTTCACGCTACCAGATCACTGTTTTGAAGACTGGAGGAAAATCAGAGAACATTATTCCTCAACTGCAATTGCGAGAGCCAGCGACAGGCTGATAGCTATATCCGCAATTGCTCGCCACTTTGGTAGCATGAAGAAGCAAAGCAAATACCATGCTGGAATGTGGGATGATCAGTTCATTGTCGATTTGGGCTGGCACACACTCACTCCTCAAAGGCGACCTGATGTTTATATTGCCCCAACCTGGTCCTGGGCATCTATATGTGGGCGAGATTCTTCAAGAATAAATTACCCCCGTCTAACATCACGACAAGGGCAGATTCAAATTCCCAAGGTTTTGGAGATATACACCAAGCCTAGCGGGCACGACGAGTTTGGTGCAATCGACAATGGTTGGCTCAAGATCTGTACGCCTTTATATTATATGGGTTGTCGAAAAGGTAAAGAGGAGCTGAAATCGGCATTGGAGCAAAGATATGGAGCGGTTGGCGTACAACGTTCCTTTTTGAATTTGTATCCGGATCACCAGTGGGAACATGACAGGGCCCCGCTGAATGTCTTTGCTTTGCCGCTCCAGATCGAAGTCAGCAGCCAACCGGTTTTGGAAGCGCATTTATTGTTGCTTGTCGCCCTGACTCCCGCTGAGAATGTGTATAAGCGCATAGGTCTTTGCTACTTCTGTATCTTGTTTACGGACGAATTTTGGGGATTGCCAAAGTCTAAGGAACCTGAAAGATTCCTTGGGAGAATGGAACGCCGAGACGAAGAGATCCATTCGCACAAGAAATGTGATGATGGGTGGCACACCATCACAATCGTTTGATATAACTAAGTTGTTAGTCATGCATCCGCATTACGTGTGCAAGAAATGAACGACGATTCCTATTGATTATCTCAAATGTGATCCAAATGACTAGCAGAATGTCAAGAAGTTCTCTACACGTACCAATGAAGGTGACCAACCTTTATAAAAAAAAAAAAAAAAAAAAAAAAAGTCCTAATACCAGTGGAGATGCCACATTAGCGCTTCTGCAAAAGATGTTGGCATAGTGCACCATGGTTTGTATTTGGCTTGTCAAACCAATGAATAAGTATGGAGTTGAGGTATTCAGACACTGTCCATGGAAGTGAACAAAATGATTTGCAATATGACTCGATTTCTTTTCGCCATCAAAGACTTGGCCGCTATTACTGATCGTTCGACAAGGCTCTTCCATTCTCGAGTAGCATGCTTGTAATGGTATATACTATATGTAGGTAGAAAACGTGGCTAGCGTGAGTGCGGTATAATCATCTGAAAACAACGAATGATAATCAGGATTGTCGACTGCGCAAGATATAGCCGAGCTTACTTGCACGACGGGGCTAGAGACGATCCGGCAATCTGCTTATCAATTACAGCCTCAATCTAATTCGATTGGATCATAATTCAAAGTTTAAAATGATAAACAAGGCTCCAGTGGAATGACTGTGCTCGTTTAAAGAATGCACACATGCATGAGTAATAGCAGTCAGGCAATCAGAGTCACCGAAGCCCCAAGTCCCCCAACCCCTGCCTGGCGGCCATGACGAACTACAATTGCGGCACTGCAAGTACAGAGGTGGGGGCGGGTCCCATTGGCGAAAGGGACATACTCCAGGCAGAGAAGCTGGAGCTGGAGCTGGCCAACGATCTGGCCAAGGCTTCCATGTGCATCTGACGAAGCTCGTGACCCAGTGGCTCATTTGCGGGACAGTATCCAGTGGCCCAGCCCTATTCCGTGACACGACCAATCGCTGCTGAAAAACAACATGCTGAAAACGAGTTGTATGGATGCGACGGCATGGGATTTTTCGGTATGTCAGAAATGAGACCCGTCCGTCAGACGTGCATGATGGTGCGTGCATTGTTACTGCAAAAGACTTTCGATAGTGGCTAGCTGGGGGGCCTTGGAAGAAGACAATCTGACACAGAGAATTGCCATCAGGCTGCGCTCGACAAAAAGGGGGATTCTAGGCGCCGTTGCCTTCATTATTTTCCTCTTGATCTACACAATGTTCTCTGGTTCAAGAGATTCCGGGTTTTCTGGGGGGCTGAGAATTTGAGCCGCGACCAACTTGAAAATAGCGAGTGACTGATCGTGGCTTACCGTCATACATTACACATGATCCCGTACGAGCCTCGTGAGGAAGTGAGCTACCGAATTTTTCAGCTGCACCTTCCCTTCATCAAGTGCAATTCTTCTCCTTCTTTCCGCTGCAATTTCCTTCCATCTTTTCGCATGAACATCCGGCGCCGTTGAGCCCTTTTCATCATCATGTCTGTCAGATTTCCATTACCCTCGGCGGCCGCCTACCTAGATCGCGACGACTACACCACCAGCACCGACAGCGGATCCGACGAAGAACCCGTGCGGCGTCGACCTGTCATTGCACAAGTACCTGTAGTCCTACCTAAAATGCCTAGAAAGAAGCAGCAAGCTCCTCAGGATGCCATTGATGAGTTTTGGAGCAAGTTCAATACAAAGACTCCAGGCAAAGGTAAGCACATGTTCAATGTTCTGCCGCGAAATTCCCAGCCTTTTATTTCTTTCATGAGGGCTGCAACTTTCATCCGAGAACATAACGATTCGAGGTGCTGATCAGGTTTTCAGCCACCACTGTCATACCTCACAATTCGTACATTCGACGTGCCGCCAAGCACGCCCGCAAGACGGGAATCACCACCAAAGCATCATACGAAGAAGCCGCCGAGGTCTGCAAGGCCAAGGTCAGCAAAATCGTCAAAGAGTGTCGCCGAATAAATCAGAAATATCGTGATCCTCACTTTGACTTGGAATGGGACTTGAAATGGGGCAAGCGGGACACCCTGGAGACGCTGCACAATGTCAAGGATCCCGACCCATCGGAATTCAAACCCAAGAGTGTCAAGCGCGTTCCTGACATCTTTGATAATCCTCAGTTTTACATTGATGGCCCAACCGCCAGTGATGTACGACAAGGAAGAGATGGCGACTGCTGGCTCATGGCTGCGCTGTGCACGCTCAGTAACAAACCTAGATTGATTGAACGTTGTTGCGTGGCTCGCGACGAGCAAGTCGGCGTGTATGGATTTGTCTTTCACCGAGATGGGGAGTGGATTTCTGAAATCATTGACGACAAGCTCTTTCTCACAAAGCCAGACTTTGAGGAGAGCTTTTTGGAGCGCATGCTGTGGGAAGATCGAGAACGCGTCGAATCGGAAGAGCAATACCGCAAAGCCTACCAGAGCGGCTCAGGGGCACTATACTTTGCCCAGTGCGTCCATCCCGACGAGACCTGGCTACCCTTGCTGGAAAAGGCCTACGCCAAGGCCCACGGTGACTATGCCGCCATTGAGGGAGGGTTCACTGGAGAGGGGATTGAAGATCTCACTGGTGGTGTCACCAGCGAGATCTACACCAAGGACATTCTCGACAAGGAATATTTCTGGAAGGAAGAACTCATGAAGGTCAATGATGAATTTCTTTTCGGTTGCTCCACCGGCATGTGGGGTATTGGTTGGGGAGATCGTAGGGGTATCGTCGAGTTGCATGCTTATTCTATCATGAAAGCTGTCGAGATTGATGGTCATAGACTTTTGCTTCTAAAGAACCCGTGGGGAAAAGGCGAGTGGAAGGGCCCGTGGAGCGACGGCTCCAAAGAATGGACGGCCGAGTGGTTGGTGAAACTCAACCATCGCTTTGGCGACGATGGCGCATTCTGGATCTCATACTCAGACCTCCTTCGCAAATTCCAGGCCTTTGATCGTACGCGTCTCTTCAACACTGACTGGAAAATTACATCTTTATGGACTACCCTTCCAATTTCGTGGACACTCGACTACCACGAAACCCTGTTTGCGTTCTCTATTACAAAGACCCGTCCCGTGGTGATTGTTCTTTCGCAGCTTGATGATCGCTATTATCAAGGTTTGGAAGGACAATACAGCTTTACGTTGAATTTCCGGCTCCACAAAGCAGGTCAAGAAGACTACGTCGTTCGAACCATCAGTCCTTACTGCCAAAGGCGCAGTGTCAATGTCGAGTTGGAACTCGGTGCTGGTGACTACACAGTTCTACTCAAGGTCAACGCCACGCGCGATATGGACATACTGCCGATAGAGGAGGTGGTACGCAACAACGCGCGCGAGAGGCGGGACAAGCTTGTCGCAGTAGGCATGTCGTATGACCTGGCTCACGGCAAGGGGGTCGTCATCGAGACCCGTGAAGAGAAAGAAGCCAAGAAGGAAGCAGAGAAACGGAAGCGCGAGAAGGAGAAGAAGGAGCTCCGGGAGAAATTGATGGAACAAAAAGAACGAACTTACTACTTTCAAGTCAAGGAACTGAACAAACGCCGCGAGCGCAGGGCCAGGGCCAAGGCGAAAGCAGAGTTGAAAAAGGCACAAAAGGCCCAGCAAGCTCGCCAAGTTGATGCTGTGGTTGAGACAAAGCCGTCAAATACGACGCCAAGCAAAGCCACGGAGAAACATGTTCAGATTCAAACGCCCAGTCCTACCACTCCTGTTCCGGACGAGGCCGAGTCCAAGCACGACTCGGGACGAGAGTCCGTTGCTTCGGATTCCAGCAGTGACACAAGCTTTAGAACACCCTCGACGGGATCCGGAGAGTCGTCTCTCGAAGTTGCTGAGGTTCCTGAGCGTTTCCAGGCCAAGATCGCTGCAGCAGACACTGAAAATCCAACTAAAAGTCCGGAAGAAGCTGTTCAGAGTCCTCCAAGCCCACCGGAAAAGGTACAAACCGCAGAAAAAGAACGATCTCTCGGCGAAGACAAGACTGCGTTGGATCAGAAGGCTGCCTCTGAACCAACTCGCGCCATTGCCAATTGTCCAAAGTGCGCCACGATTCAGCCCGAATCTGAGGATGACTCATCTTCTGACGAGTCCGACATTTCATCCGTATCTGATATTTCGGACCGAGTTCTAGAATATCAGCTAGATAGCCGGCCAAAGCCTCCTCCACCCCCTCCGGCACAGCCGCCAGTTCCACACCCTGCCGAGCCAGAAGACGAATTTGAGAGCAATCCCTGGAATGCCATGGCGACTGTTGGTTTAAGAGTCTATTACAAGGGTTTTGACGACGACAAAGACGATGAAATTGTCAAGCTCAAGGTGGTTCGCTCGATCCCACATGCCGAAAGACATTCGAACAAGGATAAGCCTGACAATGGAGATGCCAAGGACATCGAGGTTGATAAGGACACCGAAACAGTCAACAGTGACGACCGGGACGGAGCCGGAGGTGAAGTCGAGCTTGGACTCGACGTGGATGATTCTGCCAAGGATGCCACTCTGGTAGGGGATCCAGAGCGCAGAAGGAAGAGTATTGTGCCAGCCTGAAGACACCGGCCATCAGTCGCAGCACTATATTATCGTTGACAACTCGAAATTGCACCTGGCAACACACAACTCCATAGACTCAGCAACAATTAGTGTTTAAACAGAATGAATATCACCTCTTGCCTGCCCTCATTTGTGGATTACACCGTGCTGGAGTATGCCTCCTACTGATTGAGGGCTTCCAGTCCTGTTATCGTTTTCGAGTCTAGTGCCAGAGACTTTTCAGCACGAAATTCGACAAGATTTGCGTTAGAAGCATCTTTATAGACAAATAATCAATAGGGGTATCATAGCAGGATTTGCAAACCAAAATGTCAGCCAAACGCCCAAATCCAACATACAGTATCAAAGCCCACTGAGAAGAGTATCGACTTTTTTTCTTTCCAGTACATCCAAGTCCTCCATGACCTCATCGCCGTCGCTCTCTTTATCGGGCAGCTGACCAATTCTGCCAGCAACTCGCACAAGCAGGACGCGCATGCGCTCTAGCTCCTTTTCAATCTCGCCATTGCGGGTGACGAGATTCTCTTGCACATTGGTCTCAAACGGTCGGAGCAGGGCCTGCATCTGCCGCAGTCGCTCGACGCGGGCCTTTGTCTCGGCCCTCTGCGCCGACAGTGTTTGCAGCCGGTCCTGGAGCGTTTCGTATTGTTGCGCATCGGCTGGATCGGCTTCTGCTTGTTCGGGTCGGTGGGAGTCCCATGTTGCTGGGAGGGAGCATATGGCTTCGTCGGCCGCTATGGGGACAAAGACCTATGTATCAGCACTTGTTGGAATCCCAGGGCATGGGGTATATAATGCTCCATGTCGGTTTCGGTAGACGTACTCAAATCAATGCCCTCCCGCAGCTCGTCCAGCTCGGCCAGAGCCCTCTCCTCGTCACCATCCCGCGCATCGTCGCCGCCATCGTCTTCCCCGACGCCCAGGAACAGACTGTCAATCTGCTCGGCAACTTGCCGCGTCGCTTGCGGCGGGTAGACCCTGCGCACGTGCTGCTGGAGGTTCTGATTTAGCCGAAAGAGGGCGTCGTCAATGGCGCGCTGCGGTATACTGTTGGTGTTACTGGCGCCTTCTGCATCGTTGTTGTGGTCGTTGTGGGCGCGATTCCGCCAGGCGGTCGATGGTGCGAGGCTTTGCGACAGGTGTAGTGTTTGCACGGTCAGAAAGGCGGATTTGTGCGCGAGGATCGTGGGCGGTGCCATGATTACGATCTGTCTCTCCTCGCCTCTCTCCGTTTGAGTGCAACTATTTGGGTGCAATGCGCCCAGTTTCTGAAAGATGTATTGAGATTGGACGATATTGGTTGTATAAACCTCGAGTGGGATAGCGATGGCTAGACGCGCCCAAGCTCATCAATGCGCGTCGCAGTTTAGCGATGTCATTGCTCAATAGCGGGGTCCTGTGAGCAAGTTTGGCGGGGTAATAGAGTGCTAGAACCTAGCGTGTAAGTCACCATCACTCACCAGGTTCATGCGATTGGTAATGGACAGTATTTTTTCATGCTCTCGCCAAATAAGAGTTTACTTCAAACGACAACATAACTTTTGCGGTATATTGAACATGCTAGACTCTAGTCTGCTTCATCAAACTACAGCCCAGACCACCAGGTCGTCTTTTGTACCTTGAACGAGGCCTTGACTGCCTTGGCGTCCTTGACTTCGCTGCTGTCACTCACAATAATCTCGTATTCTCCAGCCTCGACACACCACTTGTTACGCTCTTCATCCCAGTAGGCGCCGGCATACTTGGCGTCGAGCTCGACGGTGACGACCTTGCTCTCTCCAGGTCCTAGCTCAGCCTTTGCAAAGCCCTTGAGCTCCTTGACCGGTCGGTTGACCTTGGATTTCTGCTTGGGTGCGACGTACACCTGCGCCACCTCGGCACCACGGATATCACCCGTGTTTTCGATGCGAACGTCAATGCGGAGTTTGCCTTCCTTTTCGGAAATGGACAAGTCTGAAAAGGCAAATGTGGTGTAGCTCAAGCCGTGTCCAAAAGGGAAAAGAACCGGGCGCTGGGCAAACTCGTAGTAGCGGTAGCCAATGTAAATGTCCTCGCCGTAGAGCACGCGGCCTCCCTCTGTGCGGTAGTTGAGGAATGCCGGGTTGTCTGATCCACGAACTGGGAAACTCAGACTTAGTTTTCCTGACGGGTTGACGTCGCCAAACAGCACGTCGGCAATGGTGTTTCCAGTCTCGTTGCCTCCGTACCAGGCCTGGACCACGGAACTGACGTCCTTGATCCAAGGCATCTCCACGGGTGTGCCGGATTGCAGTACGACGACCGTGTTGGAGTTGGATTTTCCGACGGCGGATATCAAGTCATCCATACCAGGAGGGAGAGCCATATGCTCCCGGTCTGCGCCTTCAGTCTCCCAGTCCTACAACGCATTGTTAGCTCATTTCCGCTCAACGGTAGCGGTACCGGGGAGAAGTAGTCACTTACAGCATTGAGTCCGGCGCAAACAATGACTTGGTCGGCATCCTTGGCAAGAGCTGCAGCACGTTCAATCTCGGCTTTGGGGTCGATCACTTTGCAACCGCCGAGTCTGACAGCACCACCTCGCATGAGCACAGCCTGATCGCCGAGCTTTGACGTTGGGGTCGATCCAAACTCGACCTTGATCTGGTATGATTGTCCCTTCTTGACCTCGTAAAAGCTCTTCTCCTCCACCGTGCCACATCCAAAGAATGAACTGCCCAGCGTCTGCTTGGTGGTGTTCTCGATAACCAACTTTCCGTCAACGTAGAGGTTGCCACTACCGCACACGACGAGACCGAACTCATAGGTACAGTCTTCATCAGGAGTCAATGTGCCTTCCAGTGTGGCATAAAAAAGCTCCGACTTGAGATCCGGGTGCTCATAGTCAATGAGGAAGTTGTCAGTCTTGAGAATCTCGAGCTCGTCAAAGGCCTTCCTTCCGGTAACGTCTGGTGCCTCGTTGTAAAATCTCATGGTCATTCCATCGTTTCCATTGAGAGACTTGGTCGAGAAGCCCAGAGGCGGCAGCATCAGGTGTGAGTATTGGCCAACAGTGTATTCGGGAGTCTTGCCTAGTTTCTCCTTGATACCATCGAATGGGGTGACTGCATAGTAAGCTGCAAGAGAAGCAGAACCACCTCCATGGTAGGTAGCAATCTTTGCATTGGGTCCAATGACGACGGTCTGTATAATAGCAATCAGTAGCCATCAACCAGAAGAGGGCCACATGGCGTGTGGGCTATGCTCACCTTCTTGTCCTTTTTCAAAGGCAACACGTTCTTCTCATTCTGCAAGAGAACGATGCCTTCGTTGCCAATCTTTCGGAGGAGTGCTGCTGTCTCTGGCGTATCCAGAGTCTTTTCCGGGGCATTCTCTTCGACGCCACTCTCGTAACTTCTCTTGACAAACTCGAGGAGAGTCCTTACTCTGTCGTCGATGATGTGCTCTCGTACCTTGTCTGTCTGGACATTGAATTTGAGGGCATCACCACGGAATCGTGTTGGTCCTGGCATTTCCAGATCTAGTCCTGCTATGGCAGCTCTGTACGATGTGTCAGATAAGGCCTATTTGAAGACGCACCTGAAGATCCATTGTTCATCACATTGCTTCGATGCTCGAAAACTTACTCTGTTGTGCTATACGTTCCCCACCAATCACTCATCACGAGTCCCTCCCACCCCCATTCTGTGCGGAGCATCTTGTCAAGCAACTTGTCATTCTCACTACAATATGTGCCGTTCACGCCATTGTAGCCCGTCATGAATGCGGCCGGCTGGGAGCCTTTCACTGCAAGCTGGAAAGGGAGCGCGTAGATCTCGCGCAGAGCTCGCTCTGTAACCATGGCCTGGACAGCATTGCGCTTGTGCTCGTGGTCGTTGCAAACAAAGTGCTTGATCGTGGCCAGGATGCCTTTGGACTGAATACCCCGGACAAGAGCCGCGGCTCCAAGACCAGCCTAATGAGAGGGGGAGGTTATTGGTGTTGGTCGTCAAGATGGGATACGGCCATTTGCACATACCAAGAATGGGTCTTCGCCAATGGACTCAAAGCCACGCCCGCCGAGCGGCGATCGCTGCATGTTGATGGTGGGACCGAGAATGACGTGCGCTCCCTTGGCTTTGGCCTCGTCGGCCATTAACTTTCCGGCCTCCTCCAAGAGCTCGACATTGAATGTGGCTCCAAGCCCTGTTCCACAGGGGAAACATGCTGCCTTCACGCCATTAAAGAACTTGGTTCCTCGAACACCATTTGGGCCCTGTGTTGTTGAATGTGATTAGGTCGAGCTTGCATCTCTGTCGCCGAATATATATGTATACTCTGCTAGCTTGTTAGCTCCATTTTTTCTACATGATATGTATGCATAATGGCCAGCGTCGGACGTACCACGTCAGAAGTCCGTACTGAAGGAATCCCATGATGAGGCAATGCCTTGGTATGCCACATGTCAATGCCTGGGGTGGGTTTTCGTATAAGCATCACCAAGTCATGAGTGGCAGTGTGAGGAGGTAGACGAACCTGAGAGCAGATCCACCTTCTCGGACAAGGTGAGCTTCTTCAGCACCTCGTCTACGTTGAGATCCGCCATTTTGATTATCTCGGCTGTGATAGGACTAAGGTGGGTATAATGGCAAGAAGCAAAAAAAGGGCAAGCGGACTGCTATGCAAGCAATCAAGAGGAAATGGGGGAGGACGACTTTTGAGAAACTTGTTCGCGAATACACAAACGTGGCGTCGGAGCTACTTTTAAATAGTATTGCATCTACTCGCGGTATCTATCATTGGCTCCACGGCGGCACCACTTCATCCGTAAGTGGCATGGGTTCACGGTTGCCCGTTGCGGCCAAGATATGGCCATACATACATACATTGGATCCGATGGACGAGCTGCATGGTTATTACCCGTTTATGGTCATGAAAAGCTCATGAATTGTAGATCCTGACCTCTCGCTTATGAGTCAATTGCAAGCTGCAGCTCAGTGCTTCCTATCCCGTCACGGATCTCTCATCTTTGCCAAGAGAAAGAGGCAGTGGCATCGTGATATTGTTTATCAAGAGACCCTATTTCCCGCCGGAAGCCCCTCAGTTGTAAAACGCAGGAACGGGCAGCGCCTAGCCCATTTGAACCCTGCTGCTGCAGTCGGCCGACGGGCCGATCAACCTGAAAATTGCCGGAGTTTTGCCAGTATTCTGGCGGTAAGAGAGCGCTGATCGGCGATTGGAATACGACCTGTCTCTTGACTATTTACGAGGGAGGTATTCATGACATTCGGAGCTTTTTAATGTTTACTTTGTTTAATTTGTTTCAGTCGCTCACAGTCACTGCTATATGTACCTGAGCACAGGCAGCTTAGCTGTTCACTATCGGACGGTGACAAGATGGACATGACCTCTACAGAGTATACCCTGATACTGGTATCTGCCAGGTTAGCGGGGTAGAGGGGGCTTGGCACCAAATTCACTAACGGTAGGCCGCAGCAACAGTGGACAAGCAGTAAAGTCTTCATGTTGGGTACCCGTGTAAGGAAGGCTATGTACGGCTGTCATCAGAATGTTCTTGAATGTTCTCATTCAAAACCACGACGCATCACAGTCTGAGTCATTACCGAAAACTATAGATTGAAATATTATACTCACCTAAGAGTTAGACTGTTATCAGATATTTCTAGTATTGTATAATTGCGCAAAACATTTTGGCGTATCTCGCGCATTTATCCCAGCATGGACAGCCCCATATCCCATTTAATGATTCAACACCAACACATTCTGCAGCGCTATTGCGTCAGCCGCTAGCATTTGCCTACTCTTTGTGCTCCCATCCGGATATTCTTAATCATCCTTCCCAATACTATCAACAAGCAAAGTTAACATGAGGTATCGTGGGAATTACGGCATAAAAGATCTCCGCCGGGATTTGGACGGTGGCTTGGGCTGGGCGCATACTACCGAAAGTGTATCAAACTATATGGAAATCATCGCAAGTCATGCAGAAACACCAGCATAAGGTCGTGGTCTAATTCGGTCCCAGATACCCACAGTGCGAGAAGCCAAGATCAAGTACGCAGAGTGATCCATGAGCATTCGTTTCGTCTTTGCGGCACCACTTGTTAATACTTACTAGAGGCTCCTTCCGGCACACATCGAGTCAGGACAAGACTGACCCCAAGAAGGTCGTTACGACATCGTTTTTCAAGTCGAGGGGCGGGAAACTGGCGACATGCCATGCACACGGCGATGGCACCTGGAGCATTGCCTTTACTAGTCTAGGACAGGAAGAGCTAGGAAAACATAATGTTGCTGCTGTTGGCGTCGAGCTGGACGTCAACGTGCGGGTGGAAATCAAAGAGGACGGTCTGTACCACCACGGCGAGATGAAGAACAAGCCGTCGGCGTGCCGTGGTCATGTTTCGCTCAACAACGACGAGGCACACCGGATACATCAAGCCAGCGATGAGAAGGAAACAGAGTCGACCATTTCGGGTGCAAAAGTAATAGCAGTGTCAAGTCCGAGCGAAAAGAGTGGTAGTTACGAACGGAACCATACTCGTGCCGATATAAAAGCAAGGCCAACATCCCATTATTACCGAGGACGTCCCCAGCTGAGTGAGGAACAGCAACATCTAGCCTCGGAATTGGCAAACGAGGGCCTGACAAAAAAAGATGAGAGGCTAATATTCCAAAGACTGAAAACTTTGCCATGGGAAGAACAGGAACGAATACTACAACACTCCAAGGTACTCAAGTCCAAGTCATAGGGTTGATAGAGGGGGGCAATCTTATTTTGTCACGGTTTCATTCACAAACAAGTCTACGGGACTGAAGTGGACAAGCTATTGCGGATCATCGGAGAGTTCTCTCGGTCGATCTTACTCGGGCGATCGGTCGTCGGCGGAGATCCAATGGGCGGCCGCAAGCAGCTTCCACGGCATTACGATTATCGCCGGACCTTGAAGCTGTACTAATCAAACCTTTTGGCTATTATGTCGCTCTCATGCACGAGACAGACTCAACTAGTGTACTTGAACTTTTATGTCTTTCAATTCTGTGACAGACATTCTCTAGTCTATGGATTTATGTGATATGTAAAATAAATGTTTCGAGTACTTTTGATCTGCGTAAAATCACCAAATCTCATCCTACATCACCCTAGGTTGCTCCGTCTCGGCCTCGTCATCGTTGATTTCGTCGATACGCTTGCTACCTGGCGGTGGAAATCTCGAAAGAAACAGAACCGTGGTAGCGACCAGAGCGAATCCCTAAACACCATCAGTAAAAGCGCGATAGTGTAATGTCGTCGATACTTACGGCATTGCAGAAAAAGGTCAATCTCGGCTGACCAATCTCTGAAAAGAAGGCAAAAATGAGTCCAAACAGTCCTTGGGTTATTAGCATGGCGGCACTTTCCACCAAAGTAATGGCCGCAATGGCGTCTTGGCGTTGATGGGAGGGACACATTTCCGTCATGACACCTTTGGCTGCTGGCGCAGAACCAGAGGCAAATGGAAGCAGAAATCCGGCTAACTCGCACGTTAGTATACAACTCTTGAAAGGCTTGGTTTCCAGCGAATTGCACTCTGTAACTCACCCATATACACCTGCCAACCCTGACTCGAAAATCCAGCAATAGCCGTGACGATCGAATCCACGACCAAGCTCCAGCGTACAAACAACAGATCAAAGGTAGTCCCGACGTCTTCATCCTCTTCTTCCTCTGGTTGCGGTGCCTTGATCGGTTCTTGTGGGACTTCTTCACCTGGAGAAGCGGGAAAATCGCGAGGATCAGTCGGCACATCGTCTTCATCTCCATTGGCGACCTCGTTACCATGGGAATTTTCGCTGGGTCCATTGAGCCAAGTTCTTCCGACCGAGATGATCTTGGGAAACATGACAATCAAAAAGAGACCCCGAATAAGGGCGTTTCCAAACATGAGCCATCCGTTCTCCGTGGTACCAAAGCCGAATTCGGACGTGGCATACATTTGCAACAAGGTTGGTGCATAGGTCGAGGCGAAAACTCCGAGGAAGATGCCTAGTGCAAGGAAGATCAGGCCGTAACTTGTGAACAATTTTCCATCTTCCTGGATATACTTTTGGGGGACAATGACCTTGAGAGGCGCAAAGAAGCCACCGACACCACGAGGGTTCTTCTTTTCAGCGTGGCCCTCGGTCGGTGCTTCGGGCAAGAACAGGGCGCCGTATATGCTGGACGTTATGTAGAGGAAGAAGGCCACTTCGAAAGGCCGTCGAATGCCATACATGTCACCAAGTACACCGCCCAACAGATAGCCAAAGGCAGTTCCAAGCATGATGGATCCTTGAAGTCTACCAAAGACGGCAGTTCGGTCTCTTGCAGGAACAATTTCACTGACTGCTGTATTAAGCACCAACCTAAACAGGACGTGTCAGTATTTCTCATCGTAGACCTCATCAGAAGGGGGCATACTCACTGGAACCCACGCGGCCCGCCGATGATGCCTATACTCTGGAAAGCCTGGAATATGATTATACCAGTTCTGCCGCCAATAGTCACGCCCATGACCTGAGTGGCTACACGGATGCCAAGCAGCGAAGTCTGACTAACAAAAGCCCATCGCGGCCCCCACAATTTGATGAAATACCCGCACACAAAGAGATTGAAGACGCCGCTGAATGAAGTGGACATTCCTAGTATAGAGACCTGCGTCGCGGTGCCGGCGTCGATCTCCCGGCGGTGGCAGCGATCACCAATCCCGTCAAAGGGAGGATTATGGCTATAGAATACATCACATTCCATTACACGAAATACGTAAATGATGCTAGCATGATGAATTAGTATAAATTGCTTTCAATTATGCTCATTGCCATGAGATTGGTTTCTCTTTCTTCTTCTTCTTTTTTGCTCATGTAGAATACGTACGGAACTTGGGTAATGCCCAGTGTGAATGCCATCAAGAAACCGGCCAAGAGGATGCGATTGGCGGGCCCGAAGAAGGAACTCTTTTGCTCCGCTTTCGCTCTAGCGACCGGCTGCTTCTTCCCTTGGGCGCCATTGCCCAGCAAGGGCGTAGTTTCAGTGGCCGCCATTTTTTCTTTGCAGCATGCAGTAAAAAAGAATGACAATGGTAGGTCAAAATTTCTGCAAATAGGACAACAGCTCTTGCTACAAGAGTAAATGTCCAATTGGATGAGCCTCTCAAAAAGAAGAAAACCCTCACCGGTCTCCAAAAGAAGAAAGAAGTTTAGAGAAAGCAAGAGAGATAGAGAGACAGATAGAAGATACGATTGCGAAATTTCGTGTGCACTGACGGAGACGAGCCGAAGTGCCGATCATCTCATCGACCTGGACCGAATAGGTGGAGACGAGCCTCCGATACGGCGGGGAGGGGGGATACTGGGTACCCCAATTCAAAACGATTACGGTGCCTGATTGCTCAATCCACTGACTTACTGACCACTCAAGAGTCATAGAAGTGCAGAATGAACAATAGGTAAATTGATTGCAGCGTTGTGTTACGATGGGGACCGCCTGGGCTCACCCACAAGGCACATGGCGGCCCCATTGTGTGTCCCCTCTTATTATTACTTGCCTTGCCGCCCGTCACGCCCGCTGCCGACCGCCATTCGGGCGCCAGTCTTGTATGTTGGTTGTAGAGGGGGGGGGGAGTCCTACGCCAATGCGAAATGTGCCCCAATACCTATCGGTGCTCGCAGGTCGGGGCTACTTGTTATCCGCCATATAAAGACCCGATGCGAACCTCGACGACCGACTGTCTCCCTTGAGAGGAGCACAGGTTAGCAAATATAAGCTCCGAACATGATCTCATTGGTATTCGGGGGCATCGGCAGAGTTCTTAAGCGGGTAGGTCAGTGAAAGCAACGCGCACATTAGCACGGGCGTTTAATCCGGTGCTTGCTTGGCAATAAAATGCACAAGACCTCGGGGACTTGTGCCTCTTCCCCCCTGCAAGCGAATATGCGGATCGACCCGCTATCGCCGACCCCCTACTATTCCCGAGTCCCGAAACTTGAGCCTTTACACACTGATGAAACTTTTGGGAAGTTGGTTCATGTTTTTCTTTTTATACATTTAGTCCTCGAGATGTGTTTTTTGCGAGGTAATTGGCAGGTTTGAAATCTATTACGCCTGTGAACACGGCCTGCTTTTGGTAGCCGTCAGACTGCCAAATTTACACAGCTTGAATAATCAAATCAGACGGAAGTCGCCGCAAACATGCATCCGCCAAAGGGAACCAATGACGACATCGGAGAGAGTAGACAAGACGTCGTTCTCAATCAGCAGAAAGTATCGAGCGATATGGGGGAGAGGAAATCCATCTCGGATGCAAAGAACATACAACGGACCGATGGCATCTCAGTCAGCGAGGACAAGGCACACCAACCCGGCAATCATGAAGAAAAAGATCCACCCCCAAAAGGCCCCACGAACGGCGGCCTGGTTGATACGGTGGACAAGACGGCATCGGGGACGGCAGCATCCATGATTAGCAGACTCACGTGGATCCCCAAGCGATGTCGCTATGATCCAGATAATCCTCCCCAGTTTTCATTACCCATGAACATGTTGATGGGATTGGTCAGTATAGGCAATCCGTTATTGCTTTTGAATAGCTCAAGAGGAACTAAGTCGGGGTATAGGCCGGGACCTTTACTGTTGCCAACCTTTACTACCCACAACCGGTAAGCCATGATTACTGCCCACCTCTCTTATATAAATGACTGACTTTGAGAATAGATCTTGAATATTCTGGCCCACGACTTCAATGTTAGCTTTGAGACTGCATCCAATGTTGCGACACTTTCGCAGGCTGGCTACGCCGTCGGCTTGTTATTTGTCTGCCCGCTTGGCGACAAAGTGCGCCGAAGACCCTTTGTCCTCACGTTAATCTGGGCAACGGCGACTGTGGTAGGCAATGATGTATCCTGCTACTCAAAAGACACGCGGTTGACAGGACATAGTGGCTTGGCTTGTGCCTCACCAACAATTTCAATGCCTTTATTGGACTGTCCTTTATATGTGGCGTTGGGTATGTGATCCTTTTGCCATGATCCCATGAATCCCAGACTGGCTGCCTTGCTTTGTGGCAGATTTTTGAATGCCCATTTCAGGATTTATGATAAGCGCGTACTGACTTTGTGCCGCCTTCGTAGAACCGTAACGCCACAGCTGATGCTTCCACTAGTTGGAGACTTGGCTCCTCCGCATAGGCGCGCAAGCTCGCTCTCTATTGTTGTCTCGGGGCTTGCACTTGGCATGCTGATTGCCAGGGTCTTGTCGGGTATCTTGGCTAATTTCACCTCTTGGCGGAACATATACTGGCTGGTGAGTTATAGATCAAGTCAGACCGTACACAAACACTAATGACTGGATTATCGCAGGCATTTGGGGCTCAGTACATGATACTTATTCTACTGTTCTTTTTCCTTCCGGACTACCCAGCAAAGGATCCTGGCCTTCCCTACTTTCAGTTGTTGTGGGACATCATCACAATGGTAGTCAAAGAGCCACTGTTGTTGCAAGCCTGCCTAACCGGATATCTGTTGAGCGCAGCGTTTACCTCCTTTTGGACGACTCTCACATTCCTCCTCGCTTCGCCGCCCTACAATTACTCGTCTCTAGAAATTGGTTTCTTTGCCTTTATTGGCATTGCCGTCATCACACTAGGTCCACTCTGGTCGCGACTGATCACGGACCGCTTCGTGCCGCTCTTCAGCGTCATTCTAGGCCTGTCGCTCGAATTCGTCGGCATTGTCATTGGCACCTTTATCGGCAAGTTCACCGTCGCGGGGCCCATTGTGCAGGCCATCACCATGGACACGGGCGCCAACTTTGCCCACACGGCCAACCGCACCAATGTCTACACCCACCTCGACCCCAAGAAGCGGAACCGCGTCAACACGGCCTACATGGTCTTTAGTTTTGCCGGCCAGCTGACGGGCACCGCCGTCGGCAACCGGCTGTATGCCCGCGGCGGCTGGACCTGGAGCGGCGGGTGCAATATTGCCTTTATCGGCTTTGCCATTGTCTTGTGCTTTCTCAGGGGCCCGCACGAAAAGGGTCTGGTCGGCTGGGGAGGCGGCTGGAGCGTTAGGAAAGATGTGGCCAAGAAGGAAAAGGACGAGGAAAACGGCAATAGTACCAGCCCAACGCCGAATCAGGAGCAAATGGCCGAGGAAGCCCAGACTTCTGCACCGCAAAATCCCCCGGCAGATGGGCACGAGGACAAGAAGTGATGGCTCTTGTACATGTATCGTATGCGGGTTGTAGATTTGAAAGCATGGAACGAACTGAGCATACCAAGTTTTGTGACCAATAGGTTTGTTGTGTGCTGCTTCCCCAGATTCCCATGCACTGGAATATGCAGTGTTGATGTGGCTGGCTCCTATTGTGCACCTAGTCGGCTAGGTGTCGAGTGCATAGTCTACTCCAATACTTATCGCATCAAACACCTACCGAGATTGTGCTTTACTGGTATTATAATTGCGCCTATCATGTCACGCAGACGGGACAATAAAGTTGACACGTACTTGATGACATCTTTCATTGGCCGAGATTTACATTATTTAGTAATACGGGAGGGGATACCGAATCGAGACATGACATGGGGTATGCAGTCGACTCTTGTCCGGCAGCGAGCGCTTTCGTCACTAATCATGCACACAAAAATAGCAATACTTGGAAATGAAGTATGAAGTGATGAACTCTCGCCATTCAGGTCGAGAAGGGGCAGCTTTTTGCTCTTTGCCCAAAATCTTTATTTCGAGTACACAAAGGCCTACCGTGCCGTACACATGACGTGTTTGTTCTTTAATTCTTCAAAAAATTCCATAACCAGAAAAGTAAAATAAAAATGAACGCTTTGTCGTAACCTTGTCCCAATGAATTTCTAGTAAAGTGTAGACATTATATAGTCTACCACTCAATGACCTCGTTAGGGAAGAACTCATTGATGAGCTCGAGGTAGTAAGGCTATAAGAGAACTTGTTAGTGAATGATCCAAATTATATAGAGGGATAATGAATAAAACATACCTTGAGCTTCTCAGCGTCGGGGATACCGTCGCTCTTGCTATACAAGTCATAGGGGTTGAAGGCCTTGACGGCCTCGAGCATCTGGTGGTCGTGCTCGTCCATGAGGTCGCGGTAGGCACCCTCCTTGTGCCAGGGGTAGAAGGAGTGGTAGCGGATCATGGCGAGGGCCTCGGCGGGCAGGGTCGACTGGTCCTTGACCACGTGGTAGAGGTACTCGTCGTGGCCCCAGGACAGCATGATGTTGTCGAGACCGCAGCCGGGCGAGTAGATGCCGTGCTTGGTGCTGTAGATGGGGTCGTTGATGTCGGGGTTCTCCTTGAAGGAGCCCGGGTAGATGATGCGCTCGTCAAAGGCGCAGCCCACGGGGAATGTGTCGCCGACGACGTCCCACTGGCCCTGAGAGCCGTAAAAGTACAGCAACTTGCCGAGATCGTGGATGAGACCGGTCAGCTGCATCCAGCGGGGCTTGCCGTCCTTACGAATAGCCTCGGCGGACTGGAGCAAGTGCTGGATCTGAGACAGGCTGGTGTCCGGGTCGGAGTCATCAATCAGGGTGTTGAGCTTCTCCATGGCCTCCCAGATGGTCATGTGGTGCTTCTCTCGGAACTTGAAGTCATTGCGTGCCTTGAGGTTGTATGCGACGGTCTGCTTAGTGTGTTGCTCGAGGTAAAAGTTCTTGACTCGGTCGCAAGCATCCTCGTATTGTCTAAATTGTGTCTTATCCTTCTCGGAGTCGAACTCGGACTTGGAGTTGAAGGCAGCCTCCTCCTCGGCCTTGGCCTTGGCGGCGGCAGCAGCCTTCTTCTGGTCCTTCAGAACGTTGACAGCATCAATCTGGTCTGAGAGGTCCTCGAGGGCCTGGCCATCGCGGGCCGTGGTGTCGTGGTCAACAAGGGCTCCGGGTGCCATCGTGTCTAATTGTGTTGAGACTTGGGTAGAGGTGAATGGGTATCGTGAGGTGATGGAAAGTATCGCCGTCTTGTAATATATATGTACAGGCGACAATCAATATTGTAGTTGTTGGTATTGTTTGATATGAATTGAATGTCGAAAATAATCATTTTGAAGTCAGTTCCAGGGTCGATATATACTGAAAAGTATATCATTATGGTGGAGACTGATGTAACTGGAGTTGCCGTCAGTAAACTGGGAATGCAGCAGTCAAAAAAGGATAAAATCGCCGAGGGTAAGTGCCGCACCACCCACTTGAGTGTCTAGTGTTTGACCTATATAAGTCAGATCGGGTCAAAATGCCCGAAGACTACCCCAAACGGAAATCATCTACCTCTCTCCACGGGGAAGACTATTCTTGCGCACGCATTACGCCGTCCACTAATTAGGCCTCGTGCTACTTGGCACCTCTGGCTCTAGATCGCCAATCTGTGGTTCTGAGTGCGGGGACCAGTAGGCAGTCAAGAATTTCTGATCGTCATCTTTTCTCATTCTAGGTTCCGTCGCGCCGCAAGTATTCCATACCCTTGCTTGCCCTATTTGCCGGGAAGGGGACCAAACAGACGGGCACTCGCGCCTCGCCTGCTTATCAACCCAAAGCCTAGAGGCCGATAGGCTACCCAGGTATCTATGCCAATGTGTAGCGCGTGTACCTACTTGATTGTGCCTGGAAATGTTTTCCTGAACGACCACACGAGGAAAGTCCGGAACTGGATTTGTTCAATGAGTTCATAATTCAGTGGGCAGTAGTCGATTCTAGCCATGCTCGTAGTCCGTCATCCACCCCCACACCCTCATAAGCTGCTGCTGTATTGCCTTTGTAGGACGTGCATGGTTCGTTTCTGTCTTTTTGAGCACGTCTAACATTGCCTCCTGGTCTGACCTGTTTTCGAATTGATCGCCAACTATAATGGTCAGTTTCGGAAATACATCCCGAGATTTCGAGCGACTGGAAACACTTACACATGGCAATCCCCATGGACGCAGTAAATAAAGCCGGGGGCGTCCATTGATTGCATGACCCAATCCCACATATCTGTCGCATCAAATAGTCGACTCGTTTCTTGGCCAGGTCAGTCCAAGTCTCTTCAAAACGGGGCTGGATAGAGTCGTTGTACTTACCGCTATGGCCTTTACAGCGGCAGCCCTCTTGGTACCAACTCTCGGTATTGCAGGATCAAACTGCGCCAACAATAACTGGGCCAGGATGTGATGCTGTACCCCGACAACTTTTCAGATACCACAATTAGCACGTCACTCATTGGCCTGCTGGAGTTCGATGCCTTACCATGACAACTCGAGTGATACCAGATTTGCGGAAATGCATCTGCAACACCTTGCTCCCGAAAATAAAAAGGTTCAAAGGATGGGGGTCGCGTCTCATCCCAGCGAGTGCATTGGTCGTTCAGGTACGTCCATCGAGAGTTTGGCTGGGCCGTCTCGGAAAAGCAAAAATTCAAAACATCGGCAAGATTTACCACCGCCCGGTTTGACCACGAATAGTCGTCAGTGGGCTCAAAGGAGCGGTCAACAATGAAATGATCAAGGCGGATTTTCACAGGCGCCTGAGTGCTCATGGCACTATAAATCTCCTGGCGTAGACCAACCCAATATGACGCTGCGCTCAGACTACCTGGCAGCATGATTTGATCTCCAACATTCACGAAAGCATGAATGCCTAGGAGGTGACCATGATTGTCCTGGCCTGAACTGGCTGCATTTCACACTCAGCTTTCAGTATTTCAAAATTGTAAACATTGAAAACTCACCATCCATTTCTTCAAGCATCCTCAAGATGATTGTAGCAGCGAAAAGGTTTTCATCAGATACAGTAAAAGAGTTATCCAGCATGGGGATGAGGTACCCAAGACATTCATCGTGATACCTATTGGAGGCCAACGGGTCATAATCACTTGTCTGGCTCAGATGCCTGGCGGCAATGGCAAAAATGGCTTTGAGCAGGGTTGGAGACATGGTCGCACGCTGTGGTACCACAAGCTCAAAATTTCGCAATGGGTCAGTCAAATCAAGCTAGATGTGCATGTTAGAGACGAGAAAAGAGCCGAAGCAAGTTGTGGATATACTTACACAAACTCCCAAGTGTTGTACATAGTGTCTAAACAAGTGTGCTTCGGTCTCATTCATCAATGAAAATGGGTCAGAAAGTGAAAGGTGTGAGAGGCTGCCAACACTCCTGGTGGGCGTGGGTAATTGCCTATCCTGGGGCGGTGGCTGCTGGGCTGAATGACTGCGGGCAATGGGGCTGTCGGAAACGTCTCTGTTCCTATCAGACCCTGACCAAGAAACAAAAGGCTTCTCGATGGGGGAAGGTTCAGATCGTGATATCGAATGAGTATGTGATGGACTGTGAGTTGTGCGCTGCTCCCGCGGCGACTCGCTTGCAGTAGGGTAGCGGTACGGCTCCTCTACGGGGCGAGGAGCCGCCTTGTCTGATGCATCATCCCGACTAGATTGGGGAGACCTAGGTGAATCTCCTCGGTCGCTCTGAGGTGTAAAGGAATTTTCTGGCGAGCTTCCGAATGCTAATGACGTTGTTTCGTCTATGTATGTCACTAATAAATGCATAAGTCGAATCAGTCTCTCACAAGAGTATGGCCAAGAGATGGGGACTTACGGCTTCTGGGGGTTTTGATCCATCGCTGGTTCTTCTTGAATGTATCTAGAGAGGCAAGGGTGTCAATTGAGCCTCAACAAACGATGGAGCTTATTGACTTTGATTGCCTGCCTGGTGGAAGAGAATGACGACATACCTTTTGCGGGCTTGAATTTGAAGGCAAGTTTGCACTCCCGGCCGGAGTTTGAGCACCGGGAGCATTTCGGTATTAGCCGGTCACATTTCAAATGATTCTCCCGGCACGGAAGGCTGCGGCGGCGCCGGAAACCAGGTCAGCATCTTAGCCGTCATACCCAAGGCAACGCTGCCGACTGTCACTCCACAAAACAAAGTTGAACGGAGCGCAAGGGCGTGAATGAATGAATCAACAACAAAAGGAAGAAATCGTACCATGGTGTGGCCAGGAGCTCCGCTTTCTCGTGTGAGGGCATTCGCGGTATCGTTCGAGGTATGAGCGGCCACTTGCAAGCCGGGCAAATCTCCTTACGTCTGCCACTCTTCAATCATTAAGTTTTCCGGAAGTGTTGGTATTAGAAGTGATCGTCCAGAGATGGGCAAAACGCCCGAGTGAGTGACACGGCAGCAAAATAGTTGCTGGGTAATGTATTGGTGTGTCTGTCTGGCTTAGGTCTGGGGGAGACCATCTTTGTCTGGGGTGCCACTGGGACTTGACTGGATGGCGGCCTGGGGTTGAATCCTCTTCCCCTCAAAAAGTTCCCAGGCCAACCCGGGGTACCTTGGGTATTCGACTGGGAAGTGCCTGCTCGCCCTGCCTGCCTGCCTTGCCTGATCTGGGGTTCTGGGGTGTGCTGTGTGCCCCGTATCCAATCCAGGTCAGACCCAGAAGAAATTCGACGTCATGGGACCCAAGGGATTAGCGGGGCACCCGGCAAATGGCAGCGAGAGAAAAACCTATCGCCGCTGTCCCATTCCCCCAATTCCCTCTAATCTACTGCAGCTTCCCCGCAGAACTCCACTGTCAGAGACACGCCAAGAGGCAACTCCCCCGGCCTTGCAATGATAATGTTTTTGTTCTGGGGTATCGGATTGGTCCAAGACCAGTTGCTATAATATACGCCTGACTGTATTGAGGCAATTGTCATGCAACTGTTACGTTTTTCATCTCTTATTAGTACATGCTATTGCTTGTAAACATTTTGCAGGCTAGGTAGGTATCGTGAAAAAGCCCTCGTGAGTAGCAAAGATATAACCGATGCTTCCTTCGGTCGTGCCTAGCGCTACACGAACATCAATTGTGTTGATCCCCAACAACGCATGACAAGCCTTTTCCAAGACACAATCCATCTAGTATATGAAGGGTATAGAGCAATTGCTATTCTTTGGTAGCGAGTGGCCCGTGCAAGAATAGCAATCGAGTTTGTTGTATCAATGGGGGAAACCTGGTCACTGAAATTCTGTGTACGCACTGCACTATGCCGTACTTGCTGATTCGTACGTCGACCCCTGGAAGTCTGCTGGCCAACATGGACAATGGCCTGGCCTGGACCCTGAACCACCTCATTTCTTGTGCTTGCTCAAAGCCCAGCCAATATTCAATTCCGCGGCTCTCGGAGAATTGAGGAGACAAGTAACGGCGCACGTGAGATATTGTTTTCATCTACAACTTCCATTGATTTTTTTCCACTCTGGAGTGCAAACAAAATCATTGAAGACTAGGAGAGAAAATTCGTTCATAACTTCCCCTTTTCCTCAAAACCTTCGAGTCAGCAACGGCGCCCCGCAAGTTCTAGTCAATACCCCCACATCGCCGCATCGCGAGCGCCTTCATGTGGAGATTATAACCGGGTCGCACAGTCAAGTCAAAAGAGAATTTTCGAGTCTCTCGGGTGAATCGGGTCTCGAGGTCCCTGCGCCCCAGTTCTGGTGAGACCAAACAAACCGCCAATCAACCTGCATGTGCATTTTGGGCAACTTGTCACGAACGAAGTTGCCTGCAGCAGCAGCTCGGATCTCCACGAGCCGCTAGACGCGCGACCTGCACCGTTTCATTCCGCCCAGAGGATCAACACACGCGGAGGACAAGTAAGATGGCTTCGGCGTCTGATTCTGCGTCTGCCACCGGCCATGCTGCTCGCGTGTCACAGGAGCAGCATGTCACTGCCGCTCAGGGGCACCACAACCACAATCCGGAGAAGCAGCCGGACGGCCCGGAAGACAATGTCGCCAGGCAGATGAGAGACCTCATCCAAGATGCCAAGCAGGCTACCGAAAAGGAGCACAGGATGACCCTTTGGCAGGGCATCCGGCTGTATCCAAAGGCTATTGGCTGGAGTGTCCTGATCTCAACCTGCATCTGCATGGAAGGCTATGATGTTTCCCTAGTCAACAACTTTTACGCCTTTGATCAGTTCAATCGCAAGTATGGTGAACAGCTGCCCGACGGCACTTGGCAGGTCCCAGCCCGATGGCAGGCAGGTCTCAGCAATGGTGCCACCGTGGGTGAGATTATCGGCCTTTTGATCAACGGCTGGGTCTCGGAGCGCTTCGGCTACCGGTATACTGTCATGGCTTGTCTAGTACTCATCATCGCCTTTACTGCAATCTTTTTCACGGCACAGACGGTTGTCACGCTGCAGATTGCCGAGATTCTTTGCGGTATTCCATGGGGTGTCTTCCAGACCCTTACTATCACCTATGCCTCCGAGGTCTGCCCTGTCGCGCTACGCGGTTATTTGGTGAGTCTGAATTAGCACGGATTTTTTAATAACACCAGAGTCTAACCGGAGGATAGACCACTTATATCAACTTTTGCTGGGGCATTGGCCAGGAGATTGGTATTGGTGTCATTATGGGCAACATGTGGAGGACCGACGAATGGGCTTATCGCATTGTGAGTAACCATCACGTCAAGTCATGTACGTTTTTGAGCGCACTGACACTTTGCAGCCATATGCATTGCAGTGGATGTGGCCGGTCCCGCTCCTGGTTGGAATCTACATGGCCCCCGAAAGTCCCTGGTGGCTTGTCCGCAGGGAGAGGCTTGATGAGGCAAAGCAGGCTCTGCTGAGATTGACGTCGATGGAAAAGGAGACTGAATTCGACGCCGATGAGACTATCGCCATGATGGTGCACACCACTGCTCTCGAGCAAAAGGTATGGAAATACGCTGCCTTTGAACACTATAGTCTCGCTAATATAAGCATGCAGATCACCAAAGGCGCTAGCTACCTCGACTGCTTTAGAGGAACTGACCTTCGACGGACAGAGGTAAGTACATGTTATACTGCTCATCTTTCAGCCAAGCTTACAATTGGTAGATTGTCTGCATGGTTTGGGCCATTCAAAATCTGAGCGGCAACTCATTCTCCAACTACTCCACGTGAGTCTTTCCCTGTTACCTTTACATTTGCATCGCTGAACTCCGCACAGATACTTCCTGGAACAGGCCGGTCTTGATTCATCCAAAGCCTACGCCTTTGCCCTGGGTCAATATGCCATCAATTGCGTGGGCGTCTTCGGTGCTTGGGGTCTCATGAAACTGGGAGTTGGCCGAAGGTCTTTGTACCTCTGGGGACTTGTTCTTCTATTCTTCATGCTGCTGATTCTGGGTTTCCTCGGCATGGTGCCAGATCGCACCACCGCCTCGTTGGCAACTGGATGCATCATGCTAGTATGGGCTTTGTGCTATCAGCTCACTGTTGGTACCGTCTGTTACTCCTTGGTGTCAGAGATCTCCACACGTCGACTGCAGATCAAGACGGTTGTTCTCGGCCGCGTTCTCTAGTGAGCTCCTTCTTCCACTACCGGTAGTGCAGAGATAGCTAACCCTCGTTTCTAGCAACATTGTCGCTATTGTCTGTGGAGTTCTCACCCCTTACATGTTGAACCCTGGTGCCTGGGACTGGGGCAATTATACAGGATTCTTCTGGGTACGGTCGCGTCGTTTAATCGTGAAGCATTTTGAACTGACAATTTTGTAGGCTGGAATTTGCGGACTTTGTATCATCTATACATACTTCCGGGTTCCTGAGCCGTCTGGCCGGTGAGTGGCTAACCCAAAACTCTTGATTCTTACATATAGTAGCAGTTGGCTGATCTCAATACCCCTTCAGAACCTTTGCAGAGCTCGACCTGCTCTTTGAGAAGCGCATCAAGGCTAGGAAGTTTGCGACGACCCAAGTCAACGTTTTCGAGCAGGACTTGGATGCCAAGTTGGCTGAGCAGTATAGAGACCAGATTGCGATCGCACACTTGGAGCACGATCTCAAACTGCATTAGTGGTCAAATTGAAGCCATAAACCTTGAGCTACAGAGGTGTGCTTATTTAATCTGTAGAGTAAGCTTGCCGAGAACGCCACAATGTGTTACAAGACGAATATGAGACAGCTCAACCATATACTAATACATATCAAAGACTTGTTGACAGTTGAGCGTCCACAGTAGCAACCATCGGTGGATTCGCCATAGGCTTGGCACAACGTTCCATTGCACCTATGATGAAGCTACCTAAGCAGACATGAAGACGGCGAGTCGTGCAAACCATGCATCAACTTTTGTCCTCATTTCGCGACAATTGAATATATCCCGAGAATATTGGGAATTGCCATAATATATGTAGCATTAGTGATTTACTTTGCAAAATCATGTCCTTTGTCCGCCTTTGACCGGCCGAGATCTGTGCCGACTGTTATCACTGCCGGGTGTCGATGCAATGAGAGCACCATCTGACATGGCCCCACCTGCTGTATAAGGAATGCGGACGGGATTGCGCCATGCGGAGAGTGCAGCCATTTACCCGTGATTCCCACGCGGTGATAAGAGAATGATGCGGAATACTTTTCAAGCACATGAAAGGAATGTAAACTCCATCTTGTCAGAGTGCCTGACTGTTTGTCGATACAACAGACGCAATGAGCGACTACACTATCCAAAAGGAAGCTTCCCGGATCTTCCACGACGTGCTTTTACAAGACGCACGCCTCGGCCTCCCAAAAGAGGTGATAGAAGCGGCCTCGCGGACAATCGTTGACGAGGAGACGCCGATTGCAAAGCCCTTTCTACCCGCGCCCACCAAGGCCAGTGAAACCAGCACGGCCCTGTGGGCTCTCCTCGCCACCTATGGCAATGTACTCGCGCAGCAGCGCTTCGGCATCACACAGACCGTGACTGTCAATAGCGACTTGGCGACAATCTTCATCTTTGCGTTTATGCTGACCAAGTTTGGAGACAAGAGCATCGGCGACCCGGACATCGTACCACGATACCAAAAGTACGACCTGGCCAAGCAATACCTGCCTTGGCGCCGATTATGCACTAATGTGTACCCAACAAAAGATGGAAGGTGGTTTCATACGCACGCCAGTCTAGATGCCAACAAGACCTTGCAGATGCTGGGTCTGCCCACGTCCGACGATGAAAAGGATGAGTTGAAGATCATTGGTCGCTATTGTGACAAGCTTAGGGAATACGACGCTGCCTGGTTGGACCTCGAGGCGAATGAACACTGGCGCCAGGCCGGCTGCATCGCGCTCACCAAGGAGGAGTATCTGGCGAGTGAGCACGGCAAGGTCGTCGCTCACGACCCCATCTACCTGGTTGAAGCGTTCCAGGACGAGAGACTTCCTCCGGTTCCGTGGCCGCAAGTTGACAATAGCACCACGTTTCGCCCCCTCGAGGGCATCAAGATCCTCGATCTCACCAGAGCCATTGCCGGGCCGACCATTGCGCGGCTCGCGGCGCTCTTTGGCGCGACCGTCGTGCGCATCTCCCACGAGCAGCTGTCCGAGCTGGGCGCCATTCTGGTCGAGAGCAACCTGGGCAAGGTCGACGTGAACCTGGACCTCAAGTCCGACGCGGGCCGCCAGACCCTGCTCCGCCTCCTCGAGGACGCCGACGTGCTGCTCGATGGCTTCCGCCCCGGTGCCCTCGATCGCCTCGGCTTTGGCCCCAAGTACGTGCACGAGCTGGCGCGGCGGCGCGGCCGGGGCCTGGTGTATGCCCGCGAGAACTGCTACGGCTGGGGCGGGCCCCTGTCGCATCGCAGCGGCTGGCAAATGATTAGCGACGCCGTCGTGGGGCTCTCTTGGGAGATGGGCAAGTTTGTCGGCCTCGACGAGCCCATTGTTCCGCCGCTGCCCAATGCCGACTTTCAGACTGGCATCATTGGCTGCTTGGGCATCATGAATGCGCTGGATCGGCGAGCCAGGGAGGGTGGCAATTACCTAGTCTCCATGTCGCTCAACCAGTACAATAGCTTCCTACTGTCGGTTGGTTCGCAGCCTGCGGATATCCAGGCCGGGTTGCAGGAAAAGTGGAAAGATATGAACTTTAGACACTATGATAACATGAACAGGATTTTGCGCAAGGTGAGCACGATTCGAAATTGTCACTTTCGTGGTCTACGCTTCGCTAACACTCGGTAGCTCATACCTGCATTCCCGGAGAAAGTGCCAGAACTCTTTTCTCCGGCGTATTTTGAAAAGATCAGCGCAGACTGGGGAACGCCTGGAGAGGAATTGACAATCTTGAAGCCAGTGGTGAAGTATGAGAAGACGGAACTCAAGTACGATTATGGAAGTACGGAGAAGGGGAAACATCCAGCAGAATGGCCAAGTCAGCAGCTATAACGGTGAAATGAGGATTGTTGGGTCTAGTCGCATCGATGATAGCAAGGTGCGCCAAACACGGTAAAGGCCGTGACGCCTTTACCAACTTGCAGTTTAGAGCATGCTTTGGCCTTTCGCCAAAGAGCTCAGGGAGTCGCAATGCTGACTCCAAGATAATGTACAAAGGAAAGAGCATCGCACACGCATCTACAGTTTACATTCTGCAGGGTCGCCCAGGTCATTCACATGTAAGAAAGGACAGTGATTGCAAATATATTCGTTCATTCAATAAGGCAACCTGACTGAGACCACCTAGTTCACTTTACTAAACCTATTCTTTGCAAACCCAATCGTATAGTCCCCCAGTAGAGACTGCGTGGAACCAACTGCCGTAGGTAGTTCGGCAATACTGGTTCATGCTGACCCCACACCGAATGTTGTCGAGTGTATTGACACACTGCCAATCATAGGGGCCTTTTCCCTTGGTGGAGGCTGTCCACGTAGGCCCATATTGCTCGTGACATGCGTCGACAACGCTAATCCCTAGGCTGGCAGATGCTGGGACAGCAAGCAGAAGCAGACCAGCGACGGCGGTGGAGATGCCAGAGTACTTGAACATCGTGATGCTTGGAGCCTAGAGAAAATAGCATGAGTTAGTCATCGGTATTGCTGCAGTAACTCATGAAAAATGTCTCACTTGACTGATGATGGTAGGAACACCAATTGCTAATGGGGGACTGGTTCAATGGATGAGGGTACTTGAATGGTAAAGAGAACGAACTTGATCATTACAAAAATGGAAGCTCATATTTATATTCCAAGATACTATAGTAAAGATTGGATAGTTTGGTGAGAAGCTATGGTTTCGAGCATCGTGATCTCAGCTCATGCGCGTACGGCACAAACTTGAATATTGTCCATTCAAATGAACACATGCAGTGCATTCGAATGTCTCAGCTGTAAACTTACCAAGGCTCGTTCGATAGAAGAGTACCGATAGACCACCACGGGAATAAATCAGGAGAGTTACAATTATGACAGAATACCGACCAGAAACCCTGAAAGAAAAGAAACAAGACTAGCCCTAGCAATTTATTCCGCGGCAGCATCAACGTGGCCGTTCATCTATCTTCACAATCCAAAATCATCATCTGCATGTCAATACGCGAGCGTCGGAGACAAAGTTGAACGCACTCTATTCAATCAAGCCGAGGAAGTCCGGGCACGTATCTTGCATGCGATACTAAAGTCTCGTGAGCGCTGCCGCCGGTCGTTCGTACATGAAATATTTTGGATGCTCACAGTTTCCGAGCTGCCATGTGAGCCTCGCCATTGGAGGAGGAGCTGGATTTGGCTCATATATGTACATTACGTGCAGAGCTGAAAGCAGAAAAAGAATCGTGTAGGAGACCATAGATTGTCGAATGATTGGTGAATGATCGCAAATGGAGCAAGGCGGAGGAAGTACAGGTACATAAATGGCATGTCAACAGCTTAGTGGCGTGGAGTCTAGGCCCTTCCGCTGCTCATGCTGCCGTGGACTTTTGGCTGCCGTGAACCCTTTGGCTACTGGTACGCAAAGCGGCTGGAAATGTCTTGGGCATCCGCTCAGGGCGGGCAGCAGAGCTGAACTTGTCGATTTGCAATATGACCATGAGTACATACCGACATTCCGCGGTAGAAACAATGCCAGGACTTTAATTCCGCCCGCAATAGCATTGATTGAACACCTCTTGACCCCGGAAGATGTTGGAATTGAAGTAAACTGGTATATTGTCATTTAGATGACCAATCAATAAAAACCAGTACATGCAATGATGTCTTCATCTACCACCAGTGGCATATGCCAGGCTCTACCAGGCGAGCCCCACCAATTAGCCCCGCTACCGCCTATATGTAGACAACGGTTTGTGCTATGACACATTTGTTGCTAAAACAATGGGACATGAGGAGACAGTAGTCCTTTTTCCAGTAGACATCTGATAGACTCTTAGAGGGGCCTATTATGGGAAGCTCATGGAACAAAGAGTGATATTCTCACATGGAGGTCTTTCCAGCCGCATTGATCCTTTATGGTTCTTTGTCTTACAACAAAAATGTTGTACACACTTATACAATACTGTCTGCGACAATCTTGTTGTGGGGACTTGATAGAAAATTCTACAGTCAAATCTGATTATAAAATGAAAGGTAGCGGTCACGGAAATGAGGAGTGTTCTAGTACCAAACAAGCTTTCAAAGCAAGTATCCCTCAAACCTCAGACCTACTCTCACCGACCTCGGTCAAAGTTTGAAATAACCAACAAAAACCTAGCACTGACAAAAGACTATCAGCTTCGAAACAATCGACTCATCATGGCGATGCCCAGAGCTAAACCTGACACATTCATGGTCAAGTATGTGTACCCGTGTGGTGAGGAGAACCTAACAGAGTTCCGTCTGAGCCTCCTCCCATTCATAAAGGCTGTGATGAATGTGGAAGAGCCCATGAGACTAAAGCCGACATTGACCATTTACTTTTCCAGGTCTCTCCAACATTGCAATCGCTGTTCAGATTCCATCCCAGATTCAGAGTCCGAGACAGAGAAAGAGCCAAAGCCTACGATTTTCTACGACTTCGATTGTGGACATGACTGGACGCAGGCTCTAACCCGAGAGACTCTCACAATATTAGAAAACCGTGGTGTTATCCGCACCGGTAATAGAACAGCGTATCTCAGGGTGCGGGCATCTCACTGCCGGGACTGTCGCAACCGTGCTTTTGACGCCCTATTCAGCGACCTTTACACCATCGCTGCCCCCAACGGTGCTCCGCCACCAACGAATATTCGCGAGGTATTGTTGGATCAATTGCGACAACTGCACGAGGCATATACAATTGACGTGCTTACACCTAACATGTATAAGCAGCTACTCGGCCTGGTGGCGCAAGCATTCGTGGACCACCTGGGTGATCAGTCTATGGCTTCCTGGCTTGGGAATGAACCCTTCAATGCATTTTTTGTTGATGACTTGCGCAAGAGAATTCGCGAGGAACGTTATGAAGCTTCTTCGAGACGGTAAGTCGCTATTGAATGCTCTTGGATAGATGGAACTACGACTCTCGTGGCAAATATTTGATCATTTAGGTAGGCATTCAGCTACATGACAGCATCAATTAAAACCCATCTCTCCAATCTTTGAAAATCAGGAAATATCACGAGTGACATGTGAACATTACTAACAAGCGCCTCCGTATCTTACAGTTCCTTACTTTACTACTTACCAGTTGTTCACTCTAATTTCGCATTCTGGCACTCGCCAGAGCACTTCTGATACACAGAAGCCTGCGCATACCCTCCACAAATCTGTCCTCCATCTCCTCCACATTTATACTCGCACTCGCCGATCGTCCCGTTGGCCGGCATCCTATCTGCTGCGACACCATTACCACAAAAGCACTGTGTCTTGTACTCCAGACCAGCGTAGTTGAACCCAGCTGCGTCGCAATACGCGATGCACTTGTCCACCGTCATGTCGGTGGTATCTTGCGAGGCGCCGTCGAGCGTCCGGCTCTGGCCAGCTGGATCTTTTACACAGCCAACATACCGCCACTTTAGTGTAGTCGACACATCGGTAAAGGGCAGAATCGGATCACCAATTGTATCCACGGCGCCACAGTCATGCTGATAGACGGCTTCGCCGGGACCGGACTGGATGGGATTACATCCGGGCAGCGCGGCAAGGACGCCGTCCGTCACGTCTTCGTTGACCCGGGGTAAAAGTTTGCACGCGGCCATTTCGTCATCGGTGCGCAGGTCAAAGACGCTGCACTTTTCAATTACTCCGCTGTTGTCCGTACACTCTGTGATTGCCTTTTGTAGGACGTCAACATCCCACCCGTTGAGAAAATCCCCGTGATAGCCGTAGCCGTCGGGGTCCCTGTCCAGTGGTTAATACCAGGATCTCCGTGTTTGACACACAAGTCTACATACCCGTGAGAGAAAACAAATGGCTGCTTGTCGCCATACCACATGTCTTTGAAATCATCGACATTCCAGGTGACTTCATAGAATATCGTTATAAACCGTTTCGGATGTGTACTTGGACACGGACCCGTATCTGTCCCAGAGGGATATGCCATGTGGCTTTTGTGGTCGGGGGAGTCGAGATCAACTCCGTTCCAGCAAGAAGGAAAAGTGAGCTGTGTACGCAAGCCATTCGGGCAGTTGTGTTTTGGTAGCTCTGGTGTCGCAGGCTCAGTGATGCCAAGACACACAAAGGACACTGCTGACTCCTCGATGGAGTTGGTGTGGTTTCTGTTTAGTGGATTGCCTGCTATCATGCGAAAGTCCCTGGGGAAAGAAATCAGACCCTTTTCAAACTCGGGGTCCTTTTCGTCTTGTCGCTGTCTGTGGACTTGTTAGCAAGAGGCGCTGCCATGCCGAGCGATTTCTTTTCACGTGGCTTACAGGTAATAGATCAGTGCTCCGCCAGATTGCTTGACCGGAATAAAGGTGCCATTCTCGGCGTGGTAGTAGAGGTTGGGTACCCAGTAGCTAGAAAGGTCTTGCTTTGCTTTACATGTAGAACATGTTGCGGTTTGTGTGTCGGCATAATTCATGGAAAAGTTGAATGCATTTGAGCCCATGACCGTGTGGGCATGAGTTGACACGACGCCGGGATCCATGATTGGATCGGCTCGTTCAACTACCACGGGCGAAGAGCATGGTAGCCGCCAAAAGGCGGTCACCTCAACGGTGAGTGCGACTATACACACAGCAGTCTTTCTGATTACAGCTGAGATCATCCTTGTCGATTTGGCCAAGTGTGGCGAGAGTAGAAGAGCAAAATATCTCTCGAAATGTCACATATTCCTTTGAAGTGGAGGATCGAGTGCAACTGAACTTAGTCATCGCTTTGTGACAGCAGTGCAGTTAAGAAACCGTATAAAGAAACTAATCCAAAAACCTTTCCTTTTATCAAGCTTTTGTGTTAGTGGTTATAATGACAAAGCAGCCATTTTGCGCCTGTCCGCGCTAGAATTTCAAGCGTTTTCAAGAATTTCCGGCGTTAAATACCACTATCTACTTACCTAGACTTGTAGTATTGCTCTCAGGCTTTTCATCATTGCCATAGGAGCGATAGACTCTATGACGCGACTTCCGGCTGGGACTTCCGGCTGGAGAGTGCATCTTGGTGCTCCTTTCGATCATGACAATCTCCTTGGCAATGTCGTAACTTTTCAAAGTTTTCTGAATGGCACTCTCGTTTGCAAGACGCGCTAGTTCGTCTTGACTGTTTCTCATGTACTTGGCCAAGCCCACCTTATCTGTGGCTCTCAGCTGTAGTGTAGCCGCTCCAGAACGCTCTTTGTCTCCAGTATTTGGAACAAAGGGGAATCTCGAGGCCAGAGCCGTCATAAAGCCTCAGACAACCACCATGGGCGCCTTGGAGACATCCAAGCTCGGCAAAAGCTTGATTGTTTGCCATGCAGTATTCCCCCTTGTCTCTTGCGGCCTCGAGAGAGCCCTCAAATTGACACCCATGTAGCGTGCAACGCGATGGTTCGACAAAAGCGCGCTTATAATAGTATTCATACTTGATGCATTCATGCTGCTTGCAGCATCCGTCAGGAACGACACTGAGATTAAAGCATTCACTATTGCGGCACTAATGATGAATACAATGTTCGGACGGAGCGTGTCTTGAGTCTATTCGGATTCGAGTGTAGTTCAAAACAATGCGTGTATCTTGATTGTACATTATTAACGCTATAACATGATTCCTTTGATTATAGATACTCAAATCTGTCACAAAACATGCCATTCTCAGTCTGTTTAGCTCTTGCGTGTCATTTGGTACCAGATCTCAGCACTCAAAACTGCGAGCATGTCGCCGCCAGATACCGTTCAATAGGAAAGCCTTCGTCATTGAAGATATGCGTGATACGACCAGTATCTGAAATAAAGAATAAAAATGGTCTACATCTACGAAATTAATGTGTGAACAAACAGACTTCATCAACCCTTCCCGTTGTGTCACCCGAAGGGTGCCACATAGCCAGCCACACTGTGGCGCATCAATGCGGCAAGCACCTAGGAGCACATTCATCAAAGCACTGCACCGTTTTTGAACCTCCGTGATACACTGTCAGTTATGAACTCAATGTGGAAGAATTCACTAGCACCCTTTCATTCTCGACGCGGAATATGCCCTTCGCAGCGTAAAGTTACCTGCATAACTTTCGCCACAAATCAGTGAGAAGAAGACTAAAAGGAAGAAGATGGTAACGATGATGCGCCAGAAACTGCGATAATAACGCTAAATGCAACATATGATATACTTGAGTATTTCGTTATATTCGATGAAGTGAGTGTATCTTTGAGCAACAGTGCAAATCGCTGAGCTCATTCATTGCGAATTTGTCCAAAGTGGTTAAATATATCAACCCGTGGAAAGCCACCCATGCCATCTTCTTCGGTGGATCTCCAGTATATCATTCAGAGAGACACCAGCCCTCGTCATAGCTTCCCTTGGCGTGATGAAGGTCTGAGCTGGAGCGGAAATGTAGGATCACTATCTGAGCGTCAGTCTTCTGACCATGCATGCTTCTGTGGGAATCATACTTTGTGTTCTTGTATCAAGTGCTCTACAAACGATTCTTAGACAACAGCGAACGGCTCGGGATAGCTACCACTTCGCTTAACGACATTGAAAGGTTCAGAGTCACGCTTCACAACATTGAACGGCGCGAAATTCTCCTTCCGCTTCACAACGTTGAATGGCTCTGTCTCGCGCTTGACGACGTTGAAAGGCTCAGTATCGCGCACAACATTGAAAGGCTCAGAGTCTCGCTTTACAACGTTGAAGGGTTCAGTATCCCGCACAACGTTAAACGGTTCAGTATCCCGCACAACGTTGAAAGGCTCAGAGTCCCGCTTGACGACGTTGAATGGCTCTGTCTCACGCTTTACCACGTTAAAGGGTTCTGTGTTGCGCTTG